ATTATTTTTTTCAGTGGTGGAAACAAGCTTCCACAGAAAACTGCAAAAACACACATGAATAAATCAATTATTTGAACCAATCAGCTGAACGAATGATTCAATGACTCAAAATGACAGTCCCTTGTTGCGACCTACTGGCCAATCAAATTCAAATACCACTATATATATATATATATATATATATATATTTGAAAATAGATATTTTTTTATTTTTTTATATTTTTATTTTACATAAATATTACATCATAATATTTATTAATATAATATATATTAAATACTATATATAAGTAGAGTCATCAGAGCTCAGATTGAAGTAGAATAAGCAAACATTATTTCACGGGTGTCTGTCCCGAGTTTAATAGAGTTGATATCAAAACAAGTGAAGGGCTTGAATTCTGGGAAATTTGTGGTCATAATGTGAAAACATGTTATCATGATTTCAGTGCGTCAGAAATGTCACTGAGTTTAAAGATGTGGAAAGAAAGACGTTGTAAACAATTCGTGTTTTCTGTGTCTTCCCACTTTGAGTCAGTGTTTGGACAATAACCCAACTTATATACACTGTTGTTGTTTTTTTGTTTATAGCCAAGTATGTATATCCTGTTTGATATGAGTCAGAGGATTACGCAAAATAATGACTTTTAATTCCCCTTCTGAAAGATTGTTGCGTTTCTCACACGCAAACCGAGCATGTGATTTGATATATGTTTCGTCTTTATCCTTCAAGTGGAAATTTAATATCTAGAAAGCTCTGTTAGTCAGGAAGGACTGCGACATTTCTGAGATTAAAACCATCTTTGTGTCACATTTCAAATTTCATTATGCAAATCCCCCACTGTAAACACGACTGGGAATTCTTTGAAAAGTTTAATCCGTTTTTTATGTACACAGTCCTGAAAATAATCTTAAACGAATCACTCCTGGATGTCAAACTGGATTAATGATGCTTGCAAGAGAAACTGTCCTGTCCTGCCCTGACCATCCGGAAATGCCCCCAAGGCCCTCCAGGCAAACTGTGCTGAGAGACTGGAAATGAAACAATGGCACCATTATATCATTTCCTTTCAATTTACTTAAGAGGGCATGATGGAAAACCAGGACAGGTGTTTTTAATAGTAACATGCCCTCGGGAATTTGTGGACCGGAGAGATAGAGGGAACAGGGAATATCCAAGCATGAACATGAACGCAGGGATGCTACACACACACACACACACACACACACACTTGTGCATCAATTAAAAAAAGTTACACATAGGACCATATAGTGGACAAAAATGGCCTAGTCGAAAAACTGTTATAAAAATTGGAAGCTTGGGAGCAGAAACTTAAGTCGGGTCTTATTTTAAAGAAGACCTGTGGCAGATTCTTGTTGGAAATAAAAAAAAAAGTAAAATGTTGAACTCTAAAACTGATAGAAAATCAAAGCCATAAATCTAAACAAGTTGTGTTCCAAATTTGAGATTGAAATCTCAAAAATGAACTTTCGGTAAGATTTTGTTTGGACGTAGATTTCCCCCTGTAACAGATTTCCCCCAGTAACATATTTCCCCCAGTGACAGATTTCCCCAGTAACAGATTTTCCCCAGCAACAGTTAACCCCCCCCCCCAGTAACAGATTTCCCCAGTAGCAGTTAGCCCCCCACCATAACAGATTCCCCCAGTAAAAGATTTCCCTAGTAACAGATTTCCCTAGTAATAGATTTCCCCCAGTAACAGATTTTCCCCAGTAACAGATTTCCCCCAGTAACAGATTTCCCCAGTAATACATTTTCCCCAGTAATGGTCCCCCCCCCCCCCACAGTAACAGATTTGCCCAGTAACAGATTTCCCCAGTAATAGATTTCCCCCAGTAACAGATTTCCCCAGTAACAGATTTCCCTAGTAATAGATTTCCCCCAGTAACAGATTTTCCCCAGTAACAGATTTCCCCCAGTAACAGATTCCCCAGTAACAGATTTCCCCAGTAACAGATTTCCCTAGTAATAGATTTCCCCCAGTAACAGATTTTCCCCAGTAACAGATTTCCCCCAGTAACAGATTTCCCCAGTAATACATTTTCCCCAGTAATGGTCCCCCCCCCCCCCCCCACAGTAACAGATTTGCCCAGTAACAGATTTCCCCAGTAATAGATTTCCCCCAGTAACAGATTTTCCCCAGTAACAGATTTCCCCCAGTAACAGATTTCCCCAGTAATACATTTTCCCCAGTAATGGTCCCCCCCCACAGTAACAGATTTGCCCAGTAACAGATTTCCCCAGTAATAGATTTCCCCCAGTAACAGATTTTCCCCAGTAACAGATTTCCCCCAGTTCACAGATTTCCCCAGTAACAGATTTCCCCAGTAACAATTTCTCCCCCAGTAACAGATTCCCCCAGTAACAGATTTTCCGTAGTAACAGATTTCCCCCATTAGATGCCAGCGAAACTACACTATTAAACACTGTGGTTGGATTTGTGATTTGCAGTTGAGTTTTTCTCTCTCAAATATTACAAGGACAGACAACCACACACACACACACACACATCTTTTTTTAATACACACATACAAGCCACACTCTGACATTCATACCAACACACCCACACAATTATCGCTGCATAATTTATCCATTTGGCTCTATAATATGCTGAAGCAGAAAACAGGAATAAAGTAAATATTTTCTTAATAGGCCGAACCTGAAAAAAATGGCTCCATCTGGCAAAAAATAGAAAAATGTACATTTTGAAGCCTTGCCAACAGAATGAAAACCTCTTAACAAAGATTGGATATTATATGGCCCTGGGATTAAAAATTGCAGTTTTAATGTGTTTCAATGCAGATATTTTTGTCCAAAAGGCGCTGAGAGAAAGTATTTTGTGTATCTAGTGCAAAATATATTTTGGAATAGGGGGTGAAATAGTAAAAATTTCAATGAAAATACACACCTGAGCCAAAATTCATGCAGTTGGCATTAACACTATGGCATAAAAAACTGAACAAGACAAATTTGTCTATAAAGATACAAGGGTTAAACAAACTCTTTCAACCCTTGATCCAGTAGACAGACATCTAATATCCAAAATACTCAAGTAACCAACTAAGAATCATCCAGAACACCTTAGCAACCACCTGAGAATCACCCAGAACACCTTAGCAACCACCCAAAATACCCAAGCAACCACCTAACAATCACCCAGAATCCCTTAACAGCCACCAAAAATAGCCTAGCAACCACCTAAGAATCACCCAAAATAGCCTAGGAATCACCTTAGAATCATCAGAACACCTTAGCAACCACCCAAAATACTTTGGCAACCACTTAAGAATCACCCAGAACACCTTAGCAACCACCAAAAATAGACTAGCAACCACCTAGGAATCACCCAGGACACCTTAGAAACCACCTAAGAATCACCCAGAACACCTTAGCAACCACCCAAAATAGCCTAGCAACCACCTAGGATTCACCCAGAACACCTTAGCAACCACCCAAAATACCCAAGCAACCACCTAAGAGTCACTCAGAATCCCTTAACAACCACCCAAAATAGCCTAGCAACCACCTAAGAATCACCCAGAACACATTAGCAACCAACCAAATTAAGCAAGCAACCACCTAAGAATCACCCAGAACACCTTAGCAACCACCAAAAATACCAAAGCAACCACCTAAGAATCACCCAGAACACCTCAGCAACCACCCAAAATACCCAAGCAACCACCTAAGAATCACCCAGAACACCTTAGCAACCACCAAAAATACCAAAGCAACCACCTAAGAATCACCCAGAACACCTCAGCAACCACCCAAAATACCCAAGCAACCACCTAAGAATCACCCAGAACACCTTAGCAACCACCAAAAATACCAAAACAACCACCTAAGAATCACCCAGAACACCTTAGCAACCACCCAAAATACCCAAGCAACCACCTAAGAATCACCCAGAACACCTTAGCAACCACCCAAAATACCCAAGCAATCACCTAAGAATCACCCAGAATCCCTTAGCAACCACCCCAAATAGCCTAGGAACCACCTAAGAATCACCCAGAACACCTTAGCAACCACCCAAAATACCCAAGCAACCACCTAAGAATCACCCAGAACACCTTAGCAACCACCCAAAATACCCAAGCAACCACCTAAGAATCACCCAGAACACCTTAGCAACCACCCAAAATACCCAAGCAATCACCTAAGAATCACCCAGAATCCCTTAGCAACCACCCCAAATAGCCTAGCAACCACCTAAGAATCACCCAGAACACCTTAGCAACCACCAAAATACCAAAGCAACCACCTAAGAATCACCCAGAACACCTTAGCAACCACCCAAAATACCCAAGCAACCACCAAAGAATCACCCAGAACACCTTAGCAACCACCCAAAATACCCAAGCAATCACCTAAGAATCACCCAGAATCCCTTAGCAACCACCCCAAATAGCCTAGGAACCACCTAAGAATCACCCAGAACACCTTAGCAACCACCCAAAATAGCCTAGCAAACACCTAAGAATCACTCAGCAACCACCTTAGCAACCACCCGAAATTGCCTAGCAATCACCTAGGAGTTCAAGACCCTGCCTTCACACTCTCATAGCTTACTTGTGAACAAACATTTTGATAACCTCTGCCCTACGAACCCTCGGAACCTTCCAGCAACTAACTAGGAACAGCCTCATGTAATCACTTCGAGCGCTTCACAATCACCTCCTGCATTGTTCTTCTTTCTAAAAACATAATGTTTTGAGGACACAAATCGCTGCATTAATCAGCGTCTATCGTTGGGTTTCAAGCGTTTCAACCTCCACTGGTTTCCCTCATTAGAGGCAATAACAGCAATCAGCAATCTAAACAATTGTGACTCAATCAGACAGACACGTTATTATCCCTGCATAATCATGCCGGTTATTTGAAGGACAGCGATATGCTGTCACAAGGAAAGCCGTGCAAAAAAACGCATTGGATGATTGATGCATGGTTAATCTAAAAACAATTAAAAACTCTCACGTCATCTTTTAAACGTTTTGAATTTATTTTCTTTTTTGACAGTTTAACGATGCATTTCTCTCAGGCGCTTTATGGCTGTAAGGAAATAACAGGTTTTGTGCAAAACATTTTAACAACAATCCTTTTTTTTTATTATTTTTATGCTAAATCAACTGAATCAAATATTCTGCACTGGCAAAACATCATTTTTTGTTTGTTTATGTAGACGGCAAGAAAAAAATAGCCTGTTACAGCCAGGCTATCTAAAGAACAATAACAGTGTTTGTGAAATTTTCCAATAAATATATTTTGAAGTGCTGTATGGAAAAATATATTAAAACAGGGACGAGGAGAACAAATATAAAAAATACAAAAGGAACATTGCTCATGGCAGATTAAGGAAAATAATACAAATGGACAAACGCATGAGTGTGAAGTCAAGTCTTCAGGCCTTGTGTGCAGGACAGTGTCAATAGAGGGCGCTCTTGCAGGTTGTGAGGCAAATGAGTCTTTAAACCAGGTATAAATCCATTTGATTCGTCTGGGTTCATCCGTTTGTGCTGTTGGATTTCAGTGATGGCACATATCCATTTCAATGAGCTTCTGGTCACTGCAAGATAAAGAATCAATTGAACACATGAACATAACATACAATACAATTCTCTAGATGAGTTTAGTTCCAAAGCGCTCATATATCTTATGATGGCAATGAATCGTTTTGTTTGAAATATATGCCTACATATATTTTTAGACAGTTTTGTCACTTTGTTTTCACTTTGCCAACAAAAAGTTTTAAATGAAGCCAATGGAATCGACTGTTGCACATCAATGGCGATTTGTTTTTTCAACTGAATCTGATTTCCGAACAGATCTGTTGAGTGAATGATTCAATGGGTGCGTCTCAATCGATATTGTGTACACTGGTAAGGACCTTGGTTCACTGCACAATGGGACATTGATTACCCAATTTCCAGCGTCATAACTACGAACAACGTCAACGTACAACGCTATACCCGCTATACCTATATCTTTTAATATATTATTTTATGCTGTTTAGGGATAGTTCACCCAAAAATGTAAATGGTGTCAATTACTCACCCTCATTTCGTCACACCGGGACGAATATCAGCGCGCGTTATTCGTCAGCGTTTTCAACGTGTTTTTTGTGTTCACACCCAAGCGATTTTCACTGACGATGAGCCGAGTGAACATGCAAATTCATTCCCTGACATTAGATGGCGCCCATTTGCTCTGCAATACCACTTCATAACAGTTCTTTTATCCACATGTTTTTATTTGTAGTCGCAGTCGCGTTTCTCACATAGTTTTTTAACACCAACGAGAACGAGAACAGCTCTACATTCATCTGGCTGTGTAGACGGCGGCGTATATCTTCTTCTCCCTTCCGTATGTGTATTCGGCAAGACCATTTTGTGTTTGAGCGCCCCCAAGTTGTGTTTTACTGTAACTTCAGAAATTCCAAAGTTGCTGTCATTCCTAATTGCTTCCACTTTGTTACAATACCATTAACAGTTGATCTTGGAATATTTAGTAGTGAGGAAAATTCACGAATGAGCTTATTGCACAGGTGGCAACCTCTCATGGTCCCATTCTTGAACTCCTGAACGACCCATTCTTTCACAAATGTTTATAGAAGCGTCTGCATGCTTGATTTTATACAACTGTGGCCATGGAAGTGATCGTTACACCTGAATTCAATGATTTGGAGGGTTGTCCTAATTAGGGTTGGGAATCGTGAGAAATTTTCCGGTTCCGGTTCCGCCAAACGATTCCGGTTCCGGTTCCCATTCAATTAAAAATATTAGTAAGAGAAAAATCCACAATCCTTTTTGTGTTTATTTCTTATAGAACATGACAAATTAGTTTAACAGACTGGTAATGTAAACAAACTCAAAATATTATTAAGCAATCTTTGCAAAAAAAAATATATATATATATAAAGGAAATTAAAAAATTCTGCATTCTCTATAATAATTTAGACCTCTCCTTTATTGTATCTCCAACAGTGAAGAATACCCTCTCAGAAGGAATAGTATATGCTTTAACACACATATGTGTGTAGAACAGATTATTTTTTAAAACGATTTGAATGATTGATTCATAAAGACTTTACTTATTTCATTACTGGATAAATCGACGCTCTAGCAGTTAATAAACAGAACTGCATGCGTCTTGCGGAAGAACATTGTTGCCGGAGCTACTTCTCTCTGTTTATGTCCATGACGAGTCACGCAGGCATTGGGCTACTCCGCAGCAGCTGCGATCCGCCGGCCAGTCTAAAGAAGTCCGAGTATTAACGCTTATTACAGGCTTTACGTAGTGATTCAAGATAAGACAAAAACACGGTTTGAAAAAAAAAACATTATGATGCACTCGCTCATTGTATATATTTTGTAAATTCTGAACACAAAAAATATACGGACTGCATCTGTTTTGACCACTTTACCGTCAATGTTTACTCAAACTATAATCTCACTAATTCTGTAACGGAAATCATTTGAATATGTGAAACAATTAATACTTTTGGCAATATATAGTATAATAAAACAAGTTTGTCTTTTCAAATCTTCTATCGCTTGTTATTATATTTATTGAGTTAGCTCATGCGTTTCATGTTTCAGAAATGTGGCGTAAGGTAAGAGAGCATAGTGAGCATTGATGCTCCCTGGTTTTTGTGGTGCATTGTGGGATTGTTTAGGGAGGGAACATTCAAGTGCACTGGATGGGTTTCGCGATTGAGAGCCCTTATAATGGCCGACTCCCTGATTAGTGCCCTGACTACAGAGCGGATTGAGACGCACCCAATGTCGCGCTCACTAAAACGGGTTGGTTCGTTACTGAATGATTTTTTATGCAAATGACTCATAAAGATACTCATTTGTCGCCACCTACTGGTGCAAAGATGCAACTAGAAGACAGTCCACCACCATTTATGTTTTTCAAAATCTGGCTGCATTTATTGGATCAAAATACGGTAAGAATAGGAATATTGTGAAATATTATTACACTTTAAAATAACTATTTTAATATTTTTTAATGCATTTTATTCCTGTCATGTAAAAATTTTGAGCATCATTACTCCAGGTGTCACACGATCCTTGATAAGCCAATTGTGCCACTTGTACAATAAAAATATACATTACTGATGCGCTCTTGCTCGAGTGATGTTGCTTATTTAAAGGGATGGTTCACTTTGAAATAAATTTTTGGTATTTTTAGGTCAAACCGTTCGTGTCTGTCAGTCATATAATGCAGGTCTATGGTCACCACCTCAAAGTGCATGCTCAGAGAAGTCCAAATTAAACGTAATTAAATGTAAGTACACATTGATGGCCTAAGACACAAAACGAGTGGTTTGTGTGAGAAAACGAGCAGTATTTATATCGTTTTACCTCTTGTAATCACAACCACAGCCAATTGATCTGAGGGTGCGGGCGCTTCGGTCTGAACTCTGTGATCTCTTCGGAAGTGTTTGCGCAAGCATACATAATTGTTTTCTTTTATGATGGCTTAAACATCCCGGATAAACACAAATTAAAACCATCTACAATCTTTGTTCTGTGTAAACAATGAGTGACATACATGCGCAACCGAAGCGCCCGTGCCTTCTTCAGATCACTTGGACGTGGCTGTGGTTACAAGAGCTAAAAACTATATAAATACTGTTTGTTTTCTCACACAAACCGCTCGTTTCGTGTCTTAGGCCAGCCTTTCTCAAAGTGGGTGCCGCGGCACACTGGGGTGCCCCCTAGCTGTGTCAGTGGTGCCGCCAAAAAATTACGTAGGCTAAAAAAAATGTGAAAAAAAAACCCCAGAAAAAAAAACAGCTGACATTTCATATATAAATATATTTGAATTTACATTCTTCTTTTTAAACATATGAACATATTAATAAAATTGTAAATTCATTTTAGATAAATATATAAAATTAATCATAAAAAATCCGTCTCACAAGACCGAAGCAAGACACACACAACTTGCCGCAAGTGACGCAATCCATAGCAACGCGTTATAGCACACCTCAGACTGACAGAAACGTAAAAATAAACGTGAATTTAGGCCACTTTAGTTACAGCATTATGGATCGTTTTTTGAAAAGAAAATCCCCACAAGAGCCGGGGATTTTTATTTTATTTTATCTGCATCCTGCACTTCATTTGAGTTCTCCTGGTCTGGATTTGTTATTGGGTTCTTGTATTGGGCGGTCCACCTCTTACGGTTTTATAGCATTTGTGTCTCTGATTAATTATTTTGTGAATTACTTTCCAAACCTGTGTTTTTAAAGGTGCTATAAAGTTTTTTATTATTATTGTTATTTACAGTTCATATTATGCTCTGTTCATTACTGTTCTGTCTAACTAAACAAGACATTTGCATTTAAATTTGGGTTATGCAGTGTTTTTAAATTATATTTTACACTAGGGTGCCTTGAGATTTTATGCACTTTTGAAAGGTGCCCTGACTGAAAAAAGTTTGAGAAAGGCTGTCTTAGGCCATCAATGTGTACTTACATTTAATTACGTTTAATTTGGACTTCTCTGTGCATGCTCTTTGAGGTGGTGACCATAGACCTCCATTATATGACTGACAGACAAGAACGGTTTGACCTAAAAATATTAAAATTGAAACTACTGTGGAAACAAAGACACCTACATCTTGGATGCCCTTGAGGTAAGCTAAAACATATCAAAAATTTATTTCAAAGTGAACTTATCCCTTGAAAGTATCCCTTTTAGTTTATTTAACTAGTAACCTTAGACACAAAAAGCCAATAGTGTTTCTATGAATCATAAGCATTTTTAAATGAACTAAAGCATTACTAATACCCAAGTGATGCAAATCAAAAACGACAAGCATATAATTACGCTCCTCAGAGTGATTAAGCAAGTAATTACACCTCATCTCTCCACATGGTCAATGAGACGGTTACTACAGCAACAATAATAGGTCACACTGCAGAGCACTAACGGCACCGGCTGCGAGGAAACATCGGTTAACACAAAAAGTTAGGATGAAAAAAACCCTAAATGGACTAATCGATGTTAATGAAAAGCCGAAAGCTCTTCTAATTTGTCGAGCGCGAGTTAAAGCAAAGGGGAAGCCAAAAGCCAACTGTTCTGTTCCAGCTCTGGTACATCAAGCAAGAGATCACACAGCGAGTCACACACCTGGTGGTCAGGAGCGCTGTGAGAGGGCACTGTCGCCCCCGTGTGGCTGAGAGAGGGAATCCTGCCGGGCTGTCCTCGCAGCGTCACTGTGATGGTGGTGGGAGCTTTCAGTCCTGCAGAGGACACACACATTACGGGAAAAATACTTGAAGACAAGAAATATATTTAGCCTTTTGTTTTTCCTAAACATTATAATCACATATTGTTTGGAAACATACACTATAAAAAAGGCGGGGTTGTTTTAACCCAATTTTGGGTAAAATATAAACAAACCCTTTGGGTTACATTTTTAAATGACATTTTTAACCCAATGGCTGGGTTTGTCCATATTTTACCCAAAAATTGGTTTAAAACAACCCAGCATTTTTTAGAGTGTATGTAAGATTGTGGAATGCTTATTTTGTGGCATAGTTCTGTGTTGCTTATTAATTGTAACTAAATGCAACCTGTTATGTCCATAATTTATAATGTGATGATGAATTAGCTTTACCATGATCACAAGTCTCCTAATGAATAAAATAATGTTTATAGGCTATATATGATGCAGGTAAAAGCAAAATTTTATATATTTGTGTTTATCTAAATAGCTGCATTTAATAATTCATCATTCATATGCACTTTTATCTCGAGTGGCGGCGACTCTGAACTCGATTTCATGAAAAAAAGTAACGAGGGGGTGATTTGGTAAAAATTGTTGTGATGTGACTTCCATCAGTTTTTGCTCAAGATCTTGTATTGTCAAAGCAAGAGTCCATTTCTCTGTAAAGTCTCCTCCAGAACATCCCAAAGACTTTCAGGGAATTTAAGATCTGGACTCAGAGGAGCCGATTCATGTGTGAAAATGATTCTTAATGCTCCTCACAATCACTCTTTCATAATCTGAGCTGGATGAATCTTGATATTATCATCCTGGAATATGGCCATGATGTTTCTTCAGACATGGATGTTCAAGAAATGAAAAGCTACACACCATCAATTAGGGTTAGAAGAACTGTTGCCAAAAAAATCTAATTTTAGAAACATAAAAATCACTGCAATAATGACTCATTATTAAGCATAGTATAGAGTAAGCATTTGCCTAATTAAATCCAAACAGCAACTTTTTTTTTTTTTTTTTGGCCAGGCAGTGTATAACCTCACTGGGCATAGGGCTGATATTATGCTTAAAGTATTAATCTCTTAAATGTAAAAAAAATAAAACTGTAACTTTTACGGTAAAAAAACAGAAGCTGTGGTTGCCAGAAATTTACCGTCAAAAACACGGTTGCAACGTTATTGGTTTTACAGACTTGTATACGATTTCAAAGATTGTTCATTATTAATATCCTCGTTTAGATGCTGGTTATGGTTATATAGTAAAATCCTAACAATATGAATAGAAAAAAGAACGAAAAAAAATCCATTCACTCTATTGGCTGTACAGCCGCATAAAAGTTGACCAATGAAAGCTTTCCGGCCGCAATGCTACATTGGTCAACTGCTCTCATCCAATCACCAGCAGCTACACTTGAAACTCCGCCTGGCGCTCGCGTCTCCACCCCACCGCACCCGACCGCGCCCCCCTTTTGCGTCATGAGAATCGCGCCCGTTAGCAGCTGACCGCATATGGTAGCTAGCTAAGTAGCATATCAGCAATGGATAAAAACGAAAAAGACAACAGCAACATAAGCCAATTCATGTTGCAATTGACTCTCCTGTTTAAACTGGTTCATCAAAATGAACTAATCTTTTTTCGAATCATTTCGTTAATTCAACGAACGAAATGAACAAAATGACTCGAAAAAAGATTGGTTCATTTTGATGAACGAGTTTGAACGGGAGAGTCACGAACGCGCATCACAGGACAGAGCAAGGCGAGCACTTTTTTATTTATTTTTTAAATGAGCGATCGTTTCGCTAGATAAGACCCTGATTCATCGTCTGGTGTCGTTTAAAGCCCTTTGAAGCTGCACTGAAACTCTCATTTGCACCTTGAACCGTTTGGTTCCCATTGAAGTCCATTATATGGAGAAAATCCTGGAATGTTTTCATCAAAAACCTTCATTTCTTTTCGACTGAAGAAAGAAAGACATGGACATCTTGGATGACATGGGGGTGAGTAAATTATCACAGGCCATTCTCACCCCCAAGGCATCACCTAACTGCTTCAATATCTTAAGCTTTAGGCGCCCTTTAGCGTCAGTTAGATGACGCCCTAGGATCGCGTGTACCCCTACCCCCACCCCACATCTAAACCTACCCGCGTCCTCTAACTGACGCTTTCCTTTAGCGTCAGTTAGATGACGCCGTAGGATCGCGACGCCTAAAGCATCAAACATTGAAGCATGGTCAAAGGTGACGCCTTGGGGTGAGAATGCGTTGATTATCATCAAAAGTTTTTTTTTTTTTAAAGTGAACTACTCCTTAACTTAAAATTTACAGTAATAAACCATATTTCATTATCTGATATAATGTTAATTTACCAACCTATTGAAGTATTGATATCTGTTTTGTACTATTGTAATACACAGCAGTGATGAGTCACATGATTAATCAAAGCTCATCACAAGCAGCTCTTGCATAAGAAGATGTATACTTAAATAAAGAAGCTGCACATTCTCATTCACAAAAAACATTAAACACCATCATGGTAACACACATGTCATGAAATAAAAAAAAATGCAATAAACATTAATTTAACAACATTAAATGTAACATAAAACACTACATGACTGATTAGAAAAATAACAAGAAAACTGAGGACCAAGTAAAGAAAATTCAAGGACTAAATTGAAGGGAACACACACACACACCTACCTCGAACTGCTCTGCTACCAAACAGTAACAAACTTCTACTCTATCTTCTGATTGCACTGCAAAAAGTTCTTCCTCAGTATTTTTGTCTTGTTTCCCAGTACAAATGTTCTCAGATTTCATTGTAAAGCTCTTCATTTGTGTTCTGAAGATGAACGAAGGTCTTATGCGTTTAGAACGACATGAGGGTGATCCCTTTAAATCAAGATACATTTATGTGAAATACAAAATATTAAAGGAGTAGTTCACTTTTAAAAAAAACTTTCGCTGATAATTTACTCACCCCATGTCATCCAAGATGTCCACGTCTTTCTTTCTTCAGTCGAAAAGAAATGAAGGTTTTTGATGAAAACATTCCAGGATTTTTCTCCATATAATGGACTTCAATGGGAACCAAACGGTTCAAGGTCCAAAAGACAGTTTCAGTACAAACTGCAAACTGTTCAAAGGGCTTTAAACGATTCCAGACGATGAATAAGGGTCTTATCAAGCAAAACGATCACTCATTAAAAAAATTAATAAAGATTAAGTTTTATAAGCTCAAATGCTCGCTTTGCTCTGTTCTGTGACGCACTTTCGTGACTCTTTCGTGAAATGAACGAATCTTTGAATTGCTGAATGAACCAAATGACTCAATGAAGATAAGTTCATTTTGATGAACGAGTTTGAAGAGGAGAATCACGAACGCGCATCACAGGACAGAACAAGGCGAGCATTTGAGGTTATAAAACTTAAACTTTGTTATTTATTTATTAAATGAGCGATCGTTTCGCTTGATAAGACCCTTATTCATCGTCTGGAATCGTTTAAAGCCCTTTGAACAGTTTGCACTGAATCTGTCTTTTGGACCTTGAACCGTTTGGTTCCATTGAATGGTAAATGGACTGCATTTATATAGCGCTTTCATAGACCTAATGGCCTCCAAAGCGCTTTACATATTGCCTCACATTCACCCATTCACACACTCATTCATACATCGACGGCGGTGTCAGCCATACAAGGCGCCAATCAGCTCGTCGGGAGCAGCTGGGGTTAGGTGTCTTGCTCATGAGAAAAGAGAAAGAAGACATGGACATCTTGGATGACATGGGGGTGAGTAAATTATCAGCAAAAGTTTTTTTTTTTTTTTTTAAGGAGTAAGTAAACTACTCCTTTAAATTTTGTTTTCTGTGAAATTGATCAAAATTGAGTTTATGATTAAAACTAGCTAAAACAGATCCTGCCAATTGGCTCAAAATCAACTTAATTCAAAGAGAAGTTTTTATAACAAATTAACAAAATTATATTATTGTAAAACAGCAAAGATATGGAGGAAATTATTCATTTTTTGCAATGCATGCAAAATAAGACTTTAAGCCTCACAGAAGCCCTAAAACTATACTGGATACTTGATACTACTGAAATAGTGATTAAGTATGCACAAACTTAGTGTGCATATTTAATTCAGCGAGTGCTGTCCATACTCAGTTTCAGCATTTTTGCAATCTGATTGTTAAAAAAATGCCTTAAAGGGTTAGTTCACCCAAAAATGAAAATTCTGTCAGTATTTACCCGCCCTCATGTTGTTCCAACCCCGTAAGACCTTCGTTCATCTTCGGAACACAAATTAAGGTATTTAAGATATTAAGATCTTCCATAGGCTTCTTGAGGGACTGGCTCTTGCTGTCCTCGAAAAGTCATTAAAGACATCGTTAAAATAGTCCAAGTGACTACAGGGGCTCAATTTTAACTTTATCAAACGACGAGAACACTTTTTGTGCACAAAAACAACAAAAATAACGACTTTATTTCAACTATTCACTTCCTTCTCCATGAGCCTGTAGTCAGTTAACGTGGTGTGATTGCGAAAAGCTACGTCACACGTAGGCTCACTATTGGCCGACGCTGGTCATGTGTGTGTGATGCGTGTGACGTACAATAACAGAAGCTTACGCTATTAAACTAGTAACCTGACTCGCGCAGAGGGAGAAATAAACGAATAGTTGAAATAAAGTTGTTATTTTTGTTGTTTTTTTGCGCACAAAAGTGTTCTCGTCGTTTGATAAACTTAAGATTGAGCCCCTGTAGTCACTTGGACTATTTTAACGATGTCTTTAATGACTTTTCGAGGACAGCAAGAGCCAGTCCCTCAAGAAGCCTATGGAAGATCTTAATATCTTAAATATCTGAATTTGTGTTCCGAAGATGAACGAAGGTCTTACGGGGTTGGAACAACATGAGGGTGAGTAAATACTGACAGAATTTTCATTTTTGGATGAACTAACCCTTTAAATCTTGTCAGATACATCAGTGGCTCTTTACATCAGAATATTCTGCATAATGCAGTAGACACACTGCCTAACACTTAAAAAAATAATACAATTTACACACATTTGCATACTGTATACGGTGTAGCTACAGAAATACTCTCAGTATTGCATTTGAACAAACAATTATAGATTAATAATCCATAATTGGCTTCTTGGTTTTGTTTTTTTAAATCTGCACTGCATTTAAATAACTTCAGCAAACTATAGAGAACATTAATGCATGCAATTTGGGAGACGATGAAGACAGAAAACAATAATAATGACACAAAGAAGAGGTAGGAAATACTTTTCTGTTGGGGATTTAATGAATGTCTTTGTGAGTAGAGATTTACATAAACCTCGTCCAACAGAACAAATAACAGAAAAAAAAGAAACATAAAACAACAGTGAGGCGGTCACATTAAGCACACTGAATGAAGCTGGTGATGTGGGATTTTTCACACACACTGCCATAGAAATATTTTGGTCCTTTGTGCATAACAGCAGTTTAAATAAAAAGGTCAACCCCCCCCCCCCCCCCCCCCCCCCCCCACGAACGCAAAAAAAAAAAAAAGTACATACGTTTAAGAGGAACTTAATCAGACCAATAATTGTAGAAGATCACCCAAATAAATCTTTTTACATGCATAAAAAAAGTGCAAATGTACACAGATGTTTGTTTATGGTACATATTTACATGCTCACTGCTCTTTTCTGCTAATCCTTTTCATGGATTTGACCTTTGACCTGACTGCTACTCATCGCGGACGCCTCTGTTTGGAGCGCTGTGTCATCAGTGGTGACGAGGACGTACCCGTGCTCTGAGACGTGGAGACGTGGGCCAGTCCCGGCAGGCTGTTGGCTAGTTTGGCCAGGCCGCCGTTGGTGAGGAGCTGGTGTATCGCTGTGGTTTTGGTAGACACGACCGGCACCGTGCGCACTAGCGTCCCGCTTCCCGAGCTGAGAGAGCTCAACACCTGCCCCTGAGTCTGGGGCTTCCCTCCTGACACCTGAACAACACAAGAGGGAATCATGCAAGCGTGTTTATTATAAAGGATGCAAAAACATGCTGATTTTAGTTTCAGAAGCATATGCTGCGTGACTGGGCCGGCACCTGTGTGGTGGAGGGAACGCCTGGGGATTTGGTGTTGATCTCCTGCAGACTGAGGCTGAGGCCCTGAAGCAGACTACTGGCAGAGGGACCTAACACACACACACACAGAGTCAAACAAGAGTTACTTTTCTCAGCTATTTTTCCATTTTAGTCAAAAGGCCCACTCACACAAAGGACGGCAACTATAACAAGAGTGATAAAGATTTACTTCCAGAATCAGAATCCACACCACAACAATAACGGCACAGAGAAATGATGTTATGTTGCAATCGGAATCCATCAAGCACTGGTTTCTTCATTTGTGGGGCATGTGATCATCGGTTGAAAAACACAATAACAGAAAACAGCCGTTCAAATACGTCAGTAGCTTTTATAAAGTGGCACCGGACGCCAAATTCACTGAATTTAATACAATTATATCATTTTATAAATGTTATGTTTGACATTTTTTTTTCGTTAGACAATTTAAATGAACAAATATTGAGAAATGAGTGCAGTTATATAAGCTACCAGTCTTTTTTGGGTTTAACTTATAAAAGAATAATATTATTTTTACATCCGCAGAATAAAATGAAAAACTAGGAAATCACCAAAACACGATACGGACTCTGATTCACTACATTTAGTGTTGCTGGAAATCGATAATGGATAATAATATATTTATATAATGTACTGACACTGCACACACAAAGAAACTCAAGCTAACACTGCGGTAATGATTCAAAATTATTTTTTTTAATCAGTTTTTTTTTTTGGTTTAGAATGTAATGTTTATATTTTAACCCTTTTGCACATAATATAGTGCATAGCCATAAATTCACTATTTGTTAATTTTTTAATAGAAAATAATTCGATTTTTCATCTGATGCAGCACATTGTTGCCAGGTTGTGAACATCAAGTCCATGCGCCCATAAGGAAGTAATGGAATAGTGGAATAGAGTCGTTATTTATGTTTTTTCGCACAAAAAGTAGTCTCGTCGCTTGACAAACTTATAATTGAGCCGCTGTAGGCACATGGAATATTTAAACCTTTTCTTTAATGACTTTATGGACCGTCAAGAGCCAGTCCCTTAGGCAGTCTATGTAGGACTGATCTAGCTCTCAGATTCAATCAAAAATATCTTTATTTGTGTTCCGAAGATGAACGAAGGTCTTACGGGGTTGGTACAGCATGGGGGTGAGTAATTAATGACTTAATTTTCATTTTTGGGTGAACTAACCCTTTTAACATGCGACCTGTATCTGAGTGTTGTCCACATACACACTGAACCAAAAGCAAGCCACTTGATGTTGCCAAGTGTAAACACACAGTGCCCTGATTGGCTGATGATCCAATCTGCTTCATCGGGTCACGGTGATCGCATGTTAATGCCGCAGCCTCTGTTGGCAGGTTTCGTAGGTCGGGGTACCTTGAGCAGTGGCGGGGGCCTGTGCCTGGACAGGAGAGGAAGAACCCGACATCACGGTCCCCTGAAGGCTGTGAAATGACCCCTCACTGGAACCCAAAACTCCAGACACATCTGCCAAACCTCCTGACCTAAAAGAGCAGAGAATACCACATCAGAATCAAACCACCATAAACACAGATGCTGATTTTGACGACATAAAAAAAAAATTAAACCAACCACATTCTACACTTTTGTAGCATTTTTTTTACAAGTTTACAAGGTTGGAAAGTGGAAACGTAATTGCAGTGTAATGAAGGTATGCAGGTATTGGAACATTATCTTATAGAACTTAGAAATCTTATAGAACATGATATTGAATAAATCCTGCAAATGTCACAAAAACACAGATCTAAAGCTACCCGTTTGGGCAGGGTTGCAATCTCATCACGCAAGAATAGAAGTAGAACTTATTATTTTAAAGGGATACTTCACCTCTGGAAAGATGACTGTGCATTTAAAATGGGTCATTTATGTAGAAGAAATGTGAAATTATTTTTGAATTTGGAGCTTTCTAGACTGAGAAAAGCCAGAAAATGTATTTTTGGCTTATGTGGATGAAAGACAACAACTCCCAGAATGCACTTGCTTCGCTGCCCTAGGAGGCCACGCCTATCAGTAACAGAGCGCAGTAGTTAAACAACAAGTCTAGGCTACTAGTGAGTCTCCGTGATGAGTCTGCCCGAACATGTTTCGATATCGCCTAAATGTCCGGGATTCCGCTTTTGCGTTCTACAGCCGCCGTTCATCATGTTTGCTGTGGCGAGCGGGACGAGCGAGGGCCGCGGGAGAACGGCGCGAGGCCGGTGGCGTGATTACCGATGAGCGACACCAGTGAGACGCACCGGTCTCGTATCTCTCACGGAGGAGCGGGAATTTTCTTAGCAATGTTAAAACACACATCAACCGATCACTTGTTTATCGTTCATGTAAACACTACAGTCAGATTCACCAATCAGAATGAATTCAGTCAGATTGAAACAAAAGCAGTTCATATAAACAATGAATGGCGACAGCAGAAAGCAAAAGCTGAATCCCGGACATCGACAGCTGGACATGTCCGGGAAGAAGAGGATGGTAACCCCAACTACTCAGCTTTCTCCACAGAACAAGAGCCTGCTAGCTTAACTTCCACAAAAAGATGGCCGACACTATGTGTTCATTCTGTGAGTGAGATCTCCCTCTATGGGCGGGTTGAGGACATGCGGGACAGACCCGACTACTGACTGTAGTCTTTAGCTTCTGGACAATAAACCATCCGATGACGCAAAATGACGATTTTTGCATCATCGGAGGATTTTTTCCAGTCAAAAAATTCATAAATCTCTCGTCTCAGGGGGATATGAGGGTGGAACGCACAATAATTCAAAAATACTAAAGGTTTTCTACTAATACAAAACTAAAAGCTAAATGCTGAAGTATGCCTTTAAAGATTAAAGCCCTGTCCATACAAAGTAAAAAAAAAATGCATACAAAAAAAAGAAAAAAAAAAGAAAAGAAGTGCAAAAATTTGGTTCATTTGAAAGAATGCCTATTAATGCTTTTGTTCAGAATGACATGAACATTCACATGCCATCAATGCAACATTTTTTTTATGGTTTTAAACTCATTTTCAATTACACCGCGAATAAAGCTGACCAGGGCCTGAAATTAACTTTTTCGGCCACCGGCCACTGTGGCAGGTGGATTTAAAAATTCACCTGCCACAGAGACTTTTTACCAGCCACTTTTTTTTTTTTGCCTCATATTTTGCCTCAGCCAAAAAATGGCTGGTAAAAAGAACAATATTGTGAAATTACTGTTTTTTTTCCTTCACCTTTATAGAAAGGTGAAAAAAAAACGGGAATTTCACAATATTGTTCTTTCACTTGTAAGAATACACATTTAAGTTCTGTCAAGTAATAATAATAACTCTAAGAACATACATTTTTAAAAATCTTTTTATTCATTGATTTTGACACTCACACAACATATATAGTATAATAGGCCTATAGTATATACTCAACAGATAGACCTACCGCAGCTCGTATGTAAACAAATCACACGCGGCTGTGTTGATGGCTGATTTAGTCACGTAGACAGATCCTGACAGCTTTTAGTTAGCTACAGCGTTCAGGAACTGTTAACTATGAACTAAATTAATATTGGGAAAAGGGCCTCGTCTTCTTCTGATCGCATGAACGTTACGAAACAACAGTCGCTGTCATAAATCAGCCGCTCACGAACCTTGCCATTGCCGCCAATTGTCCACTTTGTATTAAAATGTCTTCTTTTACTTTTCTTTTTCTCATCCTCATCTTTTTGTTGGTTGTTTGTTTCAGCTGGCCTCTTTACCCCAGTAATGTGCCGCCACATTTTAGCTAAAGTCAAACGCAATGGCAGACTTAGTTGAAATGTAAAAATCCTTATGAATTACTCAATTCTCATTGGCTACCTGCCAATGTGGCATGTAGATTGACAGTGTTACCCGCCAATAGAAAAATTCACCCGCATTTGGCAGGTGGTCGGGTGTTAATTTCAGGCCCTGAAGCTGACTATCCAGAAAGATTCTCGCTTTTGGTCACATGCATTCTGCAGAATGTCCATTTTGAACAGTTGTGTTTGTATGAACAGGTTTTCTCTTCTGTACAATTGATGTGGTGTGTGAGATAAAGGTACCTTTGTGCGCTGAGAAGCTCAGACAGCTCTTTGGCCCCCGATACCGTCTGGCCCACTGTGAGTCCGAGGGGCTTTCCTGACAAACCCACTGCACAGAAAAACAGGAATACAAGCGTGAACACTGAGACAGTCTGAGACACCTTTTTCAAATTTTACATGAGATTATGTAGGCTATTACCAGATTTTAACTATAAAATGGCTTTACTGGAGAAGTACACCTACATTCAAAACTATGGGGCAGTGTTAATTTCGTTGACGAAAATAATAAAGAAAATTATTCGGTTAAGACATTTTTTCACAGAAGAAAACGAGTCGCTAACTAAATAAAAAATAGTTTTGAATGACAAAAACGGTGACGAAAATCTATTGACATTTTCGTCAACTAATAAAAACTAGACGAAAATGTTAGATAGTGACGATTTGGGAAGCGATCCAGTCAGAACTGATCTGTGTGTTCTGTGTGTGGTGGTAAATGCGCACATTTGTACTGTAACGTGCTGATCTACCCCGCGGTCTCATAAAACGTTAAAAAAATGTGAACGTCTGGGAGAACGAGTAGAGGAGACATATAGATATGAATAAAAAGCTTTATTTGGTAACTTACGGTTCTCCGTGCGCACACACCCGACCCGAAGCGCGCAGCTATGCACACACACATATAAAGCACGCGAGGACTGAACTGAGCTCTCTTTTGAGAGCTCTCTCTTTGAGCTCTCTGTCTGAATGGATAAATACACAACATTATGTCTAAATGTCCGTTTTGGACAGCAGCATTCATGTAAACTATGTCGGTTATGACTTAAACAGTTGTGAGTGTATCGGATGTGCATCAGTGCAATCGTATCCGCATGTCATTCATTGAAAATGATCCGACGTCTTAAAGTGATAGTGGCAATAAACATAATGTGGTCTGTGTCCTTTATATTGATCAAGCCTTCACTGTTTGTTAATTGCTTTAGTATAATAAGGATTAATTATATTTAATTTACACAAATAAATATGTCTGCTGATAGAATAAAGAATGATGCAAGTAGTTACAAAGAATGCATGCATCATTCATTGAAAAGAAGACTGTGTTCTACTTTAGGAAAAGTGGTTTTATTTAATTTTAAGATATTTTTTTAAGTCACAGTAGTTAAATCTGTATCTGTATTGCATGTTCAGACATTTAAATCATTCATATTAACAGGTTAATAGATGTTTTCTTCAGGAGTAAGCCAATATGGGTTTGTACATTTTATTCTATTCTAAATTCTAAATTAAAGCATTACAATTTAACTAAACCCATTATATTTTAGTCGACTAAATCTACTGAAGATTTAGTCGACTAAAATCATATTGAATTTCTTCGATTAAAACTAAAACAATTCAGATGACTAAAATATGACTAAACTAAATGGCATTTTAGTCAAAAGGCTAAAACTAAATCAAAATTTGCTGTCAAAATTAACACTGTTATGGGGTCAGTAAGTTGTTTTTGAAACTGAAAGGCAGTCTGGTTACCATGGTCCAGATTTTCGCCTCATTTAGGGAACCAATCACAGAACGGGGAGGGAGCAGCAAGACGATGATGAAATCTATGCGACTCCTGCCTAAATGCATCAATATGTGGCACAGATTGTTTAATGAGTGGGCTGTGTGTTCAGTACCGTCCTGAGCAGCGGAGCCAGTGCTTCCTGACGCGTCTCCGTGGGACACGATGGTCACTTTGATCTTGGCTCTTTTGGAGGCTTTGTTGGGAGTGGGACTGGGAGTTTGTCTTCTCTTGAGGTGGAGCCTCATGTCGTCTCGGTCCAAACCCTCCACCTGCTCACTGGGCATCGGCACTGAAACACATGATGCTGAGGGGTTAAGCTCCAACAAAGGTCACGCAAGGTGCCATCAATATGAAATGTTGCAGAGGTCTCTGGGTACAGATTAAGACACTTGCTAAAGAATCGAACCCCGAATTATTTTGACATCAGTGTTTGGTTTGTGTGAGAGATGCTTTTTGAACTCAGGCGCACAGAAAGGAAACACACTCAACACAGCTTGACACCAGGGGTAGGGTTAGGGGTAAGTACTAATAAATATGTAGCCTAATTATAGTATGAAAATAATCTGTGAACTGAAATTGACGATGTACAATTTAGCCATTACAGTATAATAATTTCTCATTGTTGCTTGTCTTGACGAACTGCCTTTGATGATGATCTGGTCTGTCTATGCGTTATAAACTCAAAACAAAAACCCATAATGCACTTTGATTGTGCCACCACCCCCTCTGTCAATCCAACTGTCCACTGGCAGGAATTAAAGAAGTGAAAGTTACAGCTGTAGTTATAACAATAGAAAACTCCAAAATGATAATTCAGAAGACGTTTGCTTTGCTGACAAATAAAAACTGTGATATCTGACTGCAGGTAACATGGAGAATGAGTGTACATCATCCATTTACACCCACACTACTGATATTTTAACAATACATTGCTGGTTTAAAAAAATGACAAATGAATCCTTTACGTTTTGCTAGTAGAAATTGTAAATACTAAAAAGGAACGTTACTATGTATGGGGAAACAACAATGTTCACGTGAAATGATTCTGGTTTAATTACAATCAATGGATGATATATTGACACTAACAAGGAGAACACACACAAACAAAAAAAAAAGTTTGGAAGAATAGCGTGGTAAAAGTTCTAAAACGACAGAGCATTCATTTAGTGTGTAATCATGTATTCCTGCATCATCCTCAGACTAATAAGCAAGAGAGTTTGCCTCACTACTATTAAAAATCAAATAAACTTAATCGAACTAAATCTAATTTCAGCCCAGTGCATGGAATCAATGCTATTGACGTGAAACGTCAGCTTCAGCGTTACCCAGGTGAGGCGTCACTCATCGATTGAGCCTTGTAAAGTGATGCTCAGTTAATTTCAACATCTTGCTTGATTCGTGAATGAATCAGCATTTAAGCTTATTAGTTAGATTAATGATTTAATAAAGCTCATAACTAGGGTCCCTTGCTGCCGTCTGCTGGCGTAACAATGTAACTGCAATTATGTTCAGTTTTAAAGCCTTGTAGCTTTTTAATAAGGCTATGTTTACACGGAAACGACCTGAAGAGAAAACACAAAAGTGGTGTTGAGTTATCACTTTTTATTCTGCGTTTACACAAGTGTTATGGGTGGGAAATCCACGTGCATATGGTGATGCAAAAGTGTGTGAAAAGATGCAGTATGCACTCCAGGTGGCAATGTGAAGCACTGCCACACAACAACACCAAGTCCGCACGCATGCGCACAACCTTCACTGTCTAGCAGACTTTTGCGTTTTTACCCTTTACACAGGAAAGCGGAGGGTCCCGAAGGGTGGCTTCAATTTTTTGCGTTTTTAAGCCCCATTTTTACGTTTTCACCCGCAAGCGTCCTCGTGTAAACAGGGCCTCAGTCAAAGTATCCTAATATTGATAATGTCTTGAGTAAGCTCGGATTTTAAAGGCCTATTAAATTTGAAATTAACATCAAAATGAATATTAGTTGTGCTTAATTGCTTCTGAATTAAGACAATGATTGCAACATTACTGTAAATAATATAACCAAGACAATCTGTGATCTCAAAGCTGTCAATACAAGTTCAACTTCCAACTTTACTCAGCACAGAAAAACTTGACCAATACCAATAATTAAAAAATATAAATAGGCCTAGGCAATGTATTGATCAAATAACACCTTAAATGTGTTTATGTGTGAAAAGGTAAAGAAAGCACCTACACCGTTAGGGAAAACTACTATCACGCATTTTTATGATTCAAGGCCCGTACACACCTGGACGAATATCAGCGCGCGTTATTCGTCAGCGTTTTTCAACGCGTTTTTTGTGTTCACACCCAAGCGTTTTTCTCTGACGATGAGCCGAATGAACATGCAAATTCATTCCCTGACATTAGATGGCGCTTAATGTAAAACAGAAATAATGATAGAATACTATACTAGGGTGATCATATTCATGTCTCAATGTTTTATTATGACAGATAGAAAAAAAAAACTAATGAAATAATGATAGAAATAATGTCTTCTGTATTAGAAAAATATATAGGCCTAAATAATAAATAACTAAAAGAAATGCCTCCAAATGTAACAAAAAATAGCTCTCACAAACCTACAAAAACGAACTAACAAAATCTATTTATATCTTTAGTTTTCATTCTCTTTATCTTGTTTTTCTTCCATGTCCACCTTGTTTGCCCATCTATATTTTGCTGTAGGACTGATCTTTCCCAACAGTTTTTGTTTGAAAACCAGGACATTTTCATCACTTAAAAACAGTCAGGACAGGACATGGAAACAGGACATGTGTAACGCAAAGTTGAGATGTTGCCCAGAGATAAAAACATAGCAGTTGTCGGATGAACAGTTGCACGAGAGACGAGAGTTGTCGTATTTCCCCGCGTTTAATAAAACCACTCTAAACGTCACACTCGTCCTCCTCATACACGGGGATCGAGTGAGAGAATCGACATCTGGTCACAATAGAAAAATAAAATAAAAGAAAGAATACAAAGAGTCGGCAGAGCGGTTCTCCTCTCCTCACTTGTCAAAATCTAACTGACATTATGCACACTATGCGCAGTTCTCATCTCAACTCAGATTTCTATAAAGCACAAAGTAACCGTTTTACACATGTCCCGGGAAAACAGGACTGTTGGTCACCCTATACTATACTATTATTATAGAAATACTAATATAAATATTATCTTATAGCTCTTTGTGCTCCGAGACCAGCAGCTCAACATTCATCTTGCCCACAGGTATCTTATCTCTTCTTTGCCGTATGTGTGCTCGGCAAGACCGTTTTGTGTTTGAGCGCCCTCAAGTTGTGTTTTACTGTAACTTCAGAAGTACCAGACACGTGAGCAAACCCGCCGATCTCGTTGGTCGGATAGGTTTTGACGCGGCGCGTCAAACCAAAAAAACGAACCCGAGGCGTTTTTTTTAAAATGACACTTTTACGCGTGGCGTTTTTCGCGTCGGTGTGAACACTCACATTGGCGCCCATTGTTTAGTCACGAGGCGTTAAACGTCGACGAATTACGCGCGCGAAATTCGTCCCGGTGTGAACAGGCCTTTAAGGTAGATTCATGTCAGGAAGAACATGCATTTACAAGCAGTCAATATTTGAAGCATTAACTATTGTTATTGCCTTTTGCAAACACAAAAGTGGTTTAAATGTGGTGAAACATTAAAAGGGACGTATGTGATACAGATATGACAGACAACTTTAAAGAAAGACATGAAAGGGGGAAGGACAGACAAAAAAAAAAGAATGAAAGAAAAAGAGAGGGAGAGATACTCACCAAAGAGACATGAAGGGCTGCCAGGAGGAATGCTTTTCCTCACCAGCATATTATGTTTCATAAAAGCAGCGAACTGAGCTGTAGCGAACGGAAGACAAAGATGGAGAGAGTGAAGGGGGAAAGCACAGGGGATATAGAAGAGACAGGAATCACACACAACATTACTGCTTGATGGGATCTGGGATTCTCCTCAATACAAGGATGACGTGACTACATCCCAGATAGTTAACAGTGTAGACCTTGTCATTCAACATGCACAGGCATCAGCTCAGGGTTAAAAGAGGCCAGTGAGGCTAAAACATGATTTAGTGTTCAAGTTATGCAGATACAGAATGGAACAGAACACAGGGGGTCATGAGGCACACTTTTAACTACTACCGGGCTCAAATTTTGATCATTTTTTTGTCTGTAGAAAGACAAACATAAACAGTGACGAAAGCCAAAATACTAAATCTCATGCAAGTATGATGGGTAATCCACTGTTTTGTAGAGGAGGGTCAACATTTTAATTCTCACCTGAGATATGTGGGCAAATTAGAGGGGTGTAAAAAGCTAAATTATTTTATTTTTGCAGAGATTGGTAGGTCTACAAGTAAAATATGTTTCTTTTAGCAATATTTGTTTCATTAAATGCTAACGGTGACCGTTAAAGAATGGAAAAAAGCTCTTGTGTTTTTTGCCTCAAGTTTGGATGCCTGTATCTCAAGACGTATTAAATATATCCTAATATTCATTTAGATTCTGGTTCTTAAATTTTCCTTGGTATCTTCATTTTAAAGGTCCTCGATGGTTAAATCCCAGAGATATGGAGATCTTAATGTGGCTCCATGAGTAAATTGGTACACAGATTCAACTAATAGACCAACCAGCCAAAAAAATAGGATGCTGCCATCTTTCTAAAGTAATTTTTACACCCCTGCAAGTTGGTTCCAAATCTCAAGTGAAAATGGTCATTTTGACCCTCCTCTACAAAACAGTGGATTATACTCAGTCAATATACATCCGTTACATTTATATTATAGACATCTGTGACATTTATTTATAGACATACATTTAATATTTTCTATAATAATTTGTCTTTCAACAGAAAAAAAATACTACCCACATCAAAAATTGTACGAAATTGTTGATTTGACACGGAATGACCCTACTGGTTTTGTAATGAGCTATGTTACGTGCAGTTGTCTCCCACAAGGCAGAAATAATCTTAGCAATATTAATAACAACACAGGCAAAATGTGAAAAAGCATCCTGCATGTAAGCTCTCTTAGGGTTCTGGGGCCGATTAAGTGAACTTGCGCCTGGAAAGATACACACCTTGTGCTTGCTTGTGTGTGAGCACAGTTCCTGAGCGCTGCATGTGGGTCTTCAGAAGCTGTGTGGCAGTGATGAGACTGGATTTCTGAGCTGGTGAAAGCCCGACGGTCTTGGGTTTGGGACTGGCTGTAGGACTACTGCAGACACTGGACATATCCTGGAGGGGAAACAATATTAACTTAATTATCTACATGTTCTGATTGGTTTTAGCCAGATTATTATGTGTTTCATTTTTCTACGTAGGTACAGATAAACCTTATAGTGCTTCACTGACGACGTATTTTTTGAAGGCCAACCCGGAAGTTAGTGTCACCCTGGTTCCCATGAGACAAAGCCAATAACAGGGTTCATACACATTTTAACCAATACTTTTCGGCACATTTCCATGAGTATGTATTCCTGAAACAGTCCGCTCATAGTGAAGTCCTGCACAGAAGTTTTTTTTAAATTCACCAACACCACAAACATTTCGGCACACAGGGGGAAAAAAGTCAGCGAGTGATAGTACTGCCTGGTGCTTGGTGTCTTTAGCATGGCTAGCTGGCGCTGATTCTCCCATATTAGAGATATCAATTTTCTTAGCAATAGTAAATGAACATAGTAAATGTAACATTGGGATGTACCGATACCATCTTTTTCAGAAAGGATCCGATCCGATACCAAAAATTCTGAGATATCAACCGATACCGATCCGATTCCAGAGCAGTTTTTTTTTTTAATCAAATAGAATTTCTATAACTCTGTGTGTTGAACTGATCACCACTCTTGTGTGTGTTAAACACAATCTATGTAATACAGACAGCTTCATTATAAAGATAAACAACAAATCCCAAAAATATATGATCTGAATCTATGACAAATGCTATTATAAACTAGATTAGTGGATAATACACATTGCTCTTTGTATTGTTGTAAAATACATTTATGAAAAACAAGATAACAAAAATCAAAAAGATAATTATTTTAGATACAGCCAAGGCTACTATAAAATTGAGACAACATGTTTTAAATGTTGATATTTGCACACTCTGTGACTATACAAATCACAACATGTAAATAGGAAAACGTTTGCGTTATTTTGCCACTCATTTGGATCAGTATGAAAGCTGCAACCAGTCACATCCAGTCTTTGTGCTAAGCTAGGCTAGCGGTGGGTGCGTCAAACAGACTTATAGCACGCACGGAGATGAAAAAGGTATGTATGGACTTATCTAACTCTGGGGGGTAAGGTGAATAGGCTAAAGTCCCAAAAAGTCGGAGTGTTCCTTTAAATGTCAGTGACTCTGCGCGTGAAGAACAATTATAGTGCTCTGACTGTTGTGATCTAACCGACAGCATCCGACACCCGGTAGAAAGTAACATGATTAAGTTACAGCAATAAAGTCCAGCAAGATAAAGTAGTTTTATGTGAAAACATAGACCTTTATGTACAGATCAAGTATAATAATATTAACATTGAATCATCTTGAAGATAGTTTGACAGTCTGACAGTCATTCTCCATTCAGCATTCAAACAATAAAAAGTTATTTAACAATAACACAGAATAGTATACGCAAAATATCAGATTTGGATCGGCCTCGTCTGATCGATAAGTTACCTGATCAGGTGTTCTGTCAGTATCTGAGCCGACAGCACTGACTTCACCTCGGGCAACAAGTGAATCAGAAGTGAACTGAACGTTATGCCGCCCGAATACAAGGACTTTAAGACAACGCAACATTTTTTTTCCATTAAACAGTTTTTGTATTAATCACATATTATGCTGTGTTAAAAATTAATTAAAAAAATACAAATTCAATGACTTTTCCAAAACTTTCTAGGTCTTTTTATTTTTCCAAACCTTTCCAGGCCTGGAATTTGCATTTTTCAAATTCCATAACTTTTCCAGTTTCTTTTTAAAACGTACGAACCCTTCAATAAATCATTTTCCATTGACTTTGGATATTAGATTATTGCAGAAAAGAAGTTCTGCGACTAAAAAGATAATCTTCACAAATGAAAGTTTATGTATTTTGAAACCAATCGGCAGAAGCAAAAAGCTAAACGTAAGCTATAAACGAACTCCACTACGGTCACGTGATTTCAATAATATGTGAAATATCTTAATCTTGTTTTAACCACAGACCTTATTTCAGGCATTCATATTTCAGCACTCTATATCCTTTAACTTTTTTTGGTCTTACCTCTGATCCAGATGGGGAGATGGGTACCCTCACAGCAGGTGAAGAGGGTCGTGACCTCTCAAGATCAAAGGGCAGCTCACGGCGTGGTTTCTTCTTTTTCTCTGCATCCAAATCTCGTGTTTCACCAGAGCCATGACCATGACTCTCAGCACGGGTCAAAACTCCTGTCAGAAAATCAACTATCTCGTCCTTTAAAAAAAGGGGGGGGAAAGATTAAGGCTACAGACTAAAGAGGTCACACAAGACAGATTTATACATTTATCAGAGCTAACGTTTAAGGCCAGCTTTCCCTAAAAATAGACTTTGTCTTTGTGCTGGACTTTAGTCTCTCCCAGGCTGAATATCTTAAGAAATCCCTCTCAAGGAAGTGATTTTAAACCATGCTTCATTGACTTTGCCTTTAAATGATCACTATGTGGGGAACACAAGTGAAAAGTACTGACTTGAATGCAGCGGTCCACCATGGTCTGGGTCAGGCCTTCTGTCTTCATCTTAGTGGAGTTGATCCTGCAAACAAAGCCGAGTGTTTTCAACTAGCCTATACAGAGGGACTCCCCAGAAACACACGTGAATGTCTGAAGACACAAACCTCAAGTTGTCATCAGCCCCTCCGACAACTACCATGCTGTTATCAGCTCGAATCTTTTCCCTGAACTCCTCCATGTTCTCAGGACTGCACTGTAGTGCGTTCTGACCAACCACAAACAGCACAGGAGTCTTCATGTCCAACAGCGGATCATCAACATCCTGACAAACACAATACAAACATTACGTTTCAGCCAGCAGTTTTTAAAGTATCTGCTAAACGGTTTCATGAAGCTCATCATGACAGAGCGGTTTACACTGAATGAGAAACTAAGTTTCCTCTTACCCCTCGTGGCCCGCTGACAGTTTGCAGAGGGAAACCCAAACACACAACTGCAGTCATGTACTCCATAAGGGAAACCTGGACGCAAAAATAGACATCTATCATCAGTTTACAGCCGACCATAGACAAGAAGTTAGAAAACTGTTGTTGAGAGAGGACTTACATGACAAGAGATCAATGACCCCAAATTCCAGCCCACCAAGATGATCGGTTTATGGGGGAAGTGACTATGAACCTAGAGAGCAAATACATAGAATTTACTAGGGCAGAAACGATTAATCAAAATTGTCGACAAATATCTTTGTTGTCGAGTAGTCGTTTGATCTCACGTGATCTAATGTAAGGGCGTGCAATATCATGATTTGACCGCTACGGCACTGTAGCGCTAGAGTGTAATGACGCCCTTTACAAATGCTATTGTGGTAAAAGAAAAAAACAGCGCGAATTATGACAGAGTGCAAACGAATCTGAACTAGCAAGGTTTGGGAAAGTTTCACAAAACTTCAAACCAAGAATGTTGTCGTGTGCAATACATGCAAGGCAGAACTTGCTTTTCACGGGAGCACAACATGCATGTTGGAGCACTTAAAGAGGAAACATTCCTGCAAAAGAGGAGCCGGTTGAAAATTGAGTGTTATCCAGCTGGAGCTAACTAACTAGCGTTAAATCTCTTTATTAGATGATGCAATACTACTAGTAATAATATTATCAATTATAATATAATTACAGACATGTGATGATTCATTTTGCATAGAATAAAGCTTGATCGAGCTTAGGAGTCAGGGCTGTTTTTATTATTGGAACACTATTATATATTGTAGTCTTATCGCTTGCCTATATTTTGTTCCTTAATGGTTAGTTTTATTGCAGATAACGAAAATGATTTTTAATAAATAAAATAAAAACTTTTTGCCTTATATGATACCTTAACACAACGTTTTAGTCAAAATCCAAGGCCAAAATATCGTATTTATCCTTTGCAGATATGGCAATTCAAAAACCAATTGCCCAGATGGCAAACATAGTTTATTTTAATGTAACTAAATAATTATATCCAGTTCAGGAAAGTGTTAACAGAAAAATAGTTAAATCTAATTTGTGGAGTCAGGGCTGTTTTTATCGTTGTAACACTATTAGGTATTATAGTCCCATCACTCGCCTGTCTTTTGTTCCAGAATCATGAAGACTTACAAAAGATGTTTGGAAGAATATCATGGCAGTTACTTTTTCATACTGTAAATTAAAAGGTGAATGAGAACGTCTCTGTCAGCTCGATTTTCATGTATTTTTTTAAAAAAAAATTATACTTATAATAATGGTTTGCAGATTCATATTTTACCATTCTTTGTGTCCTGAAGTAAATGTCCCTTTTTCTGTTTCAGTTCTAGGAAAAGCAGTGGTCCTATTAAGCAATGCTTAGAGAGAATTTGTCTGATTTGAGTTGGACTGAAATCTGAAACTAGTTGGCTCAAAGTTCATTAAAACAACTATTTCAAAAGCTGAACTGATTTTCTTTTCTTATATTATAGTGAGAATATTTATAACTTGTATAAAATATATAAATGTATATGTTTTAACTGATCGAAAAATCTGAATAATCGTTCCAAGCCTACTGATTAATTGTTGAAATAATAGACGATTAGTCGCTTAATCGATTATCGAAATAATCGTTTGCTGCAGCCCTACAATTTACCTTCACATACTTTATTATCAAACAAAATGTATCTATTTTTTTTTGCCCTTTTATCACCAAAGATTCATTTTCATGGCAAGAACATGATTATTGAAAATACAAATGGCAAATAATAAACAAAAACTTGAAGCACTTTAGAAACTACAAAAGATATTTTAATTCAATACTTCATTCGAAATAATAAAAAAGAGCCCTTCTTGAAAACATTTAAAAAAAAACTTTCTAAAATCAAATGATTTCCCAAGTGATATTAAAAGAAGAACATTATATTAAAATATGACTAATTCTATTACAAATGATACTAAAAATAAATACAAATTAAACAGCATTATATGAGATATGTCTTGTAAACATATTTTTCACACTTCACAAACTGTGGTATGTCCACTTAAAAAAAAAATCCTTACTTGCCTGGTTCATACTACTCTGAGCAATGTTTGAACTTTGTATATTGAGTACTTCTTGCATTGTTATTGCCTCTCCACAATGTCTTGTTTGATTTAGACCTCAGATGTAAGTCGCTTTGGATAAAAGCGTCTGTTAAATGACTAAATGTAAATGTGTCCTATTTAAATAAATGCTCTCCATAGACATTTATTTGTCCAAACAATCAAGTAATATAAGAATACACCTTTAATTTCTTAGAAGTACGAGATAATCACAAATTGCTAACATAATGTGGATTTGGGACATCTAAATGGACAAGAACACAATAACAATACAATGCAATTTCACAGTTGTGTAAAATAAATGATTAATGCTAATATTTACGGCTGACCCATACAGAAAAATCGCGTCCCTGATTTATCTTTTTCTGTAAAGCGAAAGTGGCATTGTCTAGCTAGTGCTGTGTGTCGTTTCGTACCTCAATGACCTTTCCTCGGACTGTGCCGATCATGTGCTCTAAACACTGCGTGATTCCGATGTTGGCTCCACTGCCCACATGAACATTTATGGGAATGACCTGAATCACAAAACAGACACAAAATACAGACTTTAAAAAGTGCAGTTTATCTGAATAAGAAACGGAAGGGACTCAAATGCAAGAATGATAAATTGAATGCAATAGTTGCGTTACTCTCAATGTAAACAAGCCAACATCAGAAATGATTGAGGAGAACTCTAAATCAAAGTGTTTCGCTTATGATTTTGCATACCTTCCCTAGACAGGAGAGCTGAGATTGCCAGAATCTCATTCGCCGAGAGGTAGAGAAGGCAGAGTTGGTTGGCCCTGATGGAGCTAACAGGATCAGTGGAGATCCAGGAAGTTTACTCTGTAAATAAAAACATGAACACGCATATTTGATTCAGAGAGCAATCAAGTGCCATCAGGAGAATACCTTTTCTGTACAATACCTTTATATTACAGAAATATTACCACAAACAAATCTCTCTCATTCTCAATCGGAATGAATGAATAAACCAACAAAGTAAAGCCTGGTACATACTGGTTTGTTGTGTGAGAGTACACCCACAGCAGGGTCCCATGGGCGTTTAAGGAGCAGAGAAAGAGCCTCAGTCCCCGCAGCTCCGGTTTTTACAGACGATGACAGCAACATCCTGTCGATCAGGGATGGTACCTAAAAGAGGAAGATGTGGAAAAGAATAAAAACAGTCTCCGGTAATCTCCTGCTATGGACTCTAAACACACAGCGGTATGATAATATCACAGTATGATAATATCACCCACCTTGCTTTTGAGTGTTTGCAGTACATCAAGGTAGGCCGCCAGCATAGCAAGACTCAAAGACTCCACAAGTGTGCTATGCAGCCACTGCGTCAGCTTTATGTCCCAGCTGACACTGGACAGAGCGTGCCGTACCTTATGAGCACATTTATCCACAGCTATCCTGCGTAAGACAGGTTCATTACAGGCCTGTGGAGACCAGAGACATGGAGACTGAGAGAGAGCACGACCTGACAACTTTCACAGAACTATTTCTGTCTAATGGACTGTCACTAGACTAGATATGCATCAATAAAAGAGTAAACTGTCAAACTGGCGGGTTGTGTTGATTGGTAAGTGTAAAATGCAAATAATAAAATCTTACAATATAGTTGATAAAACCGTGTATATAATAAAACGGATAGGCTTATCTTTAAAAGTCAAACTCATCAGTGGTATAAAAGGTGACAAACACGTGACCCCTCAGGGGGAGTCCTATTTTCACAGCTTTTAAGTGAAATAAGCTGTTTGACGCTTGACCACTTCCTGTTAATTCGTGCGTCAAGAGTGAAACCGACGGAATCAAAACCTGTTGGTGGCCATCTTTTTTATGTTGATCGAGCATTCATGGAGAGAGTCGCCGCTCTGTATTTACTCTGGAGAGCATAACAGCAACGTGGGGATCATCGTCACCGTATGTGTGTCCACCGGACTAGGGCTGTAACGATTCACTCGTTTTCTCGTTGCATCGATTATAAATCCTGACATCGATCCTGAAACATGTATTTTGAATCGTGAATCGTTTATTTACGTGAATAATCGATTTAAAAAGGCAAATAATCGAATTAATCGCGATTTTATAGCGATTCAGTGGTTTAAAATATATAAACACAACATTAAAGTATTCCTGGTACAAGCTGCCTCACGCATTGGCCATCATAAGACATCCGCATTTGATTGGTTTCACGAGCTCACACACCAGTCAAAAGCCTGAAAGATGAGTTTATCTTTCTACCTGTTGAGCTACTCGTGTCGTGATCAGCTTGTATTACCGCAAATTAGTTAAAATCTCCCAATTTTTTTTTTAAATCTTTGGTTGTGCTCCAAACCACGTATCGCGCGTGCACGCACTCGGCAGAGAGGGAAAGCGAGCGAGAGACCACCTTGACAAAATCCCCACTATCTGACCCCCGAAAGGCCGCTGTGTAGGCTAATTCAAACCCAGACAAAGACCCATTGGGTGAAGCATTGAAATAATACTATAATGCATATAAAAAATGAAGAATCGAATCGAATCGAATTTGGATGTGAATCGCATCGAATTGAATCGTTCTGAATTTGCACAAATCGTTCTTGAATCGAATCGAAAACCTATGAATCGTGAATCGAATCGATTCGCTGTCTACCCAAAGATTCGCAGCCCTACACCGGACCCTTCGGAGGCGAACCGTTTGGCGAGTTTCACCATTTGTCTCTCCAGGAGCTGCGCTGGATGATGGCTGCTGTCAGCGGTACTTCCGCCTGTCAAGCGCCCAGTTTGATGACCTGTTGTCCCGCATCGGAGTGAGAATCACCCTCGCCCTCATCCACCTAATCTGTCATTTATTTTTGTTTTGATGATAAATAGAGCCAGCCTCCAAAAGTTATTAACCTGTCCTGTGATTTTTTTTCTCTCTCACGTCCAGACACGAACTTATCCACATGTATGTTGTTTGTCTTTACATCATAATACTATTTCATATAATCTAGATATGGAATGAATAACATTCAATACAAATATTGAAATAAAGTTTTAAGTGATAAAATATTTGCTTTGTTGTGCATTAGAAGCACACCAGGCATTTAGTTATGTTAAAAAATAATTTATTGAAGCATCCAGATACTGCACCATGTGAGCAAGCAGCTAGGCTCCTGATTGGTTAACACGGTGCGAATTGACAACAAAGTTCAGATTTTTCAACTCGGGCGGCAGGCGCGAATTCACGTCAAACGCGTGAATGCACAAATAGCACAAACTAAATCATTTGCGCTTAACGCGCCAGACGGTCAATTTGCGCGTACTTGACGCGTCAATGAGGCGTATTCGTGTCTTTTGCGCCGCGCTCTACGCCTAATTCACGTTACAGGAATTTTTACGCGCGTAACGCGTCTTTGCATTGAGTTAACATTGAAATCACTCGTGCCTGATGCGCTATTAGCGTCCAGTGTGAACGCACCATAAGACTACGATCATCTGTCTGTGATAATACTACTCTGAGCATGTTTAAGAAACAGCATCTCATTGGTTTGACTGATTATAAAAAAGATCTTGCCAGATACACCCAGTTTTGCAAACTCACACCATCGTTGGCAAGTCTTCCGAGTCTTTCTGCCTGTAGGGCTTTTAATACTTTATTGAAGAGCTTGTTCTGAGCCAACGACCAGCCAGCCCTGAAACCGAACAGAATGGAACAAAAACATTGTCGTATCATCTCTCAAACATGACCATGCAAAAAAGAAACAGAAATCTCATTCAACAGTCAGGCCGTATAAACACTTTCAGCAACATGCTCATTCTCAAACTTCAGTGATCTTGTAATTAACAGAGTAGTTTTTCTTACTTGTTAATGTGTTCTTCCCAATCATCGGGAGGAGGTGGTCCATCAGCGACGGTTCGTGCAAACAGAACGTGACGTTCACATTCGTTCATCACACTACGAGCTTTCTGATTGTCATAGAGAGGCATTGGAGTGGGTTTGACCATCTCCACGTCAATGGAAATGTCCGAATCACTGTAGAGGACGACATCAAAACCAATTATACATTTTGTGACGTGATATACGTTTACTGATAAATAGGTAACTAACTTTGAAATGTATAGGACCTTATAAGTGTTTCCCCTAGGATTTTTTTTTAGGGGGGTGGGGGGGTAAAAGTACACTACACTACCTGCTACTGTAGCGGATTGGGCGTGTAATTTTTTTTTATTATTAGAAATTAAAAAGAATGTATAATAATTCAAATCATGTATTTTAAAAAAAAAAATGTATAGATATATGAAAAAATTCACACTAATTCTGTGTTTTTGCTGGTAATAAAATTAAGCCATAAAACACTAATTTTATCATAAACTTTTTGTCAAATAATGTGCTGCACAATGAGCTTTACTGTTAAAATTAAAACATCGATTATTCCCTAAATTCAGTTTTGTTTAAAAAATTCATAATTTATTCGTATTGTATTATTACATCTGGACATTTCCTATTTCTACTGTACAACAGTAATATATTTCTGTCAAATTAAACCGAACTTTTATTTTGACGGGTTGCCGTGAAGCCCTTTGGAGTTTCTGTTTGTTTGTCATGATCATTATGATGATAGTTTCACAAATGAAGCGGTTAAATGATCACGAAGTGACTTTCAGAGTGGATCTAGAGCCTGGAGAAGAAGTTCAATCATTTCTGTCTTCATATAGGCAAAATAAACAGCGCAAGTGTCACACGTGTGTCTTCAGTGTATGTGTGTGTGTGGTAAATAAAACTGCGCGTCGGCTGCACCAGAGCCGTTGAAAAACATATTCATATTTAACGGCACTGGGCTGCACTATTCATTCACACGCAACATACGATTCATACGAACAGGATTCGTATTACAGGATACTAGTTGGCGCTGTTGGCCTTAGTCGACTAGTCGGAAACAAAATGATGACATATATATAGATATATTTTTTTGTTAACTATCCCTTTAAATACAAGCGGCAGTACTATATACTATAAGCACTATAAGGCGCACCTTCAATGACCTATTTTAGAACATTTTTCAAACGTTTGACTGGGTTTGCGTTATGCATCCACTAGATGTGCTAAAGGGAATGCAGCGAGTGCGCGGCGTCGGAGGTGAGGCGTTTATTTAGTAAGCGTGAGCGCGCTGGGGCGGGCACGTAACTTACATTCGCAGCCTGCTGACAGCAGTGTCTGTTCGTGTGCGTGTTCGAGAGAGCGCTCGTGAGCGGGAGACACACATAACCTGATTTATACGAGGTTGAACTGGCCGTGTGACAAAGCGGGCATAAGATGGACACGAGCGCGAGCAATTGATCCATATATAATGCGCTCCGGATTATAAGGCTTGAGAAAAGGCCGGATTGAGAAAATTAAAGGCTTTTAAGTGCACTTTATAGTGCGGAAAATACCAGTACTACTCTCGCTTTTAGACCAGCACGCGGCATGTTTAATATAGACGCATATTAGCCTACACCAGATTTTCTCTCAAATGTTTGCTTTCACTTTAGACATAGCCAATTCTGTTTATATAAACATTGTGTGTATTCAACAGTATTAGCATAATAAGACTTGAAAGATAACTTAGTCCAGTATTCAGGCGCTGTTTGACAGGCTTCTAATGCCTCTGAGCGTCGGGGATATGCCACGCGCTCAGGAAAGCGCACGTTAGAACAGCGCGTGAATTAAATGTTTAACCGGCAAGGCTTATGCAAACAATGAACTTTTGTGAATTGCAGTGTCCCGTACCTATTCCTTACCGTGTGATGTGTAGGCTACGTCGCGTTGTACAGTTGAGACAGAGGCGCCAGAACTGATAGAATGCACTGTAACACGATACTACTACCATATTTCTTCAAAAGCAGATCGTGGAGACATTTACTATTCGTGATGTCGCACACCGCTAGAATAAACCATTTAACGACTAGTCGACTAGTCGTCGACTGTTATGCAAAACTAGTCGACTAGCAAAAATCAGTAGTTGTGAAACCCCTAATTCACACACACTAGTCTATATCGTGATTTTTATTTCAAGTGTACTGAACCGCTTTCTATTTATTCCGCGAAAATATACAGTAAAATCCTTTTTTATGACTGGATTTCGTCAGCATTTTAGCCGCCCCCCCTAAAACAATGGTAGGGGAAACACTGCTTATGATTTCAGTAAAACCAATATTGTTCAGCACAAAAATAAAAATATTTCTTTTAGGACTGTCACCAACGATTATTTTGGTAATCGAGTAATTGGTCTATTATTTATCCAAGTAATCAGATTTGTTTTTTGTAGAAATAAAAATAGTCCCAAGTAAACACTGGCCTTTAAAACGACTAATATAAAATACGCATATAAAATTAAATTTTGATGCATTCTCCTGTATTAGTTGGCGTTAATGAAATGGCACAAATTGCGTTTCCAGATTAATGTTATAAGCGACCAAAATTCACAGTATATGCATAAATAGAGTTTAAAACAGCGCTTCACTTGCTACATTTGTATTAAAGGGGTCATGAACTGGCTTTTTAAATGTTATTATATTGTTGTCTGAGGTCAACTTATAATGTTCGCTTGGTTTTTGCATTCAAAAACATCAAAATGAACAAGTAATAGGCTATTTTGTACCCTGGTTGTGAGCCTACCTAAAAAACAGTCGGTTTTTATGGGCGTGTCGCACTGAAGACTTGGAAGTAAACGCCCACTGCTGTGAGTGGAGAACAGTTTTGCATATTATAATGAGTTTCACTCACCCGTCGGTGTACGTGGGGGAAAACGTTCAATGTTGTCAAATGGCAACCGGAATGATTCGCCCATACATGTTCGACCCAGAGTCCGTGTGTTGCACAATATTCCTGTCAGATCCAATATAGACGGCACAGCACCGTTCTTTACTCTTATCGCTCTGCAAATCCAGTCTTGTTGACAAAACAATCCTCAGTGAAATGAAGCGAACAGACGACGATGTTTTACCCTCATCAGCTGGAACGTCATTAAAAATAAAGTTTATCCATGCAGTCCTATTGGAATCCACAGGAAGCTTATGCAGCGACTGTCTTGCACAACCAGGCACTGCACAATATTCTGTATTGCTCGGTAGCTCGATCCAGTTTGTCATCACGAGGTAAGCATGTACATGTATGATACTTATGTGTGTAATGCGCGAATCGGTGGGCGGGGCTAAACCTGCCGTGGTGAAACAGGCGTTGATCATCTTCTGTGGGGGTGGTGTTTTATCCTCTTTGTCGTCATAGTTCCCCACTTTTAAAAACGAGTCGTTTTTAGCCGCTGTGTCAATAAAAGCTTTTATTGGACTAACAAGGACGTTTTCAGTTCTGAAACTTACAGGATATTCTTATAATATGATGACCTCTTACATGTCAAAAGCTCAAGGAAAATTTGATTTCTCAGTTCATCACCCCTTTAAAAAGCATTTCAAACAGCACATTAAAATAAAAAACTTGGGAAAATAATACCTAAAGAGGTAATCTTTTTATTTGACCTCAGATGCGTTTTCTTCGTGTCAGTCGCAGAGAGAAATGACCGCTCATAAGACAAACGAGGTGAGGGAGTATTTTGAAGTAGAAATAAAACGGAAAAGTTTTATGTAAGCTGTGCCATTTCAAACTGGCATAATTCCAATAGAGCCATGCGTAAACATATTCAGGACATGCTCGTATGTGTAACCGAAGCAAGAAAAGGCCAAATCGCGTATTTAATTAAACTTCGAAAAAATAACTGAGCATCAGAATCAGAATGAGCTTTATTCGCCAAGTGTGCAGCATTTTTATTGTGGGATTTGACTGTTTGATTCATAGATTAAATGCTCAAATGGATCGTATACACAGTACTACACACAAGTCTTTAAAGGGTTTCTTAATTTTAGACTAGTCGGTTACAAAACTTCAGGTTTAGGGAAGTGCAAATCCCTACTTGTGACAATCTTCTAGAAGAGAATACTCACACAGAAGGGTCCGGTTGCCGTCGAGGCGTGACAAACAGCATGCGGGTGGGCCGGGCACTGCTAGCATCCGGGTGGGCGTTCCAGGGCTTGGCATAGCTGTGATCGAGGAACACGAGGTCCAACTCGCGCTCATGAACCGACAGCTGGAAGAGCAGGGACGTTCCCATCCTTCGGGCCGACGTCTGGAAGTCTCTCTCTCCTCCAGGGCGGAACATGGTCCTCTAGCCCCACACGGAGGCTCTGCGGTTCCCGCAAAAAAGGGACGCTTGCACCATAAACATGAACCCTAGAATTAAACAACCTACTATCAGTATCAAGCATCCTGATAAACAGAACATTTGGGCCATTCTGTGTAAACTCAACCAGAGATCCCCAGCTAAATATTTGGGATTTTTTTTTTGTAGAGGAGGGTTAAAATTACAATTTTGAGCTGAGAATTTAGAGCCAAATTACAGGGGAGTAAAAATGACTTTAGTAACATAGCATGGCAGCACCATTATTTTATTTTTTACAGACATTGGTAGCTCTATAAGAAAAAACAGTTTATTTTAGTAATCTTTGTTGCATTATATGCTAACTGTGACGGTTAAAAATGGAAAAAGGCACTTCTGGGAAAAGTTTGCATGCCTGTGACTCAAAAAGTTTCTCAATATCATCTTGATTCATGGTTTTTAATAAAAAAAAGTATAAAAGTATAAAAAAAAGTATAATAAACATTTAACCTTTTATATACATAATAATAAACATTTTAAAAACGTTGTACAGTTTGCACACAACTGATACTTATTGCATTTAAAAGGGAATGTTTGAAGAATATATTTAGCTCCAAATCTCAGGTGAAAATTGTCATTTGACCCCCTCGACAAAATTGTGAATTACTCCGTCAATATAGATTCAAAACATTTAATATTTTGACTCTCATGACGATTTATGTTTATTTCTTAACAAAGTCAAAAATATGAGGGGGAAAGTTTCCGCAATTTAGTTGATTTCACATGGAATGACAGTTTTGCACTCATGGGATGTTGTTAGTGTAACGTTAATCATTATACGTTACTGAACTTTATCAAATGGCACTGTATTAACAATGAAAAAAACTATTATGTCAAATTGTGTAGGTTACAATCTGTAGGGGACCCTGCCTCTTAAACGTCAAGCAAACCTCATTTGCTGTTTAAACCACTAAAACTGCTGCAAATATAACGTTACACGACAACACACGGAGGAGGACGGTGTTGCAGTGCTTATCTCAATTAAATGTAAATTTAATGTAACAGTTTCAGTTGGTGGCTGACGCGCGAGCATGAGTGGCAACGCCAGTCGCGAGGCTTCACGCATGGGCGTGTTTAGGGCCACATAGTATGTCACATTCATGCCAGGTTTGATACAGTCGAGCTTTTAAAGCGCAAAACTCTACCTGAAATATCCCCTGTGTTACTTGATCAATGACGCAATACGTAAACTCCCCTCAAACGTTTACGTGTCGTATGGTCTGGTACTAGGCTCTCTTAGCTTTGAGGCTAACTCAATATACACAATACTCACTGTTGTTCACTAGTATCAGGCTCCTTTCATGTCGTTTCAGTCCAAAGAAAGATCATCTGAAACTTCTGTAAATAATACTGAAGCACTCGGAATCACGAGACAAGAAAAAAATATATTCCAATCAACTATAATAAAGGTTTAGCTACAGACGACTGTCTTTTGTTGTACTACCGCGCCACACAACGGCTCAACGGAAATCCCGGACTGGAGCGGTTCATTCGGCGTCAGTGTAGCTGTTGGGACTACGAGAAACCCGGACTGGATTTCATACTGCCACAATGTTACCACTATAACCGCCTTTGAAAATGTTGCTGACCTTTGTTGAATTATTTTCCTATTCCTATTTTAAAAAGTACATTTAATTATTCTGGTGCTTTGTTTTGATATCTTTTTCATATGGTACATATTACTGTATGCTTATTTTAGTAATATTTAGATTAATATTTGGATTTCACTAAAATGTAGCAATTATTGTAGTTTAGAAAGGAAGGAAGAACGAAAGAAAGATAGTTAAAAAGAAAAAAGATAGATAGATAGATAGATAGATAGATAGATAGATAGATAGATAGATAGATAGATAGATAGATAGATAGATAGATAGATAGATAGATAGATAGATAGATAGATAGATAGATAGATAGATAGATAGATAGATAGATAGATAGATAGATAGATAGATAGATAGATAGATAGATAGATTTGAGTTTTTGTGAACTATATGGGCCACCATAGCCTTGGCTCAATTTGAACATTCTGCAATGACAGTCTATGGCTGTGTCTGAAATCTCCACTCAAACCACTACTCCCTACATGGTAGAGCACTATAATGAGCTCACCAGCATAATAGAAACACCACTTTCGGACACTACTCGATGGTCTCTCGGCACCGTTGATTGCATCATCTGTCAGCTGGTGCTGAGCCGGCTCTAGGCTAAATAGATTTTTTTAAATAAATACAGTAAATTATATTGAGCTTATTTCTCCAAAATTTAAAAACTAAAAGTCATTTCTGGTCGTTTCTGTTATAATGCACTACACCACACATGATTATAACTTATTTTTACGATCAGCGCAATGCATGATGGTATGTAGGGCTTGGGTTAGTGACCATCGGTTGTACACTACTTTTCAAAATGCATTCTGGGATACACCGAGTTGACTATATAAGGTATAATAATCGTCACTATACATTCGGACAGCACTACAAAATGGCGAGCTCACTATATAGTCCACTATATACTAGTGAGTAGTGGGTGATTTCAGTCACAGCATATGTGATTTTTAACGTTTTTAAAATTAAATTAACGGCCCAGAAAGTCATTAAAGAAAAGGTTTAAATATTCCATGTGCCATTCCATAAGTTTATCAAGTGACGAGACTACTTTTTGTGCGAAAAAAACATAAATAACGACTTTATTCGACTATCCCATTACTTCCTTATGGGCGCATGCGCGAGAACTGAGATGATGAAGTTCTTCTTCGACTACTACTTGTTACCGGCTGCTCACCGCTTAGGAGTTTTACCGCCCCCTACCGTATAAGATGATGATCCATATATAAGGCGCTCCGGATTGTAAGGCACACTGTCGTTTTTTGAGAAGATTAAAGGCTTTTAAGTGCACCTTATAGTGCGGAAAATACGGTAAGCGTATGTACAGCGCGCATCTTCCTCTGCTTGTAAACAGAAAGCTTTGCGCTTCCAGCTTTATCAGCACATCATCTTATACGGTAGGGGGCGGTAAAACTCCTAAGCGGTGAGCAGCCGGTAACAAGAAGTAGTCGAAGAAGAACGTCGTCATCTCAGTTCTCGCGCATGCGCCCATAAGGAAGTAATGGAATAGTGGAATAAAGTCGTTATTTGATAAACTTATAATTGAGCCGCTGTAGGCACATGGAATATTTAAATATTTTCTTTAATGACTTTATGGGCCGTCAAGAGCCAGTCCCTTAGGCTGTCTATGGAAGAGTGATCCAGCTCTCAAATTTAATCAAAAATATCTTTATTTGTGTTCCGAAGATGAACGAAGGTCTTACGGGGTTGGTACAGCATGGGGGTGAGTAATTAATGACTTCATTTTCATTTTTGGGTGAACTAACCCTTTAATATTCAGCAATATTATTGTACTCATCTACATTCCTCAACAGTTTTTATCATCTCTCCACCACCCCGACTTGGCTGGTTCCTGCAACAGGAACACAGGGAGAGTATTCTGGGTTGGGGCCAAAATACAGAGCGCAGAGACCTCTCCTCAGACAGCACGACAGATACGCATAATCCTTTACTCTATCTGAGGATTTGTAAGTGTGAACTCGCCAAAATCAAAACTTACTAATATTACTTACTAAAAAAAACGTACTAAAACTAATATTTACAAAATACAATTTACTGTAATGATTTGGTGTTGGTTGAATGACAGCATTCAGCAGAGAGAGTGAGAATCCAAATGCAGTTTATTGACAATCATAATCTAAGGTCATAGTCCATATCAAACAGAGGGTCAAGCACATGTAATCAGTCTGAACACACATACGATGTCACAAATAAACAATCAGCATTTACCTAAAATACTAGTTATTCACCACTAAAAGCCTCTAAATCTATTTATATACTGTACAAAATCATCTTACTGATTGTAATTCTGAGGGTCATTGAAAGGTTACTTTTTGGCTTGTTCCACTCCAGTTGGCCAAGGAGGTCCAGATCCAAAAGCTTTGCCAGGATACACCACTCTGCATCTTTAGAGGAAACCATTTCAAAAATGAAAATTGTCATAATTAACTTACTCTAATTTTCTTCTCCCATGGATCACAGAAGAAAAAACATTGCAGAATGTACCAAGATCTCAGGGTTACATTGAACTGGTGTATTTCCATTGTTAAGTATAGACACTTTCCTAACATTATCTCTATATTCATCGTTTTGCTTTCATAAATTGAGCATTCAAATACTAACTTGGACTGGCTTGGTTGGGCTAGCTTATGTTTAAAGTCATAATGTTGACTATTGAATATGCAAAGGGCAAAAAGAGTTCACCATTTGTTAATACAGTGGGGAAATCACATGGGGTTGACATAATCATAATACAATTGAGAAATATGTAAGAATAAGTAAGTTAGCATCTGGTGTTGTGATTGAGATTGTGAAACCGCTCATGATAAGTTACTGTTGAGTCAATGAAAAAATATTTAGCTTTAGATAACGATTTCACAATGGACAAATGCAATAACCATACAATAGCACTACAAATATTCACAAAAATCGTTTCACATACTCTATGGCCTATCTGTAAAGGAACTTAGAGGGCCATCACACTTACATACTTGAAACGTATTATGCTGCATAAAAATGCAAAGCTATTTTTAAAGTCAATAATCTTAGAAGCTGATCATCAGTGATCATGTGGTTTGGCCAGATGTTCCGCCCCTCTTCTGTTTTGTTTAAAAAGACCCAATGTGCTACGACTGCATTTTCTTTGGATCATCATCTATGCTAAACTTGCAAAAATGGTGAGTTTAATGCTAATGAATTTCAATGTAGTAAAAATAAATCTAGTTATGAAAATCAATATAGAATTTCAATCTACACACAAACATTTACTGTTGTATACCATTGTTTTTATAACAAGTTCCTTGTTTTCTCTTTACAGACATCTTTAGCTCTGGTTTTGGTATTTTGTGCCTTGGTCTCTTTAAGCAATTCTTCCTGTTTCCAGGAACTTCTTAAACCGGGTAAATTAAAATACACATACTAATACCATATTTTGCCCTCACATATTGTGAAAGATTAATTAATGCCTAAAGTCTTTTGATATCAACACGAAGTTAACATTTTTAATACAAGTGCATGATTCATTGGAGTATCATGAGTTCATTACTCTGTTGTTTTGCAGCAAAACAAATATTTAGGTAAAATATCAAAAATGATAAATGAAACTGTATCTATAATGTCCTAACTATTAACACAATATCTTTAAAAAAATGTTTTTGCAATTTGAATCATATTTTTGGTTCCCCTATTTTATTTTTCAGTCTTGTCCTGTAACAAATCAGTATTATAAAATTGAAAAGTAGTTTCTTAATTAATTAGACGTCATAAAACAAGGGTGTCAATCACATAACTCGATGCTTCACTGGTATGATGTTAAAGAAATCAACTAGTCACGACTGTTTCCCAAAACCATATTGTGGCAAAGTGGTCGTTCAACCCATAGACAGTAAAAGAAAGGTTCAACCACGTCGGTTTATGACACTGGCACTGCCCATTTGTCCAAAGTTTCTGGTCTGATGAGTTTTTTGTTTATGTTTTGTTTATGTTAAAACATCCGCAATGCTGGAAACTGCACAATGTATTATTTTTTTAATGGAGATGAACGTTCCTGTAAACTGTGCAATTGTTGAAGCAACATGACATAATGACTTTTGCGTAAACATACACACCACTTTCAAGTCAAGTAGCGTGTTATCTATACGCATTTTGAGCTATCCGTGAGTATCCGCGTGTATGCGTGTATGTCTATGCCATTTATGTCCGAGTGATTCTGCGTGTCTGTACACGTAGTCAAATGTCCGAGCGAAACGAAGCATAATGTAGATCTACATCTGGGGAGCGATATTTTTTTTCCTAGGATGGTAGGGAAAGACTCATAGATGCTATTAACCCCAGTGATGGGTAGGTTTAGGGACGGGGTTGAGGTAGGTCATACATTTATATATACAGTAATAATGTTAAAAAGTCAACGGCATTCATAAACACACTGAAAAGCGATTATGCGTGTTGATAGCAAGGGGGTAATCCATCGACCGGAAGTTGAAGCCTCGCGGGAGCCGCCATCTTGTAGCAGAACTTCACTTGCGTTAGCATTTCCATTGACTCCCATTCATTTTGGCATCACTTTGACAGCGAATAACTTTACATCTGAGGAGTTCGAAGACTCCATTTGTCCATTATTTATTCCTAAAGAAACACGACAATGTATAAAATGCTCCATTACCTTGTAGGTTACAGTATGTTATGGCCCCGTTGAAGCAGTTTTTTGTAAAAGTAGGCTAACGATTGCGTCATACCCACGCGACTCTGTCACACAGTAGAGAGATTACCGCATGGACAGGAGAAGAAGCTTGCAGGCAATCGGGGAAACGTGGAGGCAAAATGACAAAATAATTAATCAGAATACCTAGAAAAATTTTCCCCTGCTCCTAGCTCATGGACAGCTCCTACTCACACTCTCCGCCTCTGCATGTTTCGGAAGGGAATGATTCAGATTTCTCATGCCACAGCCACTAGGATACAGACGGGTTGCTCACGTCACATCTACGTCGTCAAGCTCTGTTTGAGTTGGTTTGAGTCTGCGCGTCAGGAACGGAAGTCCTAAAAAATTGCTAAAAATGGGCTTCTCAATGGAGTTCCAATGAGATGCTGTCCACTTCTTATACTGTCTATGGTTGACAGCCTGCCAAAAATGGAAATACGAATTGGTGTGTCATACACATGCAATTTCATACGGAGCCCCTCTAGTCCCACTTTGGTAAAAAAAATTAATTATAACTATCTTGTGGCCTCGAGTTACTATCTTGAGGCCACGAGTTACTATCTTGAGGCCACGAGTTACTATCTTGAGGCCACGAGTTACTATCTTGAGGCCACGAGTTACTATCTTGAGGCCACGAGTTACTATCTTGAGGCCACGAGTTACTTTCTTGTGGCCACGAGTTACTATGTTGAGGCCACGAGTTACTATCTTGAGGCCACGAGTTACTATCTTGTGGCCACGAGTTACTATCTTGAGGCCACGAGTTACTATCTTGTGGCCACGAGTTACTATCTTGAGGCCACGAGTTACTATCTTGTGGCCACGAGTTACTATCATGAGGCCACGAGTTACTATCTTGTGGCCACGAGTTAGTATCTTGTGGCCACGAGTTACTATCTTGAGGCCACGAGTTACTATCTTGTGGCCACGAGTTACTATCTTGAGGCCACGAGTTACTATCTTGTGGCCACGAGTTACTATCTTGAGGCCACGAGTTACTATCTTGTGGCCACGAGTTACTATCTTGAGGCCACGAGTTACTATCTTGTGGCCACGAGTTACTATCTTGAGGCCACGAGTTACTATCTTGTGGCCACGAGTTACTATCTTGTGGCCACGAGTTACTATCTTGTGGCCACGAGTTACTATCTTGAGGCCACGAGTTACTATCTTGAGGCCACGAGTTACTATCTTGTGGCCACGAGTTACTATCTTGAGGTCACGAGTTACTATCTTGAGGCCACGAGTTACTATCTTGAGGCCACGAGTTACTATCTTGAGGCCACGGGTTACTATCTTGTGGCCACGAGTTACTATCTTGTGGCCACGAGTTACTATCTTGAGGCCACGAGTTACTATCTTGTGGCCAAGAGTTACTATCTTGAGGTCACGAGTTACTATCTTGAGGCCACGAGTTACTATCTTGAGGTCACGAGTTACTATCTTGTGGCCACGAGTTACTATCTTGTGGCCACGAGTTACTATCTTGTGGCCAAGAGTTACTATCTTGTGGCCACGAGTTACTATCTTGTGGCCACGAGTTACTATCTTGAGGCCACGAGTTACTATCTTGTGGCCACGAGTTACTATCATGAGGCCACGAGTTACTATCTTGTGGCCACGAGTTACTATCATGAGGCCACGAGTTACTATCTTGTGGCCACGAGTTACTATCTTGTGGCCACGAGTTACTATCTTGAGGCCACGAGTTACTATCTTGTGGCCACGAGTTACTATCATGAGGCCACGAGTTACTATCTTGTGGCCACGAGTTACTATCATGAGGCCACGAGTTACTATCTTGTGGCCACGAATTACTATCTTGTGGCCACGAATTACTATCTTGAGGCCACGAGTTACTATCTTGTGGCCACGAGTTACTATCTTGTGGCCAGGAGTTACTTTCTTGTGGCCACGAGTTACTATCTTGAGGCCACGAGTTACTATCTTGTGGCCACGAGTTACTATCTTGTGGCCACGAGTTACTATCTTGTGGCCACGAGTTACTATCTTGTGGCCACGAGTTACTATCTTGAGGCCACGAGTTACTATCTTGTGGCCACGAGTTACTATCATGAGGCCACGAGTTACTATCTTGTGGCCACAAGATAGTTATAATTAATTTTTTTTACCAAAGTGGGACTAGAGGGGCTCCGTAATTTCATGAGATCAGTATGGTTGAATAAAAAAAAATCACTTCTTTTAATGAAAATGTTTGAGATCGAATTAATGCTAGATGTTTTGATATCAATTACAGACATGGCATCTGAGGATTAGTTCTCATTTTTCTCAGTTATTTCGCTGAATAAACCATGTTTGTGATTCACTCACTAACAGTTGCTTAACATTTAAATGATGGTGTATGTTTGTACACTATTAGGTAAATAAATACTATTTATAATTAACAACTCTTAATTTGTTTGAATTCATATAGGGGCAACAGATTGTACGGATGGCTATGATAATTCCAATCATGTATTTGGAAGTACTTGGACAAATGACAGATGTATCCGATGCCATTGCACCTCCAATCGAATGTCCTGCTGTGACACGTAAAATATTTAACATGTTAATTATTGTGAAAACTTTACAAAAAAAATATGTTGTTCTTTAAATCTAAATAAAATTTAGACATGTCCCTCAGTTTCAGCCACAGAGGAAACTTTAGACAGTAATTTTTTTTTTTACTGTAGTGTGTTATTTGAAATTACATTTAAACTTCATCATTACGAAAATGGAATTACAATTATATGTGAATACCAATTTATCATAACCATAACAACTTTAACACAACCACATTTAAAAATGCAATTAGGAAATAACATTTACTTTTCACAAGTGTTGTTCATGTTCATGTTGCATTTGTATTTAAAACAGCTTCATATCACAGTTTTCAGGGGCTGAATTTGAACATAATTTCCATTCATGTGTTTACAAACATCGTTGCGTCGAGAATCAACACATCGGGTAATGCCTTCAGCAAGGGCTTGCTAGAAGAACCAGAGTGGACAGTGAGTGTTCTCCTGTGTGGCAAATCAAATTCAGCCTGTCCAAACTCCTTCCATTTTACCGACTCTGGTTGGATTCTCCAATCCCTGAGGCCCCTGCCTCAACAGGATGTCTGCTCCCACATTGTTGTTCCCAGGGATAAACGTCGTTCTGACTGAAAGTTTGTCCTGGGACCACTGGACGACTAGTGCGCCAGTCTGCATCTCAGGCCCCACTGTCGATTAATATAGGACACCACTGACATATTGTCTGTCTGTACTAGAACATGATGGCTTCTGAGGTCCGGATGGAAGTGTTATAGAGCCAGAATCCCAGCCAACATCTCTAAGCAATTGATGTGCCAAGAGAATTGAAGGTCTTACCAGAGACCCCTGGTATAGTGGCCTTTCCTAACTGCACCCCAGCCTATGAGAGAAGCATCCGTGGTCACAATCTTTCTCAGAGACGGTGCCCCCAACACAGGACCTAGGGACAGGAACCAAGGTTTCTTCCACATTACCAAGGAACGAAGGCATCTGTGCGTTACCTTGATAGTGCGAAATGGGTCTCCCCTCGAGGAAAACCCTCTGGTCCTGAGCCACCACTGTAAGCATCTCATGTGTAGCAGGGCAAAAGGAATTACATTGGACGCTGCCGCCAAGAGACCCAACACTCTTTGAAAGTGTTTGACTGTGATGGTTTGGCCCAGTCTGAAACTAGTTACTGTGGTCAAGAAGGTATTTATACGAGCAGGAGACAACTATGCCCGAGTTCCATACTACCCCCAGGAAAATATTTTTAATAGTTTTGTTAAGTAATTAACAAACTCTTCTTGACATCGAGTCTCGTCCCAAGCACCTCAGATGGTCTAGAACAACATCTCGATGTTGAACTGCCATCCCCTCTGACTCTGCTAGAATCAACCAGTCGTCGATATAATTGAGGATGCGAATGCCTTGAAGTCTTAGAGGAGCCGGAGGAGCATCCATGCATTTCGTGAAGGTGTGAAGTGACAATGCTAGGCCAAATGGAAGCACTCTGTATTGATAAGCCTTTCCCCCGAAAGCAAACCTTAGAAACTTCCTGTGTTGAGGAAGTATTGAAATATGGAAGTAACTTCTTGTTCCAAGACCTAACCTTGCTCGGGACTGACCAGTGTGTGCACGACCCCACTGAATTTTGGTGGGCGATACTTTAACTGGATTCTGTACCCCTTTTCTACTGTATGCAGGACCCACTGAGATATATTTTGAAGACCCTTCAGAGTGTCTAAATAATCTACAAGGGGGGATCAGTCTCTCTTATATTTAAAATCTCTGTGACCTGAAGCAGTTGACTGGCAGGTTTTAACCGAAATAATTTTTTGCAGGCCTCGTGAGAGGAAGCAAACTCGACAGGGCCGCCATATTTTCAGGCGTACACTGTGATATGCGTTTGCTGGAAACTGATGCGTCCCGAGACGCCTTTGGCGGTGGGAAGCAAACATTAATTTGTTGAAGACTCAGGAAAGGAGCGAGTTGTTGATACTTGATCACGGGGGGAGCACCCTCAGAGGCCTGTGCAACGTGTCAGGACCTCTTCGCCGAAGCCTTCCCTGCCCGAGATCAGCCCTTGGCTTGGAAGACTTCGGCTGAGAGTGTTGCCCAGACCTTTTGCGGGGGACCACGAGAAGCAACACCCTCTCTCTGCTGTTGCGGGTGTGAGGAGCTGGCGGCGGCCTCGTGGAACGACGGAGGGGGATAAGTTGTTTTAATGCGGCTGAATGTCATTTCGTCTCCTGAAACCTATCGACGACAGTATCTGCGTCGCCGAAAAGGCCAGAAGATGAAATCGGGGCGTCAAGGAGGAATGTCCTGTCCTTGTCCTCAACGCCGGACAAATTCAGCCACAAATATCTCTTCGTGGCTACCAAAGCTGCCATAGAACGACCGATTGCATGGGCCATCTCCTTGGTAGCATGGAGAGACAAGTCAACCGCTCGAGGCATCTTTTGAATGTCGTCAAGTGTGACCTCCCCACTGTTGCCCACCTCTTTTAGGAGGTCGGCTTGGTATGCCTGCAGTAGCCTCATTGTGTGCAGGCATGCACCCTGCCACCATATATGCTTTCCCAACCAAGGTCGAAGTTGTAGGGCAGGGCTTTGGAGGGAAGCGCTCTCAGGGACGTTGCAACCTCGGGCGAGAGATGAGATGCAAAAGTTTCTTCAACCAGTGGCATCATCCCATAACCCATCTCTCTTGACCCTATAATGAATGAATATATATGCACATTGGTGCTGGAAAGTTGAGAGGAGAAGCGCTTTCCCCACGATTGTGTAAAAATGGGAGGCTCCGGCACGAAGGCTTTGACCGGGCTTGCAGGATGCGTTCATCAAGCTTACTTTTAACTGTCGCTTCCTGCTTTTCTGGTGGCCAACTGACATTTAATTTGGCCACAGCCCTAGTCACAACCTCCAGCAGCTCCTCAGATGTAGTAGAATGGGGTGGCAGATCTTCACATTCACCTGCATCGATGCTTAACATATCCACCTCCTCAGAGGCAGATAATTCGAGCAACGGGTTCTCTTCATGGGCAGAAGAAGCCGCAGGGCGGGCTTGCGAACTGTGAGCGGGACTGTGGGAACTGGCCGATGAATGTTTAGAAAGGGCCGAGGCCGTCTCAACATTCTCAGCCATATCCCTTTTGCGATCCCCATGAATGCAGGCGCCGCACTGCCTCGACAGATGCTGGACCTGATATCTGGGGAGCACTTTTTGGCCTGATTTACTATCAAACAGACTCAGGCGGGAGCGGAGCGTTCTCAGGGGCATGAAATCACAGTAAGCACAGACAGGGCCCTCAAACGCTGCCCGTGCATGCTCCACTAGTAGTTATAACCCTATAGCCCCGTGTCAAGATGATTTATTACCCCATGATTGACAGGTGGGCAGAGCTAACGTTTGACCTTCCGCTTCCATCTTTGAATTAGGAATTAACCTTTGACCTTCTAGATTCCAGCTGCAATGTATTGATTAACCTTTACCCTATCGATCGATCAAATTGACATTTAGTTTTGGCCTATTGACTTTGTATTACAGATCATGTGTTCATTTGTCTTTGATCACAGGGTTATAATAGATCAAATTGACGTTTAGTTTTGACCCGTTGATCATATATCCTGAGAGTTAGTTTGCCCCATTGATCCCGTGGTGGAAATAACTCTGGAAGATTAGGTTATGGAATTCCCCATCCCTGCCAGCTGTTGCATTGCTGGGACCAAATAATTTTTGTAATGTCCCATATCACATATAGAGTATCAGTATGAATGGCGTTATAGAGTATATAGTTATGGGTTATAACTACTTCCACTCCCAAACAAACAACACACAGAGAGTGTGCAACCCTCACTCAAAAAGTGCAGACAAGGGGACGCACACTGCCTGAATTGTTTCTCTGCCATCTCTCAAACATATAACAACAGTACAACTACCAAATAAGACAGACATACACACAGAACGCTTCCTGAAGAACAGAAAGCTGATGCTGTTATGTTCCGGTGTCCTTTTATAGCTTCCGCTTCACCGTCACATACGACGTCACGGGTAACGGTTAATTGGACTAGTTCCATACACATCACGCTGAAGGCGTTCCCCAATGTATCGATTTTCGACACAGCACGAGTTCCCTCAAAAGGGAACTGAGGGATGGGCTTAAATTTTTTTTTTCTGTGATTATGGATAATATTTTGAACGTTTTATATGTAAAGAAAGTTCCCACTGAGTAATACGTGTTTTTTGTTACAGGATGCACAGAGCATTTATCCAGACTGAAGGCTGCACTGTGAAGTATGATTACAGCACATGCACATTTGAAGTGTTTCATCCAAAGAATCCCAATATTCAGTGTTCCTATGGTGCTATTGGAAAATAATTTCCAACGATTGAAAATTCAGATCAGTGATGTGTGGTGCGTATTTCGACTAAAATTAGTATTCACTGTATCCAGCGCTGAGAACTGAAAATAATAAACAACTAAAAAAGGTTATGATAACCAAAAGGTCTTGCATTCAAGGCTTTCATTCTTATTTTTATCACTAAAAAGTTCTTATTTTTAAAGTAAAGCTCATCGGAGAACATCATATATCTGTAAAAAAGAGTTTATACCTTAGCATTTGTCCATGCATAGAAGCCAATGAATGCTGTAAGACAATTTTACTGTAAAAGTGCTGTAAAAATATTATGATTGTATTGTTTATTTTGATTCCCCCCCCCCCAATAATTAAATAAAATGTTCTTATTACACATTACAATACATTTGTGTGAAAATAATATTTATAACCTAACTTTTGAAAACATTAAAAGAAATTTTAAAAAAAATACGTACTTTAAGAAATTAAGTATATTTAGGTATTTTTCACTCTTGTAATGGAAACTTACACACACATATATTTACATTTATGAATGAGAACAGAAGCAAATACAAAGTTTGTGGATTGCATTTTGAAAGACTTTACTTTAAATAAATAGTGTGCACTGTAAAAATGAATATGCTTTATCTAATCAATAAAATTGTGGCAACATATTACAAGCAATATTATTTATTAAATTGAACAAATTAGAATTTAGTAATAGTTAATCAAATTAACATTCTAATTAATTCTAATTTGTACAATTTAATTAATAATATTGCTTGTAATATGTTGCCAAAATTTTATTGATTAGATAAAGCATATCATTTTTTTCAGTGTGTGAAGTGGTCATTTTACTGGTAATTTTATGCACATTTGGTATCAAAATTATTCATCTGTATATGGGGACAGTTGGACGGGGATTGTAATGATTTACAAATTCGTTTTCCTATAAATACTGTTGTTTTTAAATTCAGCCTTCAATAATTGAGTGATGGCATCCCCATCACTATTTAATTATTAAGACTTTTCTACTCTTCCTGGCTGAATTTAGAAGAGAGATGGCGGTTGGAACGAATGAGTGCCTGTATCTATCTATTGCTCTTTACTGGGGATAATGCACCATGTCACAAAGCTGGAATCATTTCAAATTGGTTTCTTGAACATGACAATGAGTTGACTACTAAAATGGCCCCCACAGTCACCAGATCTCAACCCAATAGAGCATCTTTGGGATGTGGTGGAACGGGAGCTTCGTGCCCTGGATGTGCATCCCACAAATCTCCATCAACAAGATGCTATCCCATCAATAACATTTCTAAAGAATGCTTTCAGCACCTTGTTGAATCAATGCCAAGTAGAATTAAAGCAGTTCTGGAGGCGAAAGGGGGTCAAACACAGTATTATGGTGTTCCTAATAATCCTTTAGGTGAGTGTATATTGCTTGACTGTAGTGTGGTTTGAATTGATATTCAGCAGCCGGACAATCTCATAATGACGCTCTGTATTAGCAGCTCCTGCATATATGTCAGGAAGAGGACCATTTACATCCAAATGTTGTTTTTTTTTTTTAATTTACACACAACAAAACAGATTTTAGAATATAAACTGCTTAATCTGCCATTTTCAGTTAAATACTCAATATGAAGTGTTTATGTTCTTGCTATTACGCGTTTAACTTTAAAATCTGATTTGAAGGAGTAGGTGAATAATTCACTCCTTGATTTACTCATAAAAGCCTATGAGATTCTTTTGACAAATCTGTTTTTAGTGCATTATTTTCAACATTTATTGCTAGCCCTGCTGCTCTATACAGAAACTGATACCTCATCCTTTTTGGGCATTATACTGGATCTGCCCATGGGGAAGTAGAAAACCTTTACTCAGCATGGTCAATGACGTTTTGCTTATTGACTGGAATAAACAGTTCACAGTGTATGGGGTGGTTGGTCATAGCAAGAAAAACAGTGAAATGTTTCCTTTTCAGTGTGTCTGATTCAATTTTGTCCAGATATCACTTGCTGCGCTTTTAATTGACATACAGAGATTTTATTAAGGTAGAACAGCTATTCATTGTTGTGACATTACAAAGCCACTGAATATGCTTTAGATTGTAATACTGTAATATTACTACAATTTTAAATAACTGTTAAATATATTTAAAAATGTCATTTATTACTGTAATGACAAAGCTGAATTTTCAGCAGCCATAATTCTTCAGTGTCAATCTTTCAGAAATCATTCTAATATGCTGATTTGGTGCTCAAAATACATTTCTGAAAGTTCATTCATTTTAAATAGAAATCTTATGTAACATTATAAATGTGTTTAATGTCACTTTTGATGAATGCATGTCCATGCTGAATAGAAGTATTATTGAAAAATAAAATAAAAACTTACTGACCCAAACTTGTGTATACACTGTAATGCTGCCGAGCTGTTGTTTGTTTCAACTTCAAAGTCCAAACAGGACTTTACTTAAGGCAGATAAGGCTGTTTTTCTACTCAAGAGAATAATGATAAAAAACAAAACTCTTCAATAAAACATGGCAATTATCTGCTATTTGTGTAAAGTTTCCTTATTACAATTACAATTTGACAGATATATTTGTGAACATGTCATGATCTTTCTGTAATTAAAAATTATTATTATTATTACCAAAGTATAAAAATAGTATTTATTTATTTCTAATAATAATATAATAATGTAATAAAACAATCCTCTGGTTTCACAGACAAGGCTTAATCTATGGTTCCAGACTAAAATGCATTTTGAGTTGTTTTCACTGTAAAAAGTTTTTTTCTAGATTTGTTATCACAACATTTTTTCTTTATTCGAATCAACTTAAATAATTTATTTAGTTCAGATAACGTATTATTTTAAGTTTCTGATGATTAAATCAATCTCCTTCATTGTATTAACTCACTTTTTCCAGTTCAATCAACTTAAAATTTTAAGGCAACCAGGTTACAAATTTTTTTAAGTTAAACCAACAATATATATATATATATATATATATATTATTTTATTTATTTATTTATTTATTTATTTTACAGTAAGCACCGACAACATTATGTCAATGGTAATGTTTTAACTCAAGATGCAGACCAGTTTTTTTTAAAAGCTAATTGAAGTAAGGCAAATCCTGGCTTAATCTAACCCTTGTCTGTAAAACCATGCCTTTTCAGTTTTTCATTTGTGAAATGATTGATTAACATATTGCTCCGCCCTCCTCTGTTCACTTAAATACATGAGCGGCACAGTGATTTTGGTTTCATATAATCGGATCGCTGTCTGCAGAAACATGGTAAGCTATATATACTGCTATTGTCGAATATATAGATTTTAGGGTTTTCAATATATTTTTCTCAATTAATTACAGGATTGTGTCAGTTCCATGTGATATTTTATACTTTTTTATACGTCGATGATAAATTTGACCATACTATTCTTCTAAATGACTTTATTTCTGTAAACCAAACATGCTTTTATCAAACATTGTTTTGTATGAGCTGCAATTCTGCAGCTTCAGGTAAAACTATTGAAAGTTTAACATTGGATGCAATTGGTTTATTTGCTTGTGTTTAACTGTGAAGAGGCCAGTGTTTTTGGGTTTGTTTCTGTGCGCTGTCCTTCCTCTGGTCAATGCTGGATGCTCCATCATGGCACACAACAAAGAAGGTACATACACACATAAACTTTCCTTTGCTTTCAATGCATAACTAAAGAGTATGACCCTATTCTCTTATCATTAATAGATAAGTTTTGCCGGGACTCAACAGATAAGACTTGGCATCCTGTTGGATCCACTTGGAGAAACAGTAAATGTATGGATTGTAATTGTGTTGATGACTCAATGAGGTGCTGTGATGCGTAAGTATATCAAATTTAGTATCTTGACATTACCCGCTGTATTGAATTCCTCCATCAATACAACAGAACTGAGTTACTGAGTCCACATGAACACGGGTATTTTCAAAACCAGATGGCTGTTCATCCACACGCAAACACAATATTCGGTCACTGAAACCAAACTTTTTTGAAAACTCCTGCCAGGGTAAATATTTTTAGAAACTCCGGTTGTAGTGTAGACGGTGAAACCGGAGATTTTGGCTTCTGAGATTGTGCGCGGCTATCTCCTTTGTTTACATGAGGTGAGCCTGTGCTAACAGGGATTATGTACTGTACACACTTCTCCCTCCCATTTAGACTGTGGAACAGAGGAGTCAGAATGCATTATGCAGGTCATGTTGTTAACTACCAGAACCAGTAATAACCTTTTCACTGGCTTCTGATTGGCCAACATGGCTTTACGGTTAGGGTTATATCGCCACCTGTTGGTTTTGTATGCTCTTGACAGCGCTTCATAACTTGCTTTTGCGATTTCATGTGGACAGAGAGGAAAAACTCATTATCTAAAAATACCCGTGTACATGTGGACTAGGCCTGAAGTAAATGAGACCATTTTGGGGGGATTTAAAATAAATTTGAAGCTTGATTTTATATAAAAAAACACTTGAAACTAATTTGTTAAAATTGTGTGTTACTGTCTTTAGCTGTTAAGCTCATGGTTCATTTTACGGATGATTTTGAGTCATGGCAAGAGATACCTTTTTTTTTATTTATCCATATGCAGAAAAATACTTTAAGACCCAAGGCCACAGTGGGGGATCACTGTTGCTCTCTATTACAAAAGCATTAGGTTAACTCATTCCTTTTGGTTTCCCAACATGTTGCGTCTGTTGCTGATACTATGGGAATGCCTTCAGTGTGTGTCACACGTGTCTGAAGCATGTGTGTAATCATGCCAATTCTATTAGCAGAGGAAATCATGACGTCTCTCAACGCAACATGACATCATGACTTTTACGTAAACATACACGCCACTTTCGAGTCAAGTGACGTGTTATCTCTACCCATTTTGAGCTATCCGCGTGTATGCGTGTATGTCTACGCCATTAACGTCCGAGTGATTCCGCGTGTCTGTACACACCGTCAAATGTCCGCGCGAAACGAAGCAAAATGTAGATCTACATCTGGGGAGCGATCTTTTTTTTTTCCTAGGATGGTAAGGGAACAGTCATAAATGCCATTAACCCCAGTGACGGGTAGGTTTAGGGACGGGGTTGAGGTAAGTCATATATTTATATATACCGTAATAACGTTAACCCTCTGAGACCTAAGGGTATTTTTACAATAAATTTTCCGTCTGGTGTCATTTACTAAAAAAGCTTGTAAAATATCAACCCTTTGGTGCACAGACAATTGACACACCTCTTTTTTTTCAGGACAAATTGAACTTTCAGCATATTTGTGTTACATTGATGTCACCTGAATGTAAAATAAGTTATGGGACCATAAAGACAAATGAAAAAATAAATCGGAAATGGAATCACTCAATTATTTATTGAAATCACACACAAATAAATAAAAGCTAAGCAATTTTCCTCTGGAAAATAGTTTGTTCATGTCTTTGGAGTCCTGGAGCACAGGAATAAACATTATAACTTGTACAGAACAAAAACTATTGACATTTTTCCAAAAGAAGTCCAGGCGTTTGGGGCCTCATGATATTCACTGGTGCCAAGCCTCAAAACAGTTCCTATCAGCAATCACACAGAGGGCCACATCACAGGTTTTGCATTTCTATTTTATTTATTCTTTTATTTATTATGTTCTTTTTATTCTTTTATAATACATTTATACTACTATAATACTTTTTTACAGTAAATAAATAAATGGCACTTCAGCTGGGTCTATCCTGGTAATCTAGTTCCTCATCTGTCAAAAAGCTCTGTTCTCCTGAAAATCCTTCATCCTGCAATGCACCAAAATAGACCAGCGCTTTATTTACGTCAATTTCGCTGTGTTTCTCTGTGAATCGCGCGTCTTCGTGAGTCTCTCTATCTCTCTACACTATATCAGCGCTTGGTTCATGCGTAATGACGCACACCAATGTTTACAACGGATCAGCCTGTAATTGGTCAAAAAACATCACGTGAAAACATCACGTGATATCCAGAATGTCCGCTAGCATCGAGCTAGCGGCAAAAATGACGGAATTTTTATGGATTATGGACTTCAAGAGTATCAAAGTTTGACATAAAGCGTTTGGATTTATTGCTGAAAACCTCTGAAAGGAAGCACAAGTTCCAGGCTGGATAGAAAACCTCCTGTAAAGGCTAGAAAGACCCGAAAGACACCCCCGTGATGGCTAGCTCGTTAGCTTTCTGCTGGAAAAAACGGTAAGAAAATCGATAAATCTGTCATCGAGTTATGTAAACATTTATCGGAGGTGACGTGTGGCATCGGGCTCAGGGGGTTAAGTCAACGGCGTTCATAAACACGCTGAAAAGCGATTATGCGTCTTGATAGCACGCCAAAAATGGAAATACGAATTGGCGTGTCATACACACGCTACTTCATGAGATCAGTCTGCTTATGGGTTCTAGAAGTTCTATTAGAAGGAGTATTGAGTTGAGGTGAGTGTTACTGCCTCTGAAGTCTGCGCTTCAGACACCAGTGCATGCTAAAGGCGTTCCCATAGCATCAGCGACTGACGCAACGTCTTGTTCCTTTTTCGGGAATCGGGTTACATGCGTAATCTATTGTAGAGATATTTTAACATAATACACATACATTTTGTGGCACAGTGTTGTACTATGATACATAATAATTCCTTTTATTTTCTGTAATCTCTGTAGAATGGGGACTCCGATTTATCCTGACAAGTGCTCAGTGGAGTACAACTACGATTCATGCACATATGAGGTTTTTGAGAAAGTTCCATGTGCTCACGGTGCTGTGGGCAAATGACGGCCATGAATCAGGGAAAGAAACCGATCATCATTTTTCAGTTTTATCTGCGGATTTAAAGGGTAATTACAGACATGCCCAAATGAACATAGAATTTGTAATATTAGGAAAGATTAGGAATTTTTTAGGTTTAATGTTGAAAGATGTCTCAGTGCATCTATATAAAATGTATTATAATTGAGGATTAAATGAATGATTTCTGAAGGATCATGTGACACTGAAGACTGGAGTGATGATGCTGAAAATTAATCTTTGCCTTCAAAGTAATACATTTCATTAAACAATATATTCAGATATTCAAATAATATTATAATGTTTTCACTGTATTTGAGGTATTTAGGCATTTGAGATTCAAACTGTAAATGAAATTACGTACAGATACAAAAATTTAAATAATAAATTAAATCAATTAAAAGATGTAAATTCTAGTTTACATTTTTAAATGTACACCTGTGTTTATATCAATAAAGCTGAATCAATACAATGTGTTTGTTAGCATTTTTATTTTATGTTTTACAGGAGCACAGACCAGTACTATCCTGACACTTTAAACTCTTAACGGTTGAAATTTGGTGGATAATATGGTTAATGTCAAATAAGTGGTTAAATATACATCAACATTTTCACTAACATTTCTTACCACTAGATGGCAAAATTACAACCTTAATCACGCCTTGGCTTTCTTTATTGCTTTTAAAAAAAGGATGGAAAGTTGTTGTGGAGTCAAGGGGCTGAGAGAGACAATGATTTTGCGCTGTCTGGCAAAATCACGCTCACACACACACATTCTCAAACATAAACACACACGACCACACTCCCTCCCACACTCCATCAATCTAGAAGCAACTGGGGCAGCGAGCAGAAGTGTGTCAGACGGGTACATGTGCACATCTACATGTGTGAATTTGGGTACTAGAAACTTATTTCTGTCCAGAGACATTTTCTTCTTTTTTTCTGTGATACATTCACTCTGTTAACACAGGACACTAGAAGAACAAAGAAGACAAATTCAGTGTTTTGGTGGTTTGGCTTTCTCCAAATTAGGTCTCCACAGAAGGATTACGGATTGTTAAGGACCCTGTGAAACCTTATTTTTCTCTCATGGTCACTTTTATATTTTTCCTGTAGTCCTGTACATTTGCTCAAACAGTGCTTTACAACATGTGCAGACTTTGGAGGATAGCAGTTTTGCTTTGTGTCAAATTGGTGGGCACTGCGAATGGAAATACAGGACTTGTGCCGGAAAGAGGGACTGCAGCTTCCTCCTGCTATGGGGGTTTTGACCTCTATTTTGTTCTTGACAAGTAAGTTATGCTGTTATTTACCACTTCTCCATGAAATGTTAAGCATGACAACGCTCCATAAATGCTGTGCTGGCATCTGCATACCATATAAAACTCGCAATGCGTGAACCGATTGACGTGATATGGTTATAATAGACAGAAAACACTTGTTTAAATTACAAATGCACATGTAGAATTAGGCTTATTTAAATGCAATGCCTATCTTTTTTGGTTCTGCTACAGTGAGGAATGCTAAATTAAGTGATGCTTAATGTTGTAACCCATTGTTTTAATGGAAACTAACTCCAAGAGTCACTTTAGGATAAGATCATTTTAAAATGAATGCCTATGCCATTTAAACACTCACTGACTGAAATTCATTACATAAGATGAGCATCTGCTGACATATGCTGCATATTCTTTTCTGAGAAATACTTTTCTTCATAATTTTAGCTCAGTGACTTTCAGTTCACACAGGTGTCCAATCAGAGGATCCACAGATGTAGATCATGATCGCAGTAAATATTATCCACTAACAGCAACAGCCAATATTTTGTCTTCACTATATCTATTTTTGTAATACTTTTTTTTAGTTATTGTTGATTTTTTTTGTTATAATTTGTTTTTATTTTGTTGTTTTTTTTTCATATTTGATCAGTGAGTGCAGAATGGCATTGACATAAAAGTTAACGAGAGAGAGAGTAAGAGAGAGAGAGTGTGTGAGTGATGATACATATCATTGTTTTCCTCAGTAACATGTGTCCCATCTAACATGAGGTGAGAAAATTGCATGTTTGGGGTCAATGCGGACAGTGGTCCCCTCTGAGGGCAGTTTACAGATATGCAGCTCTGAGCCAAAAGCCTGCAAGGGAATGATAGATTAAACAGCTGGTTTAACCCTTATGCTGCATTAGGGACATTTTTGGTCTTTTACACTTTAATTTCTTTGACCATTTTGGCTGTTTTAATGCAAATGGTATGACATTTGGCAAAATTGTGACTTTTTGGATACATGTAAAAAATGTGATCCCATTTTGCAAAATATGTATAACACACACTGTGTAGATCAAATAGTAACACTCAGCACCATAAAGACCAAAAATGGCCCATTGAAACCCATTAAAACGTTGTTTAAATCTGAGGCTGTCAGTAATACATGAAACATGATTTTTGCACAAACATCCTTTCATTTTGAAGCAAAAGCATTATATTTGCATTATATAGTGTATTCCACCAGATGACGTCACTACATATTTATTCCCTATGGGTGGAAATGCACCTTATTTTAGGCAATAGGCAATGTTTAATAGGTGGCCATTTTTGGTCTCTAACGCGCTAAGTGGGATTTTTTGCAAAGTGGGACTGTGATAATCCAAATCTAAAGTTTTCTCTTTGCATTTAGTTTATTGAAAATAATTGAATTTTTGTGTTTTTTCCTCTTATACAAATCGATGGTTTCGCAAACAAAACTGGTAATTAAAGGGTTAAAATCCTGAAATTGAATACATTTTTGGTAGTTATGATGAGGACTGATGCTGGTTAAAAGATTTAACTTGGTAAAAGTGGAAAATAATAATAATATATAATATTTTAGGCAATGTTTAATATGTGGCCATTTTTGGTCCTTAATGCACTCAACGGTGTTAAAAATCTAATGCAGCACAAGGGTTAAGAGGCTATTTGCCTGATTAGTTCCACATAGGCAGTTGAATTGAAAAGTAATGTACTTTTATCCATTTTAACTTAAAATTAAGGTTGTTTTAGTTTTTGTTTGGTAGTATAGCAAGCTATCTTGACCTAATTTTGGCGTGTATTGTGGCGAAAGCCCCAGGACCCATAAGAACACATGGAAAATCAATTATACACGGCCCTGAACTCAATCATCATGTTTGCCTGCGTGCTGCACACAATATGAATACACACGCATGGACATGCATTAGATTGGATGTGGGTCACAGTTTCCAACTATTTCGAATCTACCAGTCTAAACTTTGGCTCTACTTGGCAAGTTTTCCCCAGAGTGTTATGTTCATGTTCGACGAATGTGTTTTAAGTCAAAATAACACAGCTGTGTTTCCAAATACATGTAAATCATTCGTCATGGATAGCCTGGCAGTTCAGCTGTGAATGTGATGTTTTTGTTGGACAGATTCATATTGTTTTACAGACAGTGACATACAGCTGTCTCAACTCATTTCCCCTTTACATCACTGCCTTGGATCCTGCGTGTAAATCGAATTCTGTTGGATCTAATTCATTTTCGCTTCGTTCGTTCGCTTTTTTTGTATTCAGTAAGAACATTTACATGAATATAATAATGTTGATTTGCATATAGTATTGCATATTGGTGCAAAAAACATCATTTTTTTAGCAGCCAATAACCAAGACACTCACTGTCAGGGGCACAAAACTAATTCTAAATATCAACAGATAGATATATAGATAAACTCATCTTCCAGGCATTTGACAGACCAGGTTGACACTTCAGCGTGAGATATCGGGGTGTGGCGTGTGAAACCAATCAAATGCGGGTGTCTCACGGCCAATGTGTTAGAGTTGGCAGGCAATCTGAGAGGCTAACATTAGCAAGCTAGCTTTGAAAGCATGATATCCCACACTTCCTCCAGAAGCCATGCTCTCAAAAGCCACGCCTCCTTCAAAACACATGAACGCAGTCTGCATAAAGTTAAGAGAGACGGTGTTAAAAGTTAAGAGAGACGGTGTTAAACTACCTCACGTCTCAAGCCATATAACATTACAATCATAATGAACGTAAACAACTTACAGAGCTCTAGCTGTGGGCTACAACCTGACTGTTGCAGATTAATTTCGGTGTTGATTAGGGGTGTAACGGTACATGTATTCGTATTGAACCGTTTCGGTTCAAGGCTTCCCGTTTGGTACACATACAAACCGAATGATTCCTTGGACTATTTTTCTTGCCGACAAAATTCGCGCTGGCGCGACCACCACAACGTTGCGCAACATCAAATGGCAAGTGTAATGAAAGCAGAACAAAACTGCGCTACTCATTATGTGCTTCACGGATCGTTTATCAGTTCGGACCAGCAACATCTATGCAGCGCGAGCCGATCTCGATCAAGAGATCTGGTAAAGAAAACATTTGAATTCGCCACTGAGGTAATAACATTGCTGCGAGATCTAGTGAGAAGCATTCACATTTCTCTGCTATTAACCATAGATCTCTATTAGACCAAACAGCGCTGACGTGGAAACCAGGAGAAACATTGTGCCGTGAATGAACTAGTAATACGTTACGTCCACAGACCAGCAACATTCACCATGGGTTTAATATAGTAACAATAACTGGAACCAGTTTGGCTGGAATACTGAAATGCTTGCAAGTACTTTTTCCAGCACTTCAAAACTCAAATATTATATAAATAAATATATTTAAATGTTATTTTTAATGTGATGACCAAAACAATATTTGTTCATCCTTCAAAGATGACCCCCTTTTATAAACCTGAAAGTTTCAAGACTTATTAAAAGAAAAATATATAAATAATTTTTTAACAAATATGAAATTTCTCTGGCGTTTCTTTCTTTTTGCTGTATCGAAAACGTACCAAACTGTGACTTTAAAACCGAGGTTACGTACCGAACCGTGATTTTTGTGTACCGTCGTTGACATAGAAACACATAAATCTGAGTCTGAGGACGTGACGGGTGGAACGTCAAGGGTTGCCATCTCATAGTTAAAGGGATAGTTCACTTTGAAATTAATTTTTGGTATGTTTTAGCTTACCTCAAGGGCATCCAAGATGTAGGTGTCTTTGTTTCCGCAGTAGTTTCAATTTTGACATTTTTTGGTCAAACCGTTGTTGTCTGTCAGTCATACACTGGAGGTGAAGGGGGTCCTCAATCGGTTCACCTCAAAGAGCATGCACAGAGAAGTCAAAATTAAACATGATTTAATGACTCGTACATGCAAGTACACATTGATGGCCTAAGACATGAAACGAGCGGTTAATGTGAGAAAACGAACAGTATTTATATCAATTTACCTCTTGTAATCATAGCCATGACAAAATGATCTGACAAATGAAAGACACCTACATCTTGGATGCTTGAGGTAAGCTTAAAACATATCAAAAATTAATTTCAAAGTGAACTATCCCTTTAAAGTAACAATTGACATGGCATGAGCGCAGCATAAGCTCATTGTTTTGGTTCAGGAGTAAGTACAATATGCTTAAAGTTGTAAATGTAAAGTTATTCTCTGTCAAAGTGATGCCATAATGAATAGGAGTCAATGGAAAGTCACTTGTTAGCCAATGGCGGCCCCCGGGGAGACTTCAGTTTCCGGCTGGTGGATGACCCCCTTGATGGAAATGCATATACTGACAGGCAGGTATAGGACATTGGACCGAATGCAATTGATTTGACGAACATTTTTGGTCCTGTGAATTCCACAGAAGATATTTATTTATAATATAGAGCACTTCTATTATTTATTGTTATCAGGATGTGAAGAGTTTTAAAATGCAGCAACCTTTAAGGCTATTGTGTGCCTGCACAAAATGCAGTGTAAAGATGCAATTACAAAAGGCAGACTAAATCATGCATGTTCTGACCCTCCTCAGCCCCTAGTATCAAAGTAGACTGTTGTAATTTGGTTGTAATGTACTGTATGCCACATTAAGCAGCATTAAATAGTCGATGTAAAGACTAGGGTGCTGATGGTGCAGTGGATAAGACACATGCCTTTGGTGTGAGATACCCAGGTTCGAATCCACTGTGAGACACCAATGTGTCCCTGAGCAAGACCTTTAACCCCTAGTTGCTCCAGAGGCGTGCGACCTCTGACAAATATAGCAATTGTAAGTCGCTCTGGATAAAAGCGTCAGCTAAATGAATAAATCTAAGACACCTGCCACTTCAAAACGCTCCTGTGGCACCATTTTAGTATAAATTTGGAGCTATCATGGGACAATGCCTACCATTAAGTTCTGGTTATGTTTGCACGGGTTAATTTATCTCCTTGTATCTGAGTTATGGGAAAGTCAGGGTTTGGTTGTTCTACTTATGGGCCATCTCTGTGGCTCCACTTTATAGCTGTGGGCTTGATGGTTTGGCTTCTGTGCTCAGGAGGGTCTGTGAAGGACATTTACTGTTCTCCTCCTTTTTATTCAGCTCAATCACTTCTGCAGAGAGTGCAATAAGAGAACAGTTCAGAAGCAGTGTTGGGAATAAAGGCACATGTGTTATGAAACTAATAATATAACTCATCACACTAATTACCAAGGCCCGTTCTTGCCTCTGGAATTGTTCGGGAACTTCTGGTCAATAACATCATTCTTTCAACTAAATATTTGTCCATTGTCACAAATTTTCAGCATACCGGCCTTCACAGACAAGTTAGTATAACTAATTGATACCATTTTGTTACATGTGACACCTGTGAACTGTGACCTGTGAATTGGATTATTATCATTGGTTAATAAAGTGAGATGCATAAAGTAGGTTATATTATGAGTTTGCATTTCATTGTGTTACTTACTTGAAGATATCTTGTTGTTCATTTAAAAGTAATGCATTACTTTACTAGTAGTTACTTGAAAAAAGTAATCTGATTACGTAACTTGCGTTAGGCTACTTGATTTGCATTACACTGGCCATGACGTATTTCTTGTGTTTGTGACAATTAAATGGCACAAAAATAAATAAAATAATAGCATAAAATGACATTCAAAAATGCGAAAATGCCTTGTTATACTAGAGGTCAGAGGTGAATGGGCCGACTGATTCAAGCTGATAGAAGAGCAACTTTGAATGAAATAACCACTCGTTACAACCGAGGTATGCAGCAAAGCATTTGTGAAGCCACAACACGCACAACCTTGAGGCGGATGGGCTACAACAGCAGAAGACCCCACCGGGTACCACTCATCTCCACTACAAATAGGAAAAAGAGGCTACAATTTGCAAGAGTTCACCAAAATTGGACAGTTGAAGACTGTAAAAACGTTGCCTGGTCTGATGAGTCTCGATTTCTGTTGAGACATTCAGATGGTAGAGTCAGAATTTGGCGTGAACAGAATGAGAACATGGATCCATCATGCCTTGTTCCCACTGTGCAGGCTGGTGGCGGTGGTGTAATGGTGTGGGGGATGTTTTCTTGGCACACTTTAGGCCCCTTAGTGCCAATTGGGCATCGTTTAAATGCCACGGCCTACCTGAGCATTGTTTCTGACCATGTCCATCCCTTTATGGCCACCATAATGCACCATGTCACAAAGCTCGAATCATTTCAAATTGGTTTCTTGAACATGACAATGAGTTCACTGTACTAAAATGACCCCCACAGTCACCAGATCTCAACCCAATAGAGCATCTTTGGGATGTGGTGGAACGGGAGCTTCGTGCCCTGGATGTGAATCCCACAAATCTCCATCAACTGCAAGATGCTATCCTATCAATATTTCTAAAGAATGCTTTCAGCACCTTGTTGAATCAATGCCACGTAGAATTAAGGCAGTTCTGAGGGCGGAAGGGGGTCAAACACAGTATTAGTATGGTGTTCCTAATAATCCTTTAGGTGAGCGTAGCTCCATGCTATGCTCGTTGGATGCAGGACTTGCCTCTATATTGGAACTGACGTCGAATGACGCATCTGGCTGATGTCGGGTTTGATCGATCTACCTCGACCTCCTTAGGTCGGATGTCCCGATTTTAAGCGGCGTTACAGATGTTATTTCCTAGTAGAGGGTTGAGTGATCTGGAACGCAACATTCTTCGCACGAGCTTGCTTATGTAAAGAACATTTTAGTAAATGACCGAGCTTCCTCGTGAGAAATGTTTTTGCAATCCGTTTTGAATCTTCAATCGACTGTCGAAGTTGGGTAAGTGTTTAGCAGAGGGTCATTTCCAAAAAAAGATGCACACACTGTTTACACTTTACATTTTACATGTCACATACGACTAGGGTTGGGTATCGTTTGAATTTAAACGATTCTGATTCCGATTCCTTGTTTCGATTCCGGTTCCTAACGATTCTCGATTCCGATTCTTTTAAGAGGCAGGGTCAAAAAAGTTTAGCTAACCTTGCTAACCAGCGACCTTTCTGAAGGAAATACTCCTTCTGTAAAAATACTCCTTTTGTCACAAATTTTGCATTTTGCCGAGATTTCGTTATTTTTAGAAAAGTGAAGCCACACTTTGGATCGCCAACGTAAGGTACTAATGTTCGACTCACGCGGTTATGCCAACACTTCCGGTAGACGCTTCTTCGTTGGTGTTGTTCAGCGGTTTCTTCTTCCGCTCGGCGGACTGTGAATATCGAAACTAGGAATCGAAATTTTAACTTTTGAACGATTCCGGGAAAAAACGAAAAGTTAGTCTCGGTTCCAATCGATACTCGATTCTCGATACCCAACCCTACATACGACAAAGTAGCCTACCAAAATGTACCACAGTTTTACCATTTTGGACATGATCCAGATAGGAGTCGGACCATGTATAATATTCATTATGTAGCCTTAGTGTTTATTTCCTTAATTTAGTGCATTTGTGTGATGCTCTATATATCTTCAGAGACATCAGACATGATCATGAAGTGAATAATCATTATACTGGCCATGGCTGATTATTATGAAGAATACTAGAGCAGTTTCTCTAGTAATAGCCTACTTTTACTTTCTCATGCAAATAATGCATTTTACGTTAATAAAAGACACATTCATTTATGTTTAATATCAGTATAGATTAGGAGATTATGACTGTTTGAATACTTTTAACTCTTATGTATATTTATAAATGTGCTGTACTTTTTTGATATTTGATATATAATTTACTTTATTATTTTAGTATTTTAATATTCTAATAAAATTAATTATCTTTCTAATGAGCCACTTAAACTTTATTTGAGTCAGTTTTTGATTAAATAAGTATTGGATACTTTATGATTGTTGTCACTGGCTGACTATACGTTATCTATGGCGTAATTTTACAGTAAGACCTTTAATACTTCTCTTACAATTTATGACCAAGCATTAATCTAATGATATCTGAGTACATTTACTGATTTTGAAACGTTCTTGGTTTTCTTTTCTAGTTATCTGGATCTGAACACCAAATTATTCTTGTGCAAAGGTTAAATATAATGCAAAACCTAATTTACCTAATGGTCGCTAGGCTAACTGCTATTGTTTTGAGCCAATATAAGTGAAACGTCCTTGTTGACCTGTTCTAGGACTCAAATAAAAGCTGAGAGATGTGATTTGCACTCTCATCCATTCCCAGAGATTATCTAAACCTTTGGGTTAAGGAGGAACTGAATAATGTGACAATCCAGTCCAAGTTCAGTGAAAATGAATAGGCAATATTGGGCTGCTGTAGAAGGCTAGTTCATTAAGAGTTATAGCTATATAAATAAATCCTTCTCTTTTACACACTCACACACATACCATTTGCCTCTTGTTAAACCATTTCACCATTAGCTCCAGATGTTCCGAACCCTGCCTGCTTTGTCTGCTTTAGAGCCCCGGATCCCACTAACAATGGAAAAATAATGAGAGAGGGAGAAAGACAAGCATAGAGGAGAGCGAGAGGAGGACAGAGGCAGTGCTTAAAATCTCACATCATTTCACCGCCATTAATTTTTCTAAACATATACAGTAATGAGGTACAGTAGTTGAGTTGGAGTAGCACCTTTAAAGGGATAGTTCAACCAAAAATGAAAATTCTGTCATCATTTACTTGCCCTCCTGTTGCTCAAAACCTGTATGAGTTTCTTTCAACTGTTGAACACAACAGATTTTCCCCCACTATGGAAGTCAATGGCTTCTGTAACTGTTTGGTTACCAGCATTCTTCAAAATATCTTCTTTTGTTTCAGCTATATTATTTGGACACTCTTAAAATAAGTTTTTCTTACTACAGGTATCCACAAGTTTCCGAGGGGCGCTCCTGTAAAAAATAAAGTGGGTGAAACTTCCGGTGACGCGGCGGAAGTAGCATTCCAATGGTATTTTGTGTGTTAGTTAGCGAAGAGGCTAGCTGTTTTTCGGAGAATTATTTTACTATTTAAAGACGCAAATCTTTATGAGAGATGTCGTTAGGGAGCTCAGGGACAACATGTGCTGTTCGCGGTTGTATGTATAACCGGACTAAACTAATTCAGTGGCTTAAACGTGATTGTTTTGAACATATGCTGAAAACGAAATCAGAGTGATCCTGCCAACGACTGTAGTTTCCATCACCTCCCAAAAGACGACGAATCTTCCTGTGTACATTTGTTTAAATTCTTAATATTCTATAAACTCTATCAGCATGTGTTTGGTTGTTCTCTACTGATGTTACACCTAAACTCAGGATCAAAGCCTGTGTTGACAGAATACCAAATGTGCCAGTTAATGTATTCAAGTAGCACATTCATTTATAATTTTGAATAAACTCCAAAGCACAATGACTAAGTGTGTATTTTTTATTTTAATTGTTTGTCAGCTCGCACAACTGTCTGTCACCATGCCTTGATGAGTATTGATTATTAATAATGTTATTATAATACTCCCAATCAACTACTGCGGACGGTAAAGGTACGGTTATTTCACCCTTTTTAATTTCGTTGAGGTTGTGTTCCCACATCGTTAGCTAGTTTGGATCGCTATAACTTGAATGACTGTCAACTGTTGAATGAACGAGTGTCAAGCATGTCAAATCGCGCTTTGTTTACTTCCAACCGGAAGTCGCGCCCACTTTTGACGCAAGGCCTCATGGGGCGTAGGAAACTTGTGGATAAGTAAGAATTTTTCTTACTACAGGAACTACATGAATTGTTATGTCCCAGGGCTTGGCTTTTATTCAAAAACAAACAGATTTTAATTTTAATTTTATTTTGTTGTTTTTGCAGATGCTACTTAACTTGATATTTTTTTGTCCATGAAATTGACACATTTCAAACAGCATTAAAGAGTAGCAAAACACATTTCTCCACATTGTACTCTAACAAGTAACATTGTACTCTACTCTACAAGTCTAAACGAGTAAAATATGGCAACAATGATTACGTTACGTCTATTTAATTACATCTGAGTAAACCACTATCACTTTGAGATAGGTTTGAGGGTAAGGCCTGGATTTTTAAACAGCATTACTATGCGAAAACGCGATCATCTGGAAGAAATGTAATCTTTGGCAGAGTTACACATTCTAGCAACATGTACATCATTTGTATAGACTAGACATGGCATCATTGAAATAACATCTGGCACATTGACAACTGCATTAAGCAGAATGCCTTCATGGGGTATTTATACTGGAACTAAAACATTAAATGACATCGATTATGCTTTTATTTTATTTTTAACCTTTCATTTAGTGTGTAATCGAGCTATTTATGCATATTAATCTGTTGAATTTATTGTTGAGGATAACCCCTTGAGATGAAACATCTCGTTTTCGAGGGGGTCCTCGAGACAAAAACAAAGATAATACAACACATATACATTTACTCACAGCAAAGCTCTACCTCATCCCACCTCGCCCTACCCACCCAGCCCTCCAGGTCACCAACTCCTGTGGAAGATCAGGAACAGCAATTTCACTTCATTTAAATGACAAGGCAAACACGATAGCTTAAATACATGCCCATTCATGTATTGAAGCCTCATTTTTGCCCTTTTCTTGTTGTGTAACATGACATCAATAACCAATGAACAGACAGAACTAATGAAGCAAGAACCAATAAGAACACGACAAGCGAATCAAAGGAAACAATTAAAAGTCAAGTTTACATTAAAACTCTTTCTATTCGATTATCATGAAAACAAATCTCAGAGAACAGTCAACGGTGTTATTAGACTTTTAAGCATGCAGGGCAACCACCCAGTAGAGCATTACAATAATCTAGTCTTGATGTCATGAACGCATGAACTAATATAGATATATTTTTAAGATGGAAAAATGTGGTTTTACAGATACTAGACACGTGATTTTCAAACGAAAGATTGGTATCAAAGAGCACACCCAGGTTCCTAACCGACGACGCAACATGACATCATGACTTTTGCGTAAACATACACGCCACTTTTGAGTCAAGTGGCGTGTTCTCTACGCATTTTGAGCTATCCGCGTGCATGTCTACGCCATTAACGTCCGAGTGATTCCGCGTGTCTGTACATGCCGTCAAATGTCCGCGTGAAACGAAGCAAAATGTAGACTTTTTTTTTCCTAGGATGGTAAGGGAACAGTCATAAATGCCATTAACCCCAGTGACGGTTAGGTTTTGGGACGGGGTTGAGGTAAGTCATATATTTATATATACAGTAATAACGTTAAGTCAACGGCGTTCATAAACACACTGAAAAGCGATTATGCGTCTTGATAGCACGCCAAAAATGGAAATACGAATTGGCGTGTCATACACCCGTTACTTCATGAGATCGACGAAGACTTAACAGAGCAGACATCAAGTGTTAGACGGTATTCCAGGTTATTGTGTGTTGAAGTTTTTTTGTCCAAAAATTAGAATCTCTGTTTTTTTCTGAATTTAGTAATAGGAAATTACTAGTCATCCAATTTTTTATATCGGCTATGCATTCCGTTAATTTTGTGAGTTGGTATGTTTCGTCAGGGTCTAAAGAAATATACAGCTGAGGATCATCAGCATAACAGTGAAAGCTAATTCCATGTTTCCTAATGATATCTCCGAATGGTAGCATGTACAGAGTGAAGAGCAGCGGTCCTAGTACTGAGCCTTGTGGTACTCCATACTGAACTTGTAAGCGATAAGACATCTCTTCATTTACTGCTACAAACTGATAATGGTCAGATAAGTACTGTATCATTTAAACCATGCTAATGCAATTCCACTCACGCCAACATAGTTTTCTAGTCTATTTAAAAGAATTTTGTGGTCAATTGTGTCAAATGCAGCACTAAGATAGAGAAATACAACCACGATCAGATGATAAGAGCTAATCATTTGTGACTCTAATGAGAGCTGTCTCAGTACTATGGTACGGTCTAAATCCTGACTGAAAATCCTGACTATTTTTTAAGCCATTATCCTGACTATTTTTTTTTCGATCCCCGAACGCCGTCAGAAGTTCGCTGAACTTCATACAGTTCAGATCACTCAGCACGACGTTCGTGGTTTGACTTATCGAGACTATTTTTTAAGATGGCTCCTGTCTGTATAGACGAAGTGAACTGTCTTCATAAAGTATCTTCTTATTAAACGGTCTGTACACTTACAAAGTTCTCAATGCTTCGTTTTGCATGTGTGGAGCCTCATTATGTTACCGCGTTAGTGTGGGGCTATTTTGAGCCTTGTTAGTGGTATAAACTAGCGATTTCTTTTTACTTACTCAATGCCCCCATTACTAGCATATACGCTAAACAGTTTTTAGAGATAAAACTCTTTACATTCGATTATCATGAAAACAAATCTCAGAGAACGGTTGACTGTGTACCGATGTTTTATTAGACCAAAGGTTCATTGTTCGCCGGAGTTCTCCTTTAAGGGGGGCATCCTCCCCTATCTTACCCTCCTTCAATTTAATTTAATTTAATTTAATTTCAAAGCCAGGTTCCAATGTGAGGTTTCAGTGCTATTGTAATATTTAAAGATCACAATTGTTGATCTTTGGCTCAATTCAAAGTCAATGGAATATTAGCAGCTGGCATCACATCATTCAGACAGCTGCTCTAGGAGGATGCTGATACTTGAACGATTTCCCTCTGGGGAGGATAACAATGTGTCAGTGTAGTTTTTGAACTGCTGCTTTTAGAAAAAAAAAACTGTCTTATTCACACAGCTGTAAATCTCAAACTTTGGCTATTCCTCTCAGCTTGTGAATCTTTATTGCCCCCTTGATGTTCAACTGTAAGTGTCCAATTTGTCTGTTTCACCCTGCAGATCAGGAAGTGTGCAGCATCACTGGAATGAAATATATAACTTTGTGGAACATCTGGCCCATAAGTTCATAAGGTAGGCAAAGACAGAGTCTTACAAAAATGCGTGTGTGTGCACATCATTTTATGTAATATTTTCTGCTATACTGTATGTGGATGAAAAATCCCCTGCACAAACAAACTAAAACATGTTTAACGAAAAATATTAGCATATTTAATTTCTAATTGGCTTTATAAGTTCTGTAAATTAATGAATTATATTTCACAATTAACACTGTTTCAAATGTCCACTTTAGACATTCTGCTAGCAACTACATGTCAACTCTCATTAGAGTATAAGTGGACTGTTAGTTTAGGGTTTGTAGAATTTAGTCACTTTTAGTCGACTGATAGTTTGCAAAGTTACTTAGTGTTACCAAATATGATTTTAAAACGAATGCACCATTTCAGTTCATTCAAAATAGTGGAAATCTAATTGGGATCAAACTACAGTGCACCTGAAATTTACATTGAAAAAATAATTTTAAGTCAAATATACATTATAATTTGTTATTGCATATAGCCCACAGTTGCGGATGTCCTTCATTGTATTCTCCGATCAGGGCAAGATTTTGATGCAGCTTACAGAAGACAGGTGAGTAAACTTTATCTCCATTATTTACCTGTTTAACTCCTGTCGTTTGCACAAATGCATTGTGATAATGTTTGCTGTCTTGAAGTGTTTTTACCATAGTGTGAGTTTGTGCCAACAGAAGTTTGACAATTTTCTTAGCAAAAAAGAAAAAAAAGAAGGCCAAATCTGTGAGAATCGATTATGTGTCAGTTAATGACCCATAAAAAACGTCACATCTGCTGTGAACATTCCCTGGTCTTGGCGATCGTCTCCAATCTTTAAAACAGCACTTCTATGACTTCAGCATGTGGCTTACAATTTCTAAAGAAAAGTCACTTTTGTGGGCTGTCGATGCCAAAATTCATTGTGATTTTTGAGGCTTTTTCATGTGTCCTGAGAAGTGTTGATTTGTCAATGATTGATTTTCAGTGCCAATGAATATTATTCATGGGATCGTTTGTGGTTGGTGTACATTCGAACATTTCATGACATTTTCTATTTGATAATTACAAATCGAATGATAAATCGAAAGAGGTTCATAATTTATTTTTGTTAATAATAAACAAAAAATGAGGTTTCGTTTCAATACCTCCTTTTTTGTTTGCACTTTACAAATCAGTTTATGGCTTGAGTATTTTAGAGACGGTCCTCACTGCAGAACACACTATCCAGGGGGAGGAGTTGGATCCAGATCCCACTCCTCCCACCTTACATATACCTAAACCTATCCATCTATCCCTAACCCCACTCCTGATCCTACTTATCTCCACCTCCTGATCCCCAAAGCCTAGTTCACACTACATGATTTTAAAACGTCGGGCTGAACTGTGCGGTTCACACTACTTGACTTGCTCTTAGTAAAATCAGGAGTGTTCAAGTTGTTTAGCAGTTCACATCAAACAGCACAACACGATTGATCCACACCAGGAGGTAACTCACTACACGAGTTGACAACGCACTACATAGAGATACAACCACGATTGGATGATAAGAGCAAATCATTTTTGACTCTAATGAGAGCTGTTTCAGTACTATGGTACAGTCTAAATCATGAAAATAATCAAATAAATAACAAGTTGACAACAACTCTGTCACCCAACGATTCTATCTTGTCTACAAACCACGTTTTGTCATGAAAAACCAGCAATAATACGAACCAGAAATGACGCGAAACAGCACGTAGGCCAATACACAGCGAAGAAGAGAACACAACACACGAATATGGACGTCAGACAGAAACACTGTTGCTGCACACTGTTTGCGCAACGATCTGCTCTGAGAAAAAATGCAAAAACTAAGATTTACCTGGTGTCCTCAACCCATGCGTTGATGATTGGCTGTACTCATGATGACATCACTGAGGTTGAGTCGCGACGGCTCTGGATATCTAGCAGGCTAGATATTTTTCTGGGCTCGGCGACGCGTCTGCGAGGTGTCTGTGAGCGTCTTCGCTGCGTTGTTGGCTCTTTCATACTAACAGATTGGCAAGCATTCATCGTCTGCTAATCCCACGCGATAACACCCTGACCTGTCGGCGAGCTCAACGATTTGCAAATCGGGCATAAATCAGGCTTAAAATCCTGTAGTGTGAACTTGGCTTAACGCCACCCCTGATCCTACTCATCTCCACCCTCTGATCCCTAACCCCACCCCTAAACCTACACATCTCCATCCCCTGATCCCTAATCCCACCCTTAATCCTACACATCTAAACCCCTTGATCCCTAAACCTACCCATCCCATTATAAGCAGAAATATGCTCTTGATGTATCACGCGCAGCCATTTTTTATTTCGTCGGAATATGCTATATTTAAAGAAGGCATTGGTGTATTGTCATGAATCTCAGCATGTGTCTTTGGCATCCAGAAGTTTCTCAAAACGTTTTAGGCCACCTTGTGGTCTAAAGTTATCACAATTAAAAAAAATACTAATAACTTTTGATTAGATTTGCCTATTGTAAGGAAACTGATCTTAATTGGATCAATTGGATCATGCAGAGAACAACATAGATACCAATTTTGCCAAACTGCTTGTCCACCATTTAGATTTTCTTTCAAACCCTACTTTTTCAGACTCCTCCTATACGGTTTGTCTGATTTTCACCAAAATCGAATTGCATCATTTTCAAACCGTGCCGGCAAAAATTTTGGATTTTGCGTCGATAGACAAAACAGTTTTCGTATGATAAGTTGATGGCATGATGCCAAAACAACGGCATGATGCTCTTTATCTCTGCAATCGCTTTGTCATATTGACAAACTTTGTACATGTCATTTTCACCTTCCTCTGACCACTCCAGATAACAGCGCCACTTATTGGTCAAAGGACATAAACCATTAAATCACATTACTAGTGATTGTGTTTATGATTTTTCAGCCATTTTGCCTGAAATATTATGTCTTTAATTGCTTGTTGCAGTTAGTCTGATGCTCCCAGGCAAAAAAAAAAAAAATCTTGAGCAGCAAATCATCATATTCTGAAGAATCATGAGACACTGAAGATTGGCGTAAAAATGCAAAAATTTAGCTTTGATCAAATATATTAAAAATGAAAAAGTAATAATATTTGTAGTAATATTAATTTGTAGTAATATTTTGCAATATTGCTATCTTCATTACAAACTTTTGGCTGATCAAACCACGTTCTCCGGAATTATTATGTAATTATTAATTAATTATTTAATCATTATGAATTATTGTTATTATTATTGGTAATTATGTATTTTTCTCTCTTTTTCATTGTGTGCAAATGTCAGGGACCAAATTCGTAAAGGTTTGGAGGAACTCAAGAATGTCCGGCCAGGTGGAGACACTTTTATGCATGACGGCATTCAGAGGGTGAGTGAGCCAATAGGAGCCATTTTGGCTCAGTAGTGCTTCCCACAGAGAGGTAGGATGACATATAGCTCTTAATAGTCTTCAAGAAGGTAATGTTTGGTCTCTACTCAGACTGATGGACCTGTTCGGTGAAATAACCAGTCACGTTGAATGCTGTTTGATCTGCTTAAGATTACAATATTTATGATGTTTTTCTTTGTTTTTATTTTTTAATAGGCAAGTGAGCAGATTTACTATGGTAACTCTGAGGGTAGGTCAATTTAACCACTATTTTGCTTCAAGGAAAAACTGTTTAGACCAGTTTAAGCAATCTTGATTTTTTTTTCTAATTGGTTTTAAATAACTGACAGAAGATAAACTGGCTATAAACTAGTTAACTATTAACCCCTAACAGGTAGTTTAACTCAGTTTAACACACCTTGTACTGGTAACCAGCAACACGATGGTCTTAATTGGTTATTTAAGCCGGTCATCAGCTTAACCAATTTAGCCGTTTCGATTTAGTATAATTTCAGTTTATTCCCCTCATATTGTTCTTTTAAATATCAAAATTACTTGCTTGCTAGTTTCAGCATGTTGCCTTTAAAACAATCAAAATCTGTAATTAAATTGCAAACGTAATAAAAATGTTTTGTCTCTGTGAAGGATACCGCACAGCCAGTGTCATCATCGGCCTCACAGACGGGGAGCTGCATGAAGATCTCTTCTATTATGCCGAGAGAGAGGTAAGACTGATGAGAGACAGGAGAAAGGGAAGAAAAGGAGTGGTTGACAGTTCACTTTATCATAGTTTTAGAAATAGTATCTAGTGCTCTCAAATGGACAAACCTATTAACAAACAATACTATTAGTGCTGTCAAATCGATTAATTGTGATTAATCGCATTTAACAGAAACATTTGTGTATATACCTGTATATATATATATATATATATATATATATATATATATATACATACAAACCCAATTCCATAAAAGTTGGGACACTGTACAAATTGTGAATAAAAACAGAATGCAATGATGTGGAAGTTTCAAATTTCAATATTATATTTAGAATACAACATAGATGACATATCAGATGTTGAAAGTGAGACATTTTGAATTGCCATGCCAAATATTGGCTCCTTTTGGATTTCATGAGAGCTACAAATTCCAAAAAAGTTGGGACAGGTAGCAATAAGAGGCCAGAAACGTTAAATGTACATAAAAGTAACAGCTGGAGGACCGATTTGCAACTTATTAGGTCAATTGGCAACATAATTGGGTATAAAAAGAGCCTCTCAGAGTGGCAGTGTCTCTCAGAAGTCAAGATGGGCAGAGGATCACCAATTCCCCCAATGCTGAGGCAAAAAATAGTGGAGCAATATCAGAAAGGAGTTTCTCAGAGAAAAATTGCAAAGAGTTTGAAGTTATCATCATCAACAGTGCATAATATCATCCAAACATCCAATCTCTGTGCATAAGGTTCAAGGCCGGAAAACCATACTGAATGCCCGTGATCTTCGGGCCCTTAGACGGCACTGCATCACACACAGGAATGCTACTGTAATGGAAATCGCAACATGGGCTCAAGAATACTTCGAGAAAACATTGTCAGTGAACACAATCCACCGTGCCATTCACCGTTGCCGGCTAAAGCTCTATAGGTCAAAAAAGAAGCCATATCTAAACGGGAACCAGAAGCGCAGGCGTTTTCTCTGGGCCAAGGCTCATTTAAAGTGGACTCTAGCAAAGTGGAAAACTGTTCTGTGGTCAGACGAATCAAAATTTGAAGTTCTTTTTGGAAAACTGGGACGCCATGTCATCCGGACTAAAGAGGACAAGGACAACCCAAGTTGTTATCAGCGCTCAGTTCAGAAGCCTGCATCTCTGATGGTATGGGGTTGCATGAGTGCATGTGGCATGGGCAGCTTACACATCTGGAAAGGCACCATCAATGCTGAAAGGTATATCCAAGTTCTAGAACAACATATGCTCCCATCCAGACATCGTCTCTTTCAGGGAAGACCTTGTATTTTCCAACAAGACAATGCCAAACCACATACTGCATCAATTACAACATCATGGCTGCGTAGAAGAAGGATCCGGGTACTGAAATGGCCAGCCTGCAGTCCAGATCTTTCACCCATAGAAAACATTTGGCGCATCATAAAGAGGAAGATGCAACAAAGAAGACCTAAGACAGTTGAGCAGCTAGAAGCCTTTATTAGACAAGAATGGGACAACATTCCTATTCCTAAACTTGAGCAACTTGTCTCCTCAGTCCCCAGACGTTTGCAGACTGTTATTAAAAGAAGAGGGGATGCCACACAGTGGTAAAAATGGCCTTGTCCCAACTTTTTGGAGATGTGTTGATGCCATGAAATTTAAAATCAACTTATTTTTCCCTTAAAATTATGCATTTTCTCAGTTTAAACATTTGATATGTCATCTATGTTGTATTCTAAATATAATATTGAAATTTGAAACTTCCACATCATTGCATTCTGTTTTTATTCACAATTTGTACAGTGTCCCAACTTTTATGGAATTGGGTTTGTATATATATATATATACACATATATATATATATATATATATATATATATACATATACATACACACATACACAAACATTCCTGTTAAATGCGATTAATCACAATTAATCGATTTGACAGCACTAATAGTATTGTTAAAGAAATAATACTTTAAAAGAATATAGTTTATTGTGAACTGGATGTAATGTTTATTGACACTAGTGTAAATGCAATTAAATCAAAACGTATCATAGTTTAAACGTATATTAAATTCAATTAGCTGAACTTCAGTGCTTTTTTTTGGCCCACTTAAGTAGGACTTAAGTACATGCAATTTCATGCAATTAATTCTATTGTCTTTGAGAAATGGATAAAGTGTGAATGTGCGGACAAGCATATATGGTAAACTAACTTTACTTTATTCTTTCATGTAATGTATTTAGGGTATATCATGTATTTAAATGTATTTGTAATTACACCTTAGAAATTAAGTTGTAATTTAAAATGAGTTAGCTTTAAATATTGAATAACACACTACAGTAAAATTGTAAAGTACTTTTGTTAGTACTTAACATAAGTGTACTTTTGAAGCATCTCAAAAGTTTAAGTAATTCATAATTAAGCGCACTTTTTCACAAGGGGTGTCTTCACTGCAAGCAACAATGTGACGCAACACTTGCTTTGTTTTACACAAGGTTAAGATGGAGTCATCGTGTCCAATTTGAAATCATTCACAGACTGGGAATTAGATCATTTGTTTTTTGTTCATCATCCTATAACAAGAGGGTAGCAATATTTCAACCTATTAACCAATTTAAACCATAGATTTGGGTAAACAAATAAGAAGTAACATCAATTTGAATTAGCCTAAATCAACAACATACCATTTTTACACACAAAATGTCAGCCACACTCTCTGAAATAATAATGTACTGTACATCATTGTTTCCCATCCACATGTTTTGACCCAGTTTTCCTCTCAGCTTCAACCAACAAAGACATTATTCACCATCTCTATTACCCAGTGTCCTCTTCATTGATCAAATGTGTCAGCCAGTGCCAAAAGCATGATGTCTGGATAAGGCAGTTTATGTCTAATAGATTACAGGTGTCTGAAGTGTTTCTGTTTCCCTTAGGCCAATCGCTCTCGCAGCCTGGGTGCCTCTGTGTACTGCGTAGGGGTGAAAGATTTCAATGAGACTCAGGTGTGTGTGTGCTTTGCACAAAAATAGGCACTTATGCCATTTAAGTTACAAGGTTTCTGTAAATGATGCTTGGGCGTTTATGAATTTGCACTTCCTGTATATATATATTTTGTAATATATTTTTACACTTTTCATAGCTGGCCAAGATTGCTGACAGCAAAGATCATGTCTTCCCAGTAAATGACGGCTTTGAAGCTCTACAAGGTGTCATTGATTCGGTAAGTTTTTTATGTATATGGTTTAATACCGTAAATTGTATTCTTTATGAAATATTTAAGTAATGTGAGAAAAGTCACACTGTATTTTTATGATTATATAAAATAAAAAATATTATTAGGATAAAATATAGCCTTTTATAATAAATAACATATTTGTTTCCATCCATTTAAAGCTGCAGTCCGTAACGTTTGGTGCTCTAGTAGTTCATAAACTGCATTTGTCTTGTGGAAGAACATTGTTGCTCCTTCTCTGTGTTTATGTCTATGACGAGTCACGCAGGTACTGGGATACTCCACAGTGGTTTGACCCGTACCAGTCTAAAATAGTCAGAATATAAACACTTATTATAGGTGTACCATAGTGATTCAGGTTAAGACAAACATACAGTTTAGTTTAGATTCATGATGTACTAGCTTATTATATACATTTTGTAAATTTTGCACACAAAAAAGTTATGGACTGCAGCTTTAACTTGATTTTATTATTTATATATATATATATATATATATATATAAAAATTAATATATTAATATATCTAATTTCATCTATTATTTATCGTACTTTTAGTTGAGCAATTAAATGCAAGTCTAAATTTTTAATTAGGTGATTTATTTTTTTTCATTAATGCACTTTCTCTGAATAATTTTTTGCCGAATTCAATCAATACTAATTGGACTATTTTTATAAATATCTGCCAAAACCTTTGGCACTATGTGATTTCAAATATATTTGGTATGTAGCATGTGATTAAAAATATATTTAAATATATATAGACCATTTCACAAGATGTAAACAACACTGGTCCAGAAGCACTTCCTGTTTCAGTTTGTAACTGTTTTCTTTATTTCACATGTAAAGAATCTTAATGATGTTGGTTTAACTTTTTGATTCAGTTTTAAATGTTCTGTTGGTTCTATTTTGTCCCAGCTTTTATGTAGTGTTAAAAAACTGAAACAGGAAGTGCTTCTGGACCAGTGTTGTTTACATCTTTTGAAATGGTCTATAACAAAATACATTTAGATAATTTCAGAAACCTTTTTTGTTATGATAGTTGAAAGTCTCTTCACATTCTGATTGCAATCACCAAATTAAGCCATCTAAATTTATTTATATATACAATGTATCATCTGTTAAAGGTGCAGGACCCTAAAATGTTTGTCCAACCATTGCATTCATTCAGAAAGCGTGTCTCGTGACTCTTTTGTTTGCTCCTTGCTGTACGCGTTCATGTGTTTGGAAGGAGGCGTGGCTTTATAGACTCTCTGAAGGGATTTTGGGATCTTATGCGTTCAAAGCTAACTCGCAGTTGCTAGCCTCTCGGAAAATGACCTACCTTTCACTGGAGAAAGATGCTTTTCAGATGATTTAGTCACAGCATTTACCAGCGGGACCATGCCAACAAGCCAATCCTTGACCCCTTGCTTGGACACAAATTACCATAAGAAACAGCCTCTTGCTGAAAAAAAACAACAGAAGAGTTAAAGAAAAAACAAAGAATAACAAACAAGAATTAGCATTGAGTCCCGACTGAAGATGGCCTGCCATGCACCTCTTTGATCCCACGGTCCGCTGGAGTCTGCCCAAACACGATCAAAGCCTCTTCACCATGTCCTTTCTCTTGGCAATGAAAGCTAATGATTTATATTTCTTAAGCTCTGAAGGTGGAAGAAAAGAGGAGATATTTGGGTAAAGACTCGTCTCGCCCGTGCAGAGGTTGTCTGTTTCATGAGCTGAGACTGGGGTCAGTCCAGCTGGCCTCCATCTGCTCTCAATTAGCTGCACGCTGAAAGCTCTGGAGAAGAGTGTCGTAAATCAGCAGGGACCTTGGGATCTGAAGGCACACTTCGTAGATGACAGAGGAAGGCGGCAGTCATGTAGATCAAAACAATCTCGCCACACATAGGTGCTGGTATGGCTGATGAAGGCTATTTCCAGGACGAGAGGAAAGAGACGGAGAAAGCAGATGTACATTTCAAAACACAAACGCCACATGAGGATTGTCCCGTTGAGGCACTCGCAGGAGAGGTGTTGCTTCTTTTGATTGGTGGATCCTTCAAGTTAAAATAAACTTATTCTGAAAAAAAAATCAGAAGGTCTTCTCTACAAACTATTTGTTTTATGAATTTAAGGGAATGGAATTGAGTTTGTTTTAGTTGTTTACCTGCTAAATATCTTTGTACCCACCAGATCTTGAAGAAATCATGCATAGAGATTCTTGCAGCAGAACCTTCCAGTATCTGTGCTGGAGGTGAGTACAATTCTGTTCTGCTCAATAGACAAACTGTTTAAGCCACAGCTTCAAGGACTTGCGTGCGAAAAAAACTTCCAATTTTTAGTACATCTCTCTCGTGAAACATACACTTTACTAATACTCTAAAGTTGACATGTAGTTGAAAAGTTACTTATCATCAGTTGAATGTCTGTTGGGGAACATCAAAATAAAGTATAATGTCTAAAGTGGACTATCGAAATTAATTGTAAACCATTACATATGCTAATAAGGAGGCTGAAAAAACAGACCTTTTTTTTGCTTGTGAAATTTTGCTAATGTCACCACACTTAAAGCAAAATAGCAATATATTGATGATGTTATCATATATTATGCTTTGCACCACACCATTTCTTCCTCCTTTAGAAAATAAATCTTAAAATAAAAATTGCATTGATGATGGCTTTCATAAGTGCTTTTCAAAATTTGCTACATGATTTAACATTGTTATGTGTTAACTTCCTGTTTTAAAGAGGCATTCCAAGTTGTTGTTCGAGGAAACGGATTTCTTCATGCTAGAAATGTGGACAAGGTTCTTTGCAGCTTCCGAATAAATGACACCCTTACCAGAAGTAAGTATAAATCAAATTCTAGCAATTATTTAATCACCTTCACATGGTTTTAAACCTGTATGCTGTTATTTTTTCCATGGAACGCAATTAAAAAAAAAAAACTTTGAGTAATCGTCTTCGGATACAGTGACCATGGCATCGCTGGTGCCATATTTGAGTAGAGAGTTGTTGGTGAAGACTAATTGGGATTTAAGTTTCAGTCTGTTCCTCACTTTGGTATCTCTGAACTTTGAAATGGAAAAAAAAAATGTTTTCCACAGAAAAAAGAAAGTCGACGTGAAAACGACGTGATTTTTCATTTTTGGATTAACTATCTCTTTGGTTGCTTACATTACAAAGATCATATGCTGAACACATCACTGGCTCGAATAAGTCTACTAAAAAGGGGGTGAAATGTTATGTGGGATGACAGCAGTCTTATATAAGACATTTCCGTGACTTCCTTGCGTCATTATCATATGGTTGGAATGATTTGAGTCAGAATCTATAAAACCTTCAGATTAGCTATCATTTCTCCGCCGAATATCCCAGCAGACTCACTTTCATAGAAACCCTGGAACGACCGGCCATGCCAAGACAAATGCCAGTCTCATTTGGTTTTTTGCTAATAGCAGTTTTTAACGGCTACATTAGGAGTTTTACAGGATGGATTCCTGCCAAATGAAGGAGATATAAGAAAGATACACTGCCACACAAGAGGCTTACAGAGTTTGCAAAGCCCGTCAGGCAAATGTCAGCTCAACCCCTTGCAGTTTTTACTGTAGGTCTCGCCTTCAAACAGGATATGCATCATTCTTGTACACTATACTGTAGTGTTTCAGAGCTTGGCAGATGAGCCATAGGCACAAGGAAATTAACTCTTTTCGCGCCAGCATTTTTGAAAAAAAGTTATCGCAGTTATCATTTTCACGTCATGCGCCACGTTGTTTAAATGGCAAATGCATTTGCGCACTGGTCTAAAAACGAGGTTCGGGCACATTGAGGCAACTGAAACCTGGTCTAAAGTCAATAGAAGGTAGCGCCTAATAGCGCCCCCTACCGTATGTAAAAATTCCAGTGTGGAAAGAGTTGAACTACTGTAGTACGCTAGCAGAACTACTCAATGGCAATGAATTGATTTTTGCTTCAAGCTATTTCGCATGCATTTGTATGACTTCTATAATATGATTTTGATAAAAAAAAAGCAACCTCCTCTAACCCCACCCCTAAACATTAAAAAATATAAATGTGATCATACGAATTAGTCACCAAATCGGCAAAGTGTAAAATAGTTTCAAAATGCAATGAGATTTTACACATCACTTGAGAACCTTTACAATAAGCTTTTCCTTTACAAAAACAAAGAGATGTTTTCTGCCAAGGTTCATATTTGTCCCATCAATGATGGCACAAATTAATTAAGGCAGTTATGCAAAAGATGTGAAAGTATTGTATATTTAACAAAATCTGCAGTTAACTGCCTGGCAACTATTCCTTTTGAAGTTAAACTATTCAAGACAAGTGATTCTGTGTTGACATTTCAAAAGTCGTGATTGTGTAATGGTATCAAGCCTTCAGGGAGTGTCTTATTTGATCCAAACAATCGTACTTTCATTAAAATTGGCACTGGATATGAGATCAAAGGCCAGTCATCTGCCTGCAATCCTTTTTTACAGTATCAGTAATAGGCACCAGCTTTGGTGCTTCACATCTTGCCTGTCTTTGCCTTGATTAAAGCTGGACTTTTCAAACTAGCAGCATGCTAATTGTATGTGTCCGACAAGGACCAGAACATCCGGTTGAGTGTAGCTGTGTGATGGAAGTAATTTGGAAAAAAAAAAAAAAAAAATATTGTCCACCCTTCAGCAAACCGGCCCCACTTTCCCATCCTAAGGGCAAATTTTCAGACATGCAACAAATTTACTCTGACTTTGCGGAGGCCTGCTGTTTATTTACTCTTGACCACTGTAAACACTAGAGAGAATATCCTGTCAATGAATAATAATTTGCATCATACACAACCTGTTCCACTTACTTTGAGCCCAAGGCTGATTGCAGGCTGTCGGAAAAGAACCCCATGTGGTTACAGCGTGTTTAGCTTCTGACTTTCAGTCGGAATATGTAGCTCTTGAACTTGCCCAATTTGCATAATGTCTCCTAATTAGAATAGAAGATTAGTATTAATGCATACAATTATAGTACTTGTTAAAATAAATAGTATGATATAGGTTCTTGTCATAGTGTAGCCTACTAATGTGCATCTGTGCATGCTGATTGGACTAATGACACCAGCTGAGAGAGTCACAGCAAATTTGACATCTTTCTCTCTTCTGACCAATGTAATCTATCTCTAAATATGTTTTCCTTATTTGGAAAGTCATAGAAACGCTGTTGTTATGGTATTTCTGTGAACTTCTGAGAACTTTAAAATGTAAAAAAAAAGTGCCATTTAGCTGAAATCACATAAATAGAACAGTGTGGAAAAAAGTTCAGATGCACAAGAAATGAATGAAATTGTATGTGAATAATTAGGACGCACTTTATAGGAGTTACAGGCCAGTTCACAAAATGTCTGGTCAATGCTGCTCATACATGCATCCATTTCTATGCACCGAAATCTGAACATCTTTTGAGGATTGGATACCACTTACTTTGCAAACTTGGCAAATTCAGAAACGCCTTCTTCAAAGGTTTTTGTTTGTGTGTAGCATGAAACTGACAGCCAGTGAATGGACTGTGGCCGGTTTGCCGGTGACTTGCATTTCCTTTCTTTAACCTCAAGGAAATTCTCAAGCAATTAGATGTTTGCATAATAAGCACGAGCAGCTGAATTCACCAAGCTATTTCCCTCTCTAAAGGCGCAGATGCAATTTGGTACCAACAGTAATTCTTATTGATTTATTACGCAAGTCGAAACCATATCCACATGTCTTTACTTAGTAGTAAAACATGACTTTCCCTCATGTGATATGGGTAAACAGCCCATTAAAGCACAATGACAACAGGATCCTCTGCCAGAATTTGGATTCTTTGGGATTTGAGCCAACCGCCTACACCAACTAACAACTTCCTACAGGGTAAAGGGAACCAAGCAGTAGTGTCATATTCGACCTCCTGTCCATTTGAATTCTTGCAGTGTAGCAATGGCAAAATAGAAAATCACAAAGTTGCAATTACAAGGATGCACCTTAACATCTTGTTTTGATCCCATTTCTCCTGTTTTGTAATCCGTGGCCTTGCTAAATGCCTTGCTTAAAGGGTTAGTTCACCCAAAAATGAAAATTAAGTCATTAATTACTCACCCCCATGCTGTACCAACCCCGTAAGACCTTCGTTCGTCTTCGGAACACAAATGAAGATATTTTTGATTAAATTTGAGAGCTGTATAACTACCACATTGGCTCCTAAGGGACTGGCTCTTGACGGCCCAAAAAGTCAATGAAGAAAATGTTTAAATATCCCAAGTGACTACCGTGGCTCCCGTTATTTTTGTTTGTTTTTTCGCACAAAAAGTATTCGCGTCGCTTGATAAACATATAGTTGAGCCACGGTAGTCACTTGGGATATTTAAACATTTTCTTCATTGACTTTATGGGCCGTCAAGAGGCAGTCCCTTAGGAGCCAATGTGGTAGTTATACAGCTCTCAAATTTAATCAAAAATATCTTCATTTGTGTTCCGAAGACGAACGAAGGTCTTACGGGGTTGGTACAGCATGGGGGTGAGTAATTAATTACTTAATTTTCATTTTTGGGTGAACTAACCCTTTAAGAGCCCCAATGCTGAAAGCTCATGGGAAACTTCTAGTTTCTAGCCCTGAGCATTAGCCACTACTAGAAGCAGTGCACATTACATTTAAAGGTTAACATTCAAATCCAAGCTGATAAAAATGTTGTGGGTAGTAAAATTAAAAGAAGTAAAAATTAAATGCAGCCTGTCATCATCTAACCTCTTACGCAACAAGCAATCAAACGTATTGTAACGTTCGGCAGAGTTACGAAGTAAAATAGGGGTCAGATTAAACTGTGTGAGAATTTTCTTAAATGTTTTAAAAGATGAGACAACAACAGTGCTGACGGGAATAAATAAAGTGTATTTACAAATTTCACAAAGAACTTAAAACACCACAAAACTAGAAAACTTAGGTTGTTAAAAGCATCAAATCTATAAAGGTTCCAGTCCTTAGAAATTGTTGTGTGCTGAAAGTCCCAATGTGAAAGTGTCCACCGGTGTATATACAATCCAGCTGTAGTGAATCCAATGAAAAGTAATGAGTTTTTGCCGGAAAGGTAAGTCCTTAAAATAAACTCCTCAATCCTGCTTTGGTCTGCTTGACAGAGACCTTGTTAGTTTGCCATGCTGCCTCTTTTATCCTGGCTACTTCCTGTTTCCTGCTCACCTGGACTAATGACCAAAGCTGAAAAACAGTACGCGAGCAGAGTAGTATGTCTGAAATCATAATCGAAATGGATGACCTACTTCTTCCGGCGAGATTCTGAAGTGCGAATACGATGGACACTTTACTATCCCATGATGTTATATTTGAAAATGGCAGAAACCGGAGACGCGGCTGTAACGTTACGAGATAAACACAGACGCACATGCGTATCTCTACTGATTCATTCATGTTTATTTATCGATGGTAATATCACAAGCAAATAAATGGCTTTTTCCTTGCCAAAAATCAACATCTGTCATTGTTCATAACTGGGTGTGTGTTTTATGAGGTAAAATGTATTAGGTAAATAAATGTTAGTTGAGAAATTCCACAAAAGGCGTGATCTGCGAGCAGCTGACCGACGCCTCCTCTTGATTGTCGACTCGGACGACGCAAAAACGCAGATGAAAACAGAAAGCAGAGATAAAAACTGTGCGAAGTTGGTGCAATCACTGGAATGGGTTCTTTAAATTTTCGCGTATGTCACGCGACAACAACATGGCGCATGTAGCACGTCCGGACTCATTCATACTACCAGTATTCATACAACATAGAACGTACTTTTTTAACGGTCGTGAAGTACGTTCTGATTTAAATATAGTAGCTACTCACATAGTACGTGATTTCGGACGCAGCCCAAGACAACATGTAAACCTATTAAAACTCCAATATACTTAAAATCATCATAATAAATATAGAGTGGTTAAAACGTGTCATGTGTGACAGTGTCACAATATGATGACTTTTAATGCAGTGTTTTCCAGATTTGCAGTTTGAAATGTTACGACAGGACCACTTACGATTGATAAACAGCATACAGTTTGGATTGGCCGTATGGTTCTGTTCTGGGCGAGAACACCCAGCGAATTCATGCAGCCTATCATGGATAAGAGGAACAGCAATAAAACAGAACCGAAGCTACATGAATGTATTGCAGATATCCATAATTCAAGATTTTAAAGTACAACATAATTCCAGAATTTATTCTGATTCAAGGGGAATGCCAAACTGACTGAGACAGGAGGAGCTGGGGAGGGAGGAGGGCATCAGCTCCTGAGAAACGTGATAGCTGTTGATAATACTGAAGGAGCGTATATATGTATACAGTGATAGGCGTCGTATTTCTATAGGTAGACATGTATCAGCCGAGAGTCGAGCTTGACTAACCTGATCTGCCTGAACTGACGCTACTCTAAATTTGTCTTTTTTATTAGTGGTGAAGCCATTGATAGTGGAGGACACGTATCTACTGTGCCCAGCTCCTGTTCTTCGAGAGGAGGGAACGTAAGTGTCCCAGATACACCTTTTTGCAATTTTAACTTTGGCTTCACTCATGACGGAACATAATACACTGTTTTCAAAAGACTTAAGTAATTATTTCCATGTGAATTGCAGGGCAGCCTCCCTTTATGTTAGCATGAACGAAGGCCTGAGTTTTATCTCTAGTTCTGTTACGATCACCACTGTAAGCTGTGTAAGTATTATTCTAAATTATATTTCTTTATTTATGTTTTGCGTTTTTGCTTTTGACAACCAATGTTGGGACAGCTGCACTACTGTTGAAAGGTTTGTAGCCAGTAAGATCTTTATTTATTTTTTGAAAGAAGAGTCTTATGGTCAGCAAGGCTGGATTTATTTAAAAGAACGTAAAGTAAACTGTTATATTGTTAAATATTAAAATGACTATAATGAATATATTGTAAATGTAATTTATTTATTTAATGCAAAGTTTATTTTTTAGCATCATTAGAATCAATGATTCTTCAGAAATCATTCAAATTTACTGATTTGCTGCTCAAGAAACATTTCTGATTAGCATTATTTGAAAGTGGCTGGGAAAACTATATGGTTAGGAATAGGGGTTGGTGTAGGGTTAGTTACATGTAAGTATGCATAATTTATAGTTATTAATTCAGTAACTACATGTAACGTGTAACAAGTACACCACAGTAAAATAAAGTATTACTGTTTTTTTTTTCTTTTGATGAAGGAAAGTTTGGAGAACAGCATTTATTTGGAAAAGAAATATGATGTAACATTTTAAAAGTCTTTACTGTCATTTCTGATAATTTAATGCGTCCCTGTTTTATAAAAGTAGCACTTTTTTAAAAACAAAAAAAATCTGACCCCAAACTTTAATCGGCATTGTATCTCTAAAAGTAGCTATCTACATCAAAGCTGTTTTAAAGGGACCATATATTTTAAAATATAACTTCCAGATTTATATGAAACAGTTTAGGAAAGTGTATTTTACATTAAAAGTGCAATGTGTAAAAATTTTGTGCATCTATTAACAGAAACGCAATATGACATCCATAACTATGTTTAGTCGTCTATTAAGAACTTACTTAAAGGAGAACTCCAGCGCAAAATGAACCTTTGGTCTAATAAAACATTGGTACCTAGTCGACCGTTCTCTGAGATTCGTTTTCATGATAATCGAATGTAAAGATTTTTATCTCTAAAAAACTATTTAGCGTATAATGCTAGTACTGGGGGCATTTACTAAGTAAAAAGAACTCGCTAGTTTATACCACTAACAAGGCTCAAAATAGCCCCACACTAACACAGTAACATAATGAGGGTCCCTACATGCAAACTACAACCGAACCGCTAGATGATGTCGCTAAAAATCACACACTGCACCTTTAAATGACAATGTGACATTATTTTGTTTCCCCTGATGCTAATGAAAGTGTACTGATACACGTTGGAAGAAGTCTTAGTCTCTGCACCACTGGTAATCATAATAGATTCTCTAGCTAACAGTCATTCTTGCAGCATTTTAGCTTTTGAAAATTACTTAAAGGAAAATAACAGGGTCCAACTACAGTCTGCAGGCTGGGAACTTTTGTGCAAAGAAAGGGGAAAAAAACCCCTATTAATTAAAAGGATTTCTGGAATGTCTGATGCCTGTAAAGTGATGCCAGTCAAAGCTCTTTAGAAGAGCACAATACGCTTCCCACCGGCCAAAGAGTCAATGGGTTATGAGATCTCCCAGTGAGATCACTTGTAACTTTTATTAACCATCTCTGTCGTCATGCATCATCTGTTATTTTCACAGCTAGCACCCTTATATGGAGCCATTGTTTGAACTGGAGGTTGAAGGACTGACTTCATTGTTTTGTTCCATTGCATTTTCCAAATGTTTTTCTGCATGTCATTTGGAACTGATGTGATAACAAAAAATGGTTCAAGTCAGAGTGGTGTTCATCTGCTCTTCCCTGCAGTCTGATGGTACGATCCTGGCCATAGCGCTACTGATAGTGATGCTACTGCTGATTCTGGCTCTCCTGTGGTGGTTCTGGCCTCTCTGCTGCACTGTGGTGAGTCCTCTGTGTGAAACAGCTCAACCTCTGTGCTAGTTTACTCAGAAGTGCTGCTACATATTAGGACTTACACGCAAATCTGCAGAATTACGCAGAAAACTCAAAGAATATGAATGTGTATGTGCTCAAGTCTCCAGGGGGAATGTAAAGGAGTATAATGTAAGAGAGAACCCACTATACTAAAGAATCAAACAAAAAAACAATGAAGAACAAAAATTGCGAGGTATTCCTCAGATGCCGTGTTTGTTATTTACAGGGATAATCTCAATAATAATCTCGAAATGATTAACTAGCAGAATTATTACTATAAAACCTGCCTGGCGTTATTAACGGCAGTTCTATATTGCTGAACCAACAGATTTTTGATAAAGTTTCTAAGGTTTCGGGAAACAATTGCGACTAGCTAGTAGGGGTGTGCAAAAAAATCGATTCATATTTGAATCGCGATTCAATCATTACCGATTCAGAATCGATTAATAGAATTCCAAAAATCGATTCATATAGGCTATATTTTTTAATGGCGTGCAGGGGCGGAGTGGCAATCGGGTGAGTCGGGACTTTTACCGGTGGTCCGGTAGTGTTTCTATGGTTTCGAGGCTGCGAGGGCCGGTCTGATATAGTTATTGCAAGTTCTTGCCGCCCGCTGGTCAAACTGTGTGCAGCCACTCTGCTCAACCCGTAAATAAATGCATCGATCCGCAGATCTTATGTTTGAGTTCTGTAGATCTTTTGCCAAGCGTGTCAGAGGTTACGGGTTCTAAACCGCACTCGTATAGTTTTTTCTGTCTCTCATCAAAACCGAATATGTTCATCACGTTTGTGTGCATTTCATTTTGTGATTTCACCGGAGTCTCCACAACGGCGATAGATTGAAGCGCGCGTCCGAGAGAAGACTGCGCGAGCCACAGAGAACACTGTATCCATGACACTGATCGCAGCGGACACGAGCGCTCAGCTTGATTTCAAAAACAACAGGTCTCTTATTAAATAGCGAACTAAATGATTGCTCTGCTAGTTAACTGGAGATACCCGCAAATTACGCGCCTATGAACGACTTCACTGGATCTAAACAAATCAATCTAACCATAGATGTTACCAGTAGCGGTGGCTTTTTTAAATCTATTTAAAATATTTTCACAAGGGTTCTATGAAATTAGTAAATATTTTTAGGAAGTTCAATGTGCCCAGTCGAGTTCACATTTCAACAGTCAACCTGGTAGCTGAAGTAGGCCTACTCCTTAAACCACATTTAGCATAATTGTTTGTTTGATCTGACTACAGCACTTTAAAGCTAAATGTAAAAGCTTTTTATTTAAGTTTTATTTTAAACTTGAATTAAATGTATTTAAAAGCTGGCCAAAGCTTGGCACTTCGCACTTTTTAGTTGCAAAAGTTTTTATTTTTGTATGAAGACATATAAAGTAATATCAAACTTTTCTTTTAAATTATGTCTACTGCAATCAATCACATAGGAAAAAGTAAACTACATTTATATAGACCTGCGAATCGTTTTTTGAATCAAGAATCGTTTTTGAATCGAAAATCGATTTTGAATCGAATCTCAAGACAAAAAATCGGTATCGAATCGAATCGTGACATTTTCTGAATCGTGCACCCCTACTAGCTAGCATAACGTATAATACTGTTAGTTAATCAGTTGTTGTAAAGGAAATGCACCCCTGTTCTCACTCTCATGGGACGTGACTACACACATTTCTGCGAAATCTAAAGGTTACTACGGATAAAAATTGTGTAATGGGGACAACGAATGTAATATTTTAAGTGTGTTACTCTACAGAGATTAAATTCAGCCTAGGTTCGGCTCTGGGAGGATTTAAAAGCAAAAGGTGGACCAAATCAAATTTAAGTAATTAACAGCCAGCAATTTTATTTACAATTCACATTCAATATATTTAAACTATATTCTCACAAACCAGAAATTGAACCCAAAAATGAAATAAAATAAAACAATTTCTTCTGGATCCTTTGTAGCATATGAAATGCTCAAATGTCCATATGAAAAAAACCCTCAAATGTCCATGTGTTAAGCTCCAATGGTCATTAAAGTGTTCCAATATGCAATATATCTCTCTTATTTGAATATTTCGTCAGTTGTACAACATTTCTTTTATCATTTGCTCCATTTATAACACTTAAAGAAAATAAAATAATTTAACTAAACAATAACTAAACTTTAACTAAAATAAACAATAATTTAACTACAACTAGCATTGTAAGTTACACGGACAGATTTGACACTGTATTAGTTTTACCTTATAAACATACAAAAATACATTCTAAAACATAATATATAACTCTGATTGGCTTTAAGACACATATAAAGAAAAAGGAATATCAATTAGAAAGTTAAAGTAATGCATAAGCAAAACTCACCAGAGCTCGTGTAAAAGAAAAAACAGTAACCAACAGCTTTGACCGGTTGTTTTCCTCAGCAAATGGATAAATAAACAACCTCGATGACTAATATTACTCTTTACAAAAGAATATGAACATTGAACCGAATAACAGTTGAGAATTATATCGTTTTTTGCAGCAACACGCTAACCTTGTGCGTACCGATGTGTACAGGCTTCTTCATCTGATTTTCAACATACGCTGACTCTCAGCATACCACAGCGTTAATCGCCCTCTAGAGGTTAAGGATAGTACTGTGATGAAACATATGCTATATGCTATGAAACATAGCATATTGGAATTGCTATTTTTAGAACAGGACTACGACTTTTAGTACTTTAGTGCTACCATTTCTTAGATTCACACAGATTTCCCCCCACAATCTGTGACGAAGGAGTTTCACCGCACTCACGATAAACAAGGTGCCAGACAGACAAGAATAGAAAACTCAAAAAATAAATAAAACTGTCCACACACTTGAATCCTTAAAGAAAATTTAATCACCAAGCTTTCGGTCAAAAGACCATCCTCAGGGCACAATCTGTGATGAAAAAGAATGCAGATTCTTTGTGGGTGTATTTATTGGTTGGAAAACAATAAGTGCATAGCCATGGTTTCAATCTTATGAGGTGACCGAGAATTAATCAATTTCAATTTGAGAAGATTTAATTGGAGATTTGGTCATTTCATTAAATGTGGAGAGGATACTCATCTTTCATAAATTAATATCTATTGCAAAGATGAATTACACACAAAGTTGCCCAATTATATTAGAACATCTACCCCCTATATGCCTGTACACTGTGTTTCCGGGCGCTATGTGCAGGTTGTGTTACGTTAGTTTTCATGCCCTATTTGTTCTGTAATGACTTGTTAAGCCCCGACTGAATATATTAGACCCGCACAGGGTCAAGGCCACACGGGATTTATGAACAGATTGGCCCGACAACTCTTGGATCTAATGTCACCTTTGAACTCTCAAGGTCAAATGTCAATTGTGACTTTCCTCATTATGTTTCCAGCAGGGCTGCAGATGTGGAACCTTTTTTACAACAAAGAAAGTTTCAATATAAGAGTTTAGAGATGATAAGAGAGAGAGAGAAAAAGAATAGTGTCAATTAGGGGTCAAAATGGTTGATAATGTGATTAGACATCCAAAAACAATATCCAAAAATTATTGTTGATTAGTGAGGTTGACTTGTATTGTTCGATTTTTTTTTCTCATTGTGACCAGAACTATATCAGAAGACTGTCAAGTTTGAGTCATTCTCGCTTAACCTAACTTGAATCACAAGTTCACCCATACATATAATCGAATATAGTTAAAAGTATGCAAATTTGTGAGGGGTGGTGAAGTGATGCTAGAAAATTGTTGTTGGATAGAGGTAAGTTGGCTATATCTTTATATATGCTATATCAAGATATAGGTCATAGAGGATAAGAAGGTATACTATACTATGTATATCTTGATATTTTCATGGTCTTAGGAGCATGTGGACTCGGTCCTGACTCGGACTTGATGCTCTTCTGGTCTTGGTTTAGAGTTAGACTCTGACTCAAATGAGCTGGTCTCAACTAATGCTGCTCTTCTACTAGTGTAACTGCAGCCTCTAGCGTGAGTTGGTAGCGTGCCTCTTAAAATTTACCTGCACAGCTCTTACCAGCTGGCCTTCGTTACACTGTTTACAACAGATGTGAGCTGCGCAACATAAAAAAAAATAATAATAGAACCCATTATTGTAAGTGATGCTCTCAACAAATTGCAACACGAAAAATCCCCAACAATAAATGGATGCCCCATTCTATTTCTGACAAACTCGAAGGATTTGCAATACTTATGACGCGTAGAACAAATTAATTTGCAATGGTCCCATCTGGCTCAAAGCGCCATTGTATCTGGTCAAAGTAAGACACACCAACAAAGGTGCTAAAAAGCTTACCTGTATATTAGTTGGCCTTTTTTTACACTATAGCACAAGCTGCTTAGAAGGTCATTGTTGCAGGACCAATGTAGCCATGGTGATTAAACCAGTCGAGTCAAAACCAGCATGAAAACGCCCAGAATATACCTCATACTGGTCAATAGGATGGTTTTGACTAGTAATTTAAGATAAACAACAGCAGAACCTGCTATGGTCTTGGCCTGAGATGCCAAATCCTGCTCCTTGAAGGCGGAGGCCATCTCTCTGCAGAGTTTAACTCCAACCCTAATTAAACACACTTGAACCAGAATAAGGTGTTGACCAATGTAGCCATGATGGTGACTAATCGCGTCAAACCAGCATGAAAGCACCCAAAATATAACTCATACTGGTCAATAGGATGTTTTGACTAGTAATTTAAAATAAACAACAGCAGAACCTGCTATGGTCTTGAACCAAGATACCAAATCTCAATCCTTTAAGGCCACCTCTCTGCAGAGTTTAACTCCAACCCTAATTAAACATACTTGAACCAGAATAAGGTGTTGGCTTCATTAGAACCTTCCAGGCAGGTGTGTTGATATTCTGCAGGGTAGCATCAGACACCCCTGGTCTAGGCAGGTTTTCCGCAGGGTACAATTTGATAAATCTATAGAGATTAAACATTTTCCACTGGACATTGTGCTTCCACTGCTTGAAACCCTAGCCAGGCCTTTTTCTTGATTTCTGATGGACATATAATGATTTATACTGTCAGTGAGGTCCAACTGAGGAATATCAGAAGAACTAGACAAGTCTGGAATTTGTCTGGAAAGTCACAACAGGAAAAGAGAAGAAATGAGTCATTGCCATGTTAGAGGAGTGTGGAGCTCTGGAGTGAAGTTCATTGAAGGTTGAACCAGCTAAACCAACTAAAATCCTGCTCAGCCGCAATTAGTTTCCATAGAGACCAACTGTTGGCTATCATGGACCAAATTAACATGAGCTTATTGCTATGTTTAAATAACTTGTCACAAGTTCTTTTAGATTTTATAAACCATGTGTGTTAGTCAAGTTCAAACCTGCTCGGCAAAATGTCTTATGAAATGAATATTTTTACAAGCCTTGACCAAAAAAACGGAAAAAAGACTTGTCTGTCTGCCACTTGAAATCTCTCCGGCAACTTCAAGGGGGCACGGCTCTGTTTGGGAAATGTTATCCTGTGTTACCATGGGAAATAAAATTGTGATTTGACCTTTGAAATAATAAGGAGGAACAGTGCCCATTCTCAATTTCATTAAGATCTATTGATTGCCAAGTAGCATTTTACTGGAGGTACAGAGCCATTTTTGCAATGCGACAAAACAAAACTGGAAATCTTCCTCTTTAATAAAGCTGTTTTCACTGTAGGGTAGCCACACTGTACTGTATATGCCAATGCTGTGTCTTTCTGGGCAGTTTCAACCTTCAAGTTCAGAAATTTTAATTACAACATAATGTGAATTTGCAGTAATAAAGTTAATGTGTTGGAAAACAATATCCCTACAGAGACAGGAAACTTTGCAACACTACAAATTGAAGAGTAATTACATTTTACTTTATATGTATTCAGTCCTTCTCAGCCAACAACAATTTTGGGCAGATATATTGCACAAGCTTGTCTTAAACTATTGTAGCTAAATAAGCAGTATTAAAATAAGCTTTATTGCTGGTCATCATCAGCAGAATATATGTGTATAAAACTACATTCATGACAACAGTTTCCTTCTACCATTAATTCTTTAATAGACACCCTATACCCTAACTCGGAAACTGGGGGCTTAAAAAACATTTCTCACTGGTAATTACAACTTTATGAACAATAACCAGAGGAGTCCAACTGAGGAGGGAAAGAGGGGGCTTAGGAGGTGGGTGCAGGCACAAGGGACAAGCACAGGGGCCATGGTGGACCAAACAACGTAAGGAACTAGGGCAGAGATGATGGTTGGAGAAAACAGGGTGGATTTCCTAGCAGGACTAAAGCCCAAGGCAGAGTCGAGGGAGTGAGGAGTCATGGTGGAGACTTGGCAGACTGAACCAGGTGGACTACCGACCAAGATGAAGCCGATGATGGAGACTCGGGCAGAACCAAAGAGTCCTGTAGACCAAGGCGGAGCTGGGAGGACGAGAAGCCAAGGCGAAGCCAGGGCGCCGGAGGACTGAGACAGAGCCGGTGCGCCCAAGGGTTAAGGTGGTTCCGGAGGGAAGATGGAGCCAAAGGGGTGGAGGGACGAATCGCAGCTGAAGGCCTGGAAGTCCATGGTAAAGGCAGAGTGATGACTGACCAAGGTGAGGCCATAGGGACGAGGAAGCTCGGTGGAGCCGTAGGGACGACGGTCCCTGGTGCAGCTGAGGGAGCGAGGAGCCACAATGGAGCCAACAGGTCAATGGCCCGAGGTGGAGTGACAGGCACGGAGGTTCGAGGCGGAACAAACAGGTCGACAGTCCAAGGCTGAGCTGGCAAACTATCAGCCCAAGGCGGATCCACGAAGCACAGAGGTGGTAACAGGAGCAGACGAAGGGCTGATGAGAGGCAGTGCAGGCAAGGGTTTCACAAACAGTTTTCCTGACTGATACGGGACAGACAGAAATCTCAGGAACGACCCTCTTGGCCGATTTGGAACAAGCAGAGGAGATTGGAGTGGGAGGCGGGGCAGGAACACCGACATCAATAACTCGGTACTGGGTGACGAAACAGGCTTGGTGCTAATATACTCCATATCCTCAAACACCAGACTGATCTCATGAAGTAGCGTGTGTATGACACGCCAATTCGTATTTCCATTTTTGGCGTGCTATCAAGACGCATAATCGCTTTTCAGCGTGTTTATGAACGGCATTGACTTAATGTTATTACTGTATATATAAATATATGACTTACCTCAACCCCGTCCCTAAACCTAACCGTCACTGGGGTTAATGGCATTTATGACTGTTCCCGTACCATCCCAGGAAAAAAAAATATGACTTACCTCAACCCCGTCCCTAAACCTACCCGTCACTGGGGTTAATGGCATTTATGACTATTCCCTTACCATCCAAGGGAAAAAAAAAGATCGCTCCCAGATGTAGATCTACATTTTGCTTCGTTTCGCGCGGACATTTGACGGCGTGTACAGACACGCGGAATCTTCTCAGACGGATACACGCGGATAGCTCGGAATGCGTAGAGATAAAACGCTACTTGACTCGAAAGTGGCGTGTATGTTTACGCAAAAGTCATGATGTCATGTTGCAAACACAATCTGGGGCTCAGAGTTCAGGTCATCCGCACTCACCTTAGCTAATGGGATGGGGCTCCGCTCCCTCCCATCATACTCCACCAGTATTTCCTCAATGACGGACAATGTGGTTGTAGTGTGGCGATCCTCCTCCATCTCGCCGATGGTAAAGAGGGACCCACATTACAAAGCTTCCTCGAGGAAAAACAATGTCATCATCATAGTGGACAAGGTGGCATAAATTCAGGAAGGTATGCGTCTGTCTTTCAAGGATGCTGTCCCCCAGGGAGAGGAGGAGGATACAAATTGCACTAGAGGGTCTGTCCTACTGTCTACTATGGTTGCAATATAAATATGAATGAATGGGTCTAATAGCAGCAATCAAGTTTTTTGATTTTATTATAAAAGAACTCAGGGCTAGAAACACGAACAGAACAACCTGTTCAACTAGAAAAACGAATCAACGGAATGAATGTAAACTAATTAAAACTAGGCCACAGAACTAAAACGCGTGACAAACCCACCTAAAACCAGAAAATCCCTTACACTTACTGGGTTGAGTTATTTTTTTCTTGTTTTAATCATAAACATTTAAATTGGATATTTTTTTCACAAAATAACAATGTCTTAAATAGTTTTATTTTGATTTAAAGGGATAGTTCACTTTTAAATTTAATTTTGATATGTTTTAACTTACCTCAAGGGCATCCAAGATGTAGTTGTCTTTGTTTCCGCAGTATTTTCAATTTTGATGTGAACTATCCCTTTAAGAATAAGAATAATTGTTAGATATTGGTAATATAAAACAGTTTTTTTTTTTTGCAGTGTGGTTGTTCATATGCTCTCACTCAAAAATATGATCATCCTGATCCCTGACAACACTAAATCACTGAAAGAGACAAACACTCAATTAATCAAGTAATGTCCCCTTCAGTCCTAAGAAAAAGACATTTTTAATGTCTCTATCCTTGAAATGTTTTTCACATGATTCCCACAATTTCCTGAAAATTTCCAGATGAGTTTCAAAACAATAACAACATGTGCTCTTTTGCATGTGGATACTTGGTGCAAACTCTTGGGCACTATTAATATTAGTTTTTCAAAGATTTCTTTTTTGGTTACTTGGTGCCTGACTGATATTTTTTAACTGATGCTGCCTTAAACTTCAATTCATGTCTTTTAATTTATATATTGAATGTCACGTCATATAGCCAAAGCTGTGAATGGTCGATCTTATTTGTGTTTTCAGTTTTCATTAGCTGAAATAGAATACACTTAAAATACACTAACCAGTTAGTCTAACCTCATACTACACAAAGATATCAGGGAATGTCATAATTTTCAGAATTACAAACTTTTTTTTAAAGAATTTCTTGATGTCTAAGGACGGTAGAATCTTATTTATTGCTAAATCAACAGTACATTGTTGAATTATAAGATTATAATCAATGTAATAGTAATAAGACTAATAATAACAAAATTATTATAATTATATTATAAAACTATTATTATTATTATTAATTATAATGATCAGTGATCCGTACAATGGAAGTTTTGTATTGTAATGTTAAGATGTTGTTGGGTGACTTGTGGACAAGTAAACAATCAGTTGTATTACTCTGAAAGACACGTACCTGGAAAAGCTTAATGTTGAGCTCTGCCTTGAAGCATTTAGATATGGGCTCCAGATTTTTAGGTCATTTAAACTTGCTTGTAAACACACTGAAAACGAGGCGGGGAGGGGTGCAATTCCTTAGCCATGTGTTTTTGTGTAACCTGATTTTCTGGCGCACATTGAAAACATTACTTGGGTCCTTTGACTTGTCAGTGGAAGAAAAAAGTGTTTTTTTTTTGTTTTTGTTTTTTACTTTGGAAAGCATGTGGTCTGACATGCCAGCATGAGTGGGCTCATGTGAGATTGTTTATCTTTCCATCCTCTCTCCTCTCGCTCTGTCTCTCTCTCTGCAGATTATCCACGAACCTCCACCACCAATAGTGGAAGATAGTTCGGTAAGAACTTTTGTTTTATGGTAATTGCCAAACAATTGTCATAATGTAATTAAGCAGCATCGTATTCTAAACTATCTAGTTAGGTGAATTTATTTCTTCCCCACCAACAAACAAATAATGCCAGAAGAAGTCAAAGCATCAAGGTTTGCATGCCACGAAGCAGCACACACGTGAAAATTGTGCATTAAGACCATAAAAAGAGTCTAAACATTTGTAACAATGTTATTTTGACAAACTCTTTCTGAAGGCCAGAATGATCCAGCTATTTAACAGGAACTTTGGGAGAGACTTTCAACTCAATAAAACTATCCAGATCTTTGTAGACTGTTGTTTAACCATGCTGGCTCTGCTGCGCTAAAATGAATTAGTTCATTCTGCCCTTATTAAAGACCTGTAATATGATAGCTTTCTTTTTTTTCTTCATTTTTTCATTAGTGATGTCACTTTTGTAACACCATAGGAATGTCATATGTGGAATGGCTGTGGGTTGGGGAATTTTCCCCAAAGGTTTCTTTAAGTTACACTAAACTTTCAGGATATAAATGTTATGGGGAATCAAGAGGGTGGTCTGAAATATGAAGGGAGGGTACGGCTGTTAAAGGGTTAGTTCACCCAAAAATGAAAATTCTGTCAGTATTTACTCACCCTCATGTTGTTCCAACCCCGTAAGACCTTCGTTCATCTTCGGAACACAAATTAAGATATTTAAGATATTAAGATCGCTCCTGCATACAGTCCATAGGCTTCTTGAGGGACTGGCTCTTGCTGTCCCCGAAAAGTCATTAAAGACATCGTTAAAATAGTCCAAGTGACTACAGGGGCTCAATCTTAAGTTTATCAAACGACGAGAACACTTTTGTGCGCAAAAAAACAACAAAAATAACGACTTTATTTCAACTATTCACTTCCTTCTCCATGAGCCTGTAAGTCAGTTAACGTAGTGTGATTGCGTAGAGCTACGTACAATAACAGAAGCTTACGCTATTAAACTACACTCTAAAAAATTCTGGGTTGTTTTAACCCAACTTTGGGTCAAATATGGACTAACCCAGCCGTTGGGTTAAATTTTTACATTACATTTTTAACCCAACATTTCAGGTTTGTCCATATTTGACCCAAAATTGGGTTAAAACAACCCAGCATTTTTTAGAGTGTAGTAACCTGACTCGCGCAGAGGGAGAAATAAACAAATAGTTGAAATAAAGTCGTTATTTTTGTTGTTTTTTTGCGCACAAAAGTGTTCTCGTCGTTTGATAAACTTACACTCTAAAAAATGCTGGGTTGTTTTAACCCAACTTTGGGTCAAATATGGACTAACCCAGCCGTTGGGTTAAATTTTTACATTACATTTTTAACCCAACATTTCGGGTTTGTCCATATTTGACCCAAAATTGGGTTAAAACAACCCAGCATTTTTTAGAGTGTAGTAACCTGACTCGCGCAGAGGGAGAAATAAACAAATAGTTGAAATAAAGTCGTTATTTTTGTTGTTTTTTTGCGCACAAAAGTGTTCTCGTCGTTTGATAAACTTAAGATTGAGCCCCTGTAGTCACTTGGACTATTTTAACGATGTCTTTAATGACTTTTCGAGGACAGCAAGAGCCAGTCCCTCAAGAAGCCTATGGAAGATCTTAATATCTTAAATATCTTAATTTGTGTTCCGAAGATGAACGAAGGTCTTACGTGGTTGGAACAACATGAGGGCGAGTAAATACTGACAGAATTTTCATTTTTGGGTGAACTAACCCTTTAACCTCTTTGATTAAGTATAGAGTCCTTGATAAAAGATGGCTGTTCAAATCCCGAGGACTGATTGTTAAACGGGGTTAAATTTCTTCAGAGCTGGAAAAATAAAGTCATAACTTGAGGGAGCCAAGTTGGACTTATTTTACTGGATCAGGAAGAGCTAGTGAGGGCGTACGGCATTGCTCGTGCCTTTCTGAGAGGCAATAAATGAAAAAGTCATGTTTTAAAAGAGTGAGTCATCTCATTTAGGAAAATGCTGTGCCATTTGAATAAGGCCACAAAAATATGTTTGTGGAACAAACAAAAAAAAAAAAATCTTCACAATAGCGTTCTTGTTTCATTCAACAAGATGTGTATATTAGTTCTCAACGTAGAGAGTAACCTGTAACCCCTACTTGATATGGTCTAAGTTGAGGGATGAGGATTTTGGCATCTTCTTAGTTTGGCTACCAAAAAACAATTCTTTACCTGTGGCCCTTGACTTGAATAGCTTTGCAGCCTGCCGGTTGAGAACCATTGAGCTCTATTTTTCTTCTTTGTCTCGTTGTTTGCTGTGCAAGGATGATGAAGAGGATGGAACGCCGAAGAAGAAATGGCCCACAGTCGACGCGTCCTATTATGGAGGAAGAGGAGTTGGCGGCATTAAAAGAATGGAGGTAAACAACAGTTTTATTACTCACTAGAGGACACCAGCCACTAAATTAGCACACACTCAGTCACTTAACAGATGATTTTCATCCAGATGAAGAGGGCCATGTCTCTTGAGGAACCTAGGGTTAAGTGTCTTTCCTAACGGTGATCAATTCTGTCTGTAAATCACCAGTTGACAGTTTGCCTCTACTTGGAATGAAACCACTGTTGTTTACATTACTTGCCAAGAGACTTCCCCACGTCATAATTGAAGTCAGCAATGCTGCCGAAAGTGAATATAAAAGCCTACAACTGTGGAGAAAAACAAGAAATACAGAAGGGACTGTATAATGTTTGTCAGATGCATTCACAAAGTAAGCTACTATGCAAATGCCATGATAAAACATGGGAAAACTGTTTAATCCAGTCTAGTTTTGGACACTGGAGTTAAACTAAATCATCTGAACTGGGCTGGGAGACCAGCTTAAGCCTGGGTAACACCAAGCTGACGTCAAATAACTAGCGTCGCCTCGTGTCAGGCGTCTCTGCAAAAAACTGCGCTTTAACGCGGCAAAAGGACTCAAGGCGACTGTTAACTAGCACACGTGTTCTGCGCCTGTGAAACCCCTCCACCCGGGTCCTACTCACCCCGCTCTGTACAGTCCTCGAACCAGTCAGCCAATCAGAGTTCTCTCTCTCTCACCGACGGCTCAACGCTGAATCGGCCCAAAAAACCCTGATCAACTAGAGCCAACGGTGTGGTACACAACAAATAAATTGGTGTGTTCTGGCCTTTAGGTTGGTTAAAGCATTTATTTATTTTTTTTTTACAAATAGCTGCCGGTAAAGTATCAGAGTTTACAATCACAGGAGGACTTAAAGGGATACTCCATCAGGTTTTCATGTTATTCCCTTAACTACAACGAGTTGATGCATATCTCTGTCGTCTCAATCCCTCTGGCGCGCGAGACACTTTGATAGCACTTAACTTGCCCAGTTCATTCAATATGGGCCAAGCAGAGAAGCGACCAAACACCAATACAGTTAAAGGATAATTCCGGTATTTAACACCTTGAGTCTATTTTGTAGTTTGTTTTGAATGAAATAGAGGGGTGGACTTAGAAATTTTGGCAATGGGTCCTGTCTCGACTTTTTGACTATTTTAGAATCGCCTGTGACAGCTTTAGACTGGCTGTCTATGGGCATGCACAAACATGTCCTTAAAACAACCCTTAACGTTCATTTTCAAAACTGTGCAACTCACCGAGTTGTTGGTGGTGTTCGTTGATGTTCCGAAACAAGTAGCGTAGCGAAATACCGTTTCTGTCGTGTTTTATTTGTCATTTTTTTTAAATCGCATTGATGTCTGCTGGAGGATTCAGTGCTCGTTGATATTACTGCGCTAGGCTAGCTACCGGAAACAGAAAGGGGTCTGATTACATTTGGTTGTAGTCTTTTCGCTCAGTTCTCCGTCTCTAAGAAGGCTAGCGTGAGCAGAGCAACTGTGCTCCCGCACTTTTTTTACGGTGCGCTAGACACCGTGTTCCGTACAGCGTCCTGGTTGTCGCCATCAAGTGGTCGGGAGTGTGCTAACGCTTCAGGCTCAAATATCGAGCGGGAGTTTATACGCGGTTGTGAGGTATCTGAATAAATAGTTCCACAATAGCAAACAACACGGATTGAAAGCATACATTGCGCCGATATATTTGTTTTTAATCATCAGCGAACACCACCAACCACTTTTGAAAAAGAACGTTAAGGGTTGTTTTAAGGACATGTTTGTGCATGCCCATAGACAGCCAGTCTAAAGCTGTCACAGGCGATTCTAAAATAGTCAAAAAGTCCACCACTCTATTTTATTCAAAACAAACTACAAAAATACACTCAAGTTGTTAAATACCGGAATTATCCTTTAAAATAGGGACTTCGACTCTGCGCATATATGGACTCGGCGCAGTAATATCATGGACTTTTCACGAGTGATGATATTACTGCGCCGAGTCGAAGTGCTCCCAATCACTTGCTGTGGTATTCCGCCATACAATATAGTTATCCATTTTACACGCTTAGAAAAGCGCAACGTTTTATTTTGTGTCACCGTCCTATAGGTCGAGTTACACTGCTCGAGTAACTGTATTTAAATAGGGAAAACGTGGAGGTGTTTGGTCGCTTCTCTGCTTGGCCCATATTAAATGAACTGGGCTAGTTAAAGGGATAGTTCACTTTAAAAAATTAATTTTTGATATGTTTTAGCTTACCTCAAGGGCATCCAAGGTGTAGGTGTCTTTGTTTCCACAGTATTTTCAATTTTGATATTTTTCGGTAAAATCGTTCTTGTCTTTCAGTCATATAATGGAGGTTTAGGGGGTTAGGGGGTCCACCCTCGCAGGTTTAGGGGGTCCACCTTTCGGAAGTTTTACCTTTCACTGTGAAGATCTAAACATATTTAGATATACAAAAAATCACTATGGAAGACGATTTCGAAATATCTAAATATGTTTAGTGAAAGGTAAAACTTCCGAAATCTCTGTGTGAACAATGAGTGACGTACACGCGCAAGCGATCACTTCCGGCGCATGCACAGACCGAAGCGCCCGTGCTTTCAGATCAGTTGGACATGGCTGTAGTTACAAGAGGTAAAAACGATATAAATACTGTTCGTTTTCTCACACAAACTGCTCGTTTCGTGTCTTAGGCCATCAATGTGTACTTACATTTACGAGTCATTAAATCATGTTTAATTTGGACTTCTCTGTGCATGCTCTTTGAGGTGGTGACCATAGACCTCCATTATATGACTGACAGACAAGAACGGTTTGACCTAAAAATATCAAAATTAAAACTACTGCAGGAAACAAAGACACCTACATCTTGGATGCCCTTGAGGTAAGCTAAAACATACCAAAAATTAATTTCAAAGTGAAATATCCCTTTAAGTGCAATCAAAGTGTCTCGCGCGCCAGAGCGATTGAGTGCACACACTGAGACGAGAGAGGTAGGCGTATCAACTCATCTTAGTTAAGGAAATTACACTGGTTTCACTTAAAACTAAATAAATCAGTATTTTGACATAATAATGTTATATATTTAAAGTTGTGATGAGCAGATTGCATTATATCCGTGGAAAAAGCAGATAATCCAGGCGGGCGGGCCAAGTAATAAAAAAATATCATTCCAGTTAATTGCTGGTGGATAAGAGATAAATCATCAATGTGTTGATTTTAAAAAAGACATGGAACTCTCATTTCACGGTAAACCACAACGTGAGACCGGGTGCAGACATCTAAATCAGAGAAAATCATAGGCAGTGGGTGGCGGCGGGTGGATGATTTGAATTAACAGTGAATACGGTTGACGTTATAGAGCTGATCCACTCATCTCTAATTGACAGCTGGTTCTGTTGCCAGTCATGACTCATGTGTCTCATCAATCTCCTGAATATTGCTTTTTACTTGACTTTATTTACATACGTGACCTTGAAGGAATCCAAAAGTAATCCGATTACTTTCATATTGCGGTGCTTGGATTACATTACTGAATAACTTTTTTATGAAGTAAGTTGTAACTTCAACAGAATACATTTTAACCCTCCCAACTCTGAAAGCAATGTGTTACTATTATGAATCAGGTTGAATGTCTAATTGATAGCTCCTCTTCTCCTCATTCTCCTCTGCATAACACGATAGTCAAAGTAATTAATATGATACAAATGAAAAAATAAGAAATATTTCAGAGTAAGATTTGTCATGTGAGAGGTCAGATGTTCTTGCTTACTTTAAAGCTCTTCAGATCATCGTCGTATCATGCTGGATAACATGATCATCACCATCCTTTTCAGGTTCGCTGGGGTGAGAAAGGTTCGACCGAAGAGGGTGCTAAACTGGAAAAGGCGAAGAATGCGAGGGTAAAGATGCCTGAACAAGAGTTTGAAGCTCCTCCTTCTCGCATCCTAAATAATGGCATGCGGAAACCACCAGGCCCTCGCAAATGGTACTCCCCTATAAAGGTGAGAACAATGGCATGTTCTCGGGGTACACATGATAACTAAAATCGGGTACATTTAGCGATATAGCGGGTGAATTATGAATATGATGTATATTTCGATGCATTGATGACCTATGCCTTTCTCCACTGACGACGTTCAAAGTGTTTAGGATGCTGATTGTTAGAAGGCGCTCTTTGACTCTGAGATGGCGAACGGGAACATGGTTTGTGTAACGTTAGCAACACATTATTAGCTTATTTATAACGTAGTCAAGCAAAAGGCTAATCGTATTAATTACCGTTATGTGTCTGACATTGTAAAGAGCGATACCATTTTCCATTTATAATTGTCCTTTACGATTGTTCCTTGTCGGACACAAACAGAGTCGGGAGTCAGCATTAGTTTACGTTCTTGATCAAATCGAAAATAACGTCATTAAGCATATATACATGAAAAATATGTTTAAAACATTAGTACTTATACAAAATTCAGGTCCATAATGTTTGTACCCCAGATAGAAAACTGACATTGAATCAACGTGGAAATATGACATCGAAACAACGTTGATCGGACATTGTTTTGCTCATCGAATTAACGTTGAACCAACGTCAGACGCGTCATTCTTTCAAAACTAACGGAAAATCAACTTGAAATCAACGCGTCGTTTCAACGTTATGAAAGCAAACCAATTTCCGATTTTCATTTAGCTTTGAAGAATGCCGCGTCTGACGTTGGTTCAACGTTAATTCGATGAGCAAAATCAACGTTGTTTCAATGTCATGAGAGACGTCGTTTCCACGTTGATTCAATGTCAGTTTGCTGTCTGGGACGTGTTTGTCGTAGACACAAAGTAGCATAACTAGTAGCAAACAAGACCTCGCGCTCGCAGGACAGTACTGGAAACATTTGGAGGTTAATGAGGTTTGTCCAAAAAGTCGCTTTTTTGGAAAAATTACGCTAAAGGGGTCTGAAAAGTCGCAAAAAATAGTTCCCAACACTGGCTGTAGTCTTAGCTTTGCCACAAGGTGCGCTATAGTCTCTTTCTATGAGTTTTCTATGGTTTTCTATTATGGGCATGTAGATAATGTATTGATTTCTTCTGTAAAGCACAAAAGAAGATATTTTGAAGAACAACAAAATTGGCCCAATTCACTTTCAATGAATGGACAAAAACACTGAATGTTTGTAAAAAAAATAGTTTATTCATGTTCCTATGAAAACATAGGGCTCTATTTTAATGAACTGAAAACCTGATCTGCAAAATTGGAATGATAAATGCGTCGGTGTACAAAGTAATTTGTGCCGGGTGCAAGATAGGGCCTTAAGACTGTAGATGAGACTCTGCTGACAGCTATACATGAGCAGCCCCCCACCATGCAGTTCTCCTGCTGAAGTAATATGTCTAAAACCATGACTTGAGATGTCAATGCTTATAATCAAGCGTCTATGAATCATAGCTGGGGGATTTGTAACACAGACCAGAAACTGCGGTGACCTCCAAGAAACTGGGCCTGCAGAGTCAGCATTTCATTACACTCAAAACCAGGTTTTCCTCATTTCACCTCGCTCTCATAGACCCTGCCGTCCAAGAGCGCTGAGCATTGCCAAGTCCAATCCAATATTATTATTTGTTCATCTCTAAGTCATGTGTCTGCCAGTTATTATTTTATTTGGAGAGAGAGAGGCAATGTGATCAGATTTTTCTGACCAAACTTTACATTTAAATATTCCTAGACATTCTTCTGTTCTTCTCTTGCCTTCACCCATTCATTTTCTCTGTTACTCTCTCTTTTTTTGATGAAGACAGCAGCTCTTGTGCAATGAGAGTTGGCTGACTTCATGAGGAAGTTGGGTGAAGACTGAGGGACATAAGAATGCTGTTTCATATTAATAACCCTGGGCCAGATAGCGAAGCATTGATTCATTCTAAATTACGGCTTTGAGCTTTATCCGTCTCATCTGATAATGAGCCAGAGAGTCCACATGTGGGGTGTTGAGTTCAGGAAATCTCTGTTAATAAAACCCATTTCCCAGAGTTTAGTGACTGATCAATGTGAGGAACAAGCTCTTAAACACCTGAGGGGCAAAGAAGACCTGAATCGCACAGTTGCTTTTGCAAACTCTATTTTCATGTCTTTGATGTGTATGTGTGTGCAGGGAAAACTGGATGCATTGTGGGTACTTCTGAAGAAAGGGTATGATCGGGTGTCCATCATGCGACCACAACCAGGAGACAAGGTAAGACACTTAGTTCATTGTTTAACACTTCCTTTTACAGTCCTGTTACCCATGTACATACTATGTACTTATTGTAGTAATTACAATTACTGGGTAATAACTAGGTACTAACCCTGAACCTACCCCTAAACCTACCCCTAACCCATGTACTTACCCAACCCGGTCTCATCCCAAGACGTCATATAACTGACGTTTTGGGACGTCTTTTGACCATACGTCAATATTCGCCTTTTTAGGGCCCCCTTAAACGTCGGTAGATGAGGTTATGGGATCCTAACACTACCCCATACCTAAACCTAACCCTAAACCTAACCCGCCACCTAACTGACGTTAAAGGTAAAGCGTCAGTTGTATGACGGCCCGGGATCGCCATCTACCGACGTTTAAGGGGGCCCTAAAAAGGCGGATATTGACGTATGGTCAAAATACGTCCCAAAACGTCAGTTATATGACTTTTTGGGATGAGACTGTGTTAACTTACCTTATATCAGCCTAAGTACACTGTAAGTACTGTACTGTAAAAGGAAGCGGTACCGTTTATTACCGGATATACAATACTGTATACTCATTATTAGTTGTTGGTAAGTGAGTAGGATCCAGTTGTTGGGAATATGTGAAAAGTGGATGGAAGTTCGGGAGTTTAGAGCTGAACAGGGTATTATCTGCAAATGGTTTACTGTTTCCACTTAGTTTCTTTGTAAAGATGAACACACACTCAATGACTCCGAAGCTTAAAGGGATAGTTCACTTTGAAATACATTTTTGGTATGTTTTAGCTTACCTCAAGGACATCCAAGATGTAGGTGTTTTTGTTCCCACAGTAGTTTCAATTTTGATATTTTTAGGTCAAACCGTTCTCGTCTGTCAGTCATATAATGGAGGTCTATGGTCACCACCTCAAAGCGCATGCACAGAGAAGTCCAAATTAAACATTATTTAATGACTCGTAAATGTAAGTACACATTGATGGCCTAAGACACGAAACGAGCAGTTTGTGTGAGAAAACGAACAGTATTTATATCGTTTTTAAATCTTTAAAAAAAGAAATCATGAAAAAGATTTTAAAGCGCCCGCGCCCTCAGATCACTTGGACGTGGCTGTGGTTACAAGAGGTAAAAACAATATAAATACTGTTCGTTTTCTCACACAAACCGCTCGTTTCGTGTCTTAGCCCATCAATGTGTACTTACATTCACAAGTCATTAAATCATGTTTAATTTGGACTTCTCTGTGCATGCTCTTTGAGGTGGTGACCATATACCTGAATTATATGACTGACAGTTAAGAACGGTTTGACCTAAAAATATCAAAATTGAAACTACTGTGGAAACAAAGACACCTACATCTTGGATGTCCTTGAGGTAAGCTAAAACATACCAAAAATTAATTTCAAAGTGAACTGTCCCTTTAAAAAAAGATCTTTACTGACTTTTCTTGATTCATTTTTCACAGTCCAACAGAGCAATCTGTTAAATCGCTATTATAACTGTCAGTTAATTCAATATGACTTGGCTTAACTGAAGTGCTGAAAAGCAGAAATAAAAAAGATGATTATGGCTCTATTCTACAGCTCGATAGGAAATGAAAACCAGGCTCACACTGACAGAGCTTTACACAGCATGGATGTAGACATCCTAGATCTTTGTTCAGTTCGGTTTCAAAGAGCTTTTTTATCGTTATCCATTTTTGTTTATTAAAAAATCTCCTTTTGCGTCATATGTAGAAAGAAAGGGTCGAGGGTTCAATAAATTATGAGAACGTTGTATATGTGTGTATATTTTCATTTAGTACTGTTTAGTAAAACAAAGGTCACCTTTGCTAAAACATTTATCATGAACGTTTATGACAAACGTTGCAGTTAGACTTGGCTTCGTCTCTATAGCATGTATTTGCTTTCACTCCGTGCTTCTTTCAAACATTGAGACCGAGTCAAAGCCCACCTGTTGCATGCTGGGTCTCCTGGGCTAAGCAAATAAACAGAGGAAATGCAAATATATCCCAGTTGGGGGTGTGCATGAAATGAAATATGAAGTTCTTGACTCGTACAGTATGTTATTATGCTACTTACTGTATATAAAGTTGACTGCAGGTCAAATACACAGAGAAAGGGAGTTGGATCCCATATACATGATGCTGTTCATAGATTATTAAAAATGGTTTGGACTGTTAAAGATGTGATGAACTCTTTCAGGTCTCGTTGTTCAGAAAATATACAAGACACTGGTTACTGATATTACTTAAGTTATTACCAACCCCAAACCTTTGAATGGAATGGAACCGCATTGCAACAGCAACTTGTGCATATGCAACCATGACTCACAATTTCTTCACAAAATTAATCCAAGTGCATGAAATCTAGATTGTTTGAACAAGATAAATCACATCGAATAGTGCACTACCAATAACTTGACGGCTCCTGCAAGCCTGTACTAAGCGCTGCTAAACCAGGCTGTCATTTTCTCCACTACGAAACATGCGCAGCTTTATTTTACCAAAGTAAAAAGATGGGGTCCAATGTCAACAGAACCATTTGGACTTAACACCATGCGCTGAGGGTGTTGTCATTTCTAAATGTGAAGCACAGTGCAAAACTCAACACCCACACCCTCATTTTCTCTGAGGAGCTTGCTTAGTAGCTCTACATGCCATATCCCCACTGTGAGTCACATTTGACTTCAACTTTGGACCTAATCCTCTTAAAGAGACGTTTCACAAAATAGTCTTGTGCTATGTATCTGTTGGAAAGATGACGTAAGCGATGTCAAGAATTTGCGCTTGCATCATAGAAGGTTTTCTATTGAAAGGACATGCACAGTGATGCTCAACAAAGCAATTCGATTTCAACAAAGAAGCTTAAAAGAGATATGGGCCTAAAAGATCCAACAGAAAAACAGAAACAATAGAGTCTAGACTTGTATATCATGAAAATTATACAAGAGGACAGCCAAACATAGTACAGTGATTAACACCATCAGGGAGGCGACACCCTCAGAGATTATAGAGTATGATGACATCACAGTATGAGGTTGAAAACATCACCATTTCACCACATTGGATGAAGCCACTTGGACGCATGCCGATAGCTAATGGAAAACACATCCAGATACTCCAAAACGAAACAGTAAAAGATATTCAGTGTTGATCTGGATGACTGGGTGTTCACAGGTCTTATGAAAAATAGTACTATTGTGCAGTTATACTGTAGTATGGAATGGCAATGACACTATACATTGAAGTATTTCCCATTAACTCTTTCCCGACCATTGACGGAAATTACAAATCTTCTGAAAGAGTACAGAATCTCCTGATCTAAAGACATGCGAAGAAGAAAAGCGATAGCATATGTAAAATGACGTGATCATCAAAATTAAATAGTAGGGCTGGGTAATATCGATTATCGAATATCGAACCAATATCGATTCGTAAATCTCAAGAATCGATTAGTCATCCTGTTTCATTTGAATGAATTAAACATTGTATCGCGTCTGCGCGCATCCAAAAAAAAAAAAAAAAAAAATCGCAATAATCTTTGTGCTTTGTTACTATTGATATGAAACAAGTCTCAATTTTCTAATTATGTAAATTTTCTTTAGAAATTCAAAAACATAAATAACGTTTTGGCACTGTGGCGTGAGATCGCTCTGGCGCAGCTCAAGAGAAGCAGCCGCGCTGATCTCTCTTCCGGGTTAATAATACCAGTCACAGCGCGAAATAAACATGAATGAGCATCTGAAAGTGTGTTAAAAGATAGAGTACAACTTATCGAAATTCGTATCATGTCACATTGATTCGCTCAATCAGCGTTTCAACTGTGGAAAGACGTCAGTTAAACAGCTTGTAATCAATGTCATGTATCGTCATACAGTATTTACCTCAGGAAACCCACATCAACTCGTTAGTCAGCTAGAAAAAATAACTCTAGAGAGGAGCATTTTGCTAAATATATACACCATATTACATATGCATTATAATCTTAATGTTCTTCAATATTTAATGCATATTTGAATAAATCTGGCAAGTTTTTATGACAGCCACCATTTAAATTTATATTGCATATAATAGTCTTATTATAAAAATAAATAAAAGTGTAATTTAAGTGTTTGTATAGCTACAAAACAGTTAATTATTACCTTCATATTGGGCTAATGAAGCCTAGTAGGCTACAACTAGACTCCCATAGTTTACAGCATTAGTTAAGAGATTTGATTTCCTTGAGAAAATTTGCCATTTATTGTAACTGATATCCAAAATAATCAATATTGAATCGAATCGGAATCAAATCGAATTGCAATGTTGTGAATCGAAAATCGAATTGTGAAATTTGTGTCAATACCCATCCCTATTAAATAGCATACAATTCAAAACTGCGTAGTGTTACTGAATGAAATGTCAACTCAGGACGAGCTGTAGAAGCTTAAGTGAAGCTTAAAGGGACGATGTGTAGTTTTTTAAATATTTTATTATCTAAAATCAATATTTTATTTATAAATATGTCCTCAATGGTGTACAAATACCCCTGCCAATGATCTGACTTATCCTCGTAAACGAAGAATTTATTATCTTTACATACATGGGACGGGTAGGTCCACAGTGGCTTCCATGTCGTTCCGCCATCTTGATAAACTATAATAGCAGAGAGGGACAAAAAGTACTATGCCAACGTATTTCCAAAACTCGTTTTCGTTCAGAGAAAGCGTCATGTGACTTAATTTATTTTACAGTGCATTATTAGTAGTATATTGTGAATTTAATGGAGACTGAGACACTATATCACAACTAAAAAGAGGTTTGAGTCCACTTTAAGAATAAATGACTTACTACATCAGCTGAATCCATGCTCCTCGAAATGAAACTAGTAGCAGCACTTCTGAGGTAACATTTCCAGGATTATTAGATAGTGTTATTCCTCATTGCGCAGCAAGACAAGGTAAAGGTAAAGGTAAGGACGAGGTAAGATTTGTATTAAACTGTTTTATGCAGCTGATGCGGGCATTTTCATGGCTTGCATCAACATTAGCATTTGAAGCGTGCGCGCTCTCAGTGGGCGTGGTCATATCACGCTATAATTAGGTGAAAGAACATCTCTTTCTCTTTTCATACAGATTACATCAACTGAGAAGAGTTGTTTTTTTAATATAAATTACTTAATTTAAAAGGAAAGAATTTCAGCTTCATAAAGAGAAATCTTTCGTGTCTCTGTGACAAGTATTTACTGAGTTACAGTTCATTTTCTGACGCTTTTCACAATTAACTTCACTGACAGAGAAAAGGCAAAATGTGCATCACGTTTATTTTTCTTTATTTGACAAAAAGCAGAACACTTATTGTGTTTTTACAATTTTATTGTGAGTATCCATAAAAAAATAGACACTTAACAGGATCGAATGATGTATAACACTTATATGTAAGATCAAAATCAGCAGAGTAATTTGAATCTCTATTGCACTAATAAGAAAAAAAGTGAGCTGGTATCGCCGGCGATATCGCTGTATGTAATTATTTTGACTGCACTAAAGCACAAAAAAATACACAATATGTTTGAAGAGATTTAGGAAACATGCTAAGTTCAAATACTCGTTTCTCAATGCTACCAATAACAAAGCCAGTTATTCTACTTTGAAATGTGCGTTCTGTGAGGGAATGTCTGGCTGCGTCCGAAATCGCGTACTATGTGAGTAGGTACTACATTTAAAAAAGAACGTACTTCGCGACCGTTAAAAAAGTACGTTCTATATAGTATGAATACGGGTAGTATGAATGAATTCCGGACGTACTACATGCGACATGTTGGAAATGTCACGTGTCATGCGCTGTCATAACAGCGCGGAAATTTAAAGAGCCCACCTTTGCGCTGTTTTGCTTTGTTTTCATCTGCGTTTTTCCAGCTGGTCGTAGATCATGCCTTCATCGAGAGCTTTTGCGGATTTTCTCAAATAACGTAAGTAGCATTTATTTACCTACCTATTTATACATTTGTAAGCATGTGTGTACCTGTTCCCTCTATTGATTCATTCATTGATGGTAATAATAGCACAAGCGGTGTGCCTGCTTGTCTGTGTGTGTGTGTGTATATATATCATACAAGCTTGATAAAAACTATAATTCTAGAACAAAATTTAAGATGTCAATTTACATCTGAAGTCAAATATATATATATATATATATATATATATATATATATATATAAAATGAATGTTATATTTTATGGCAATAGGTTTTTTTCATTGCCATTACAGTGAAATAACTAAACACAAATATACAAGCCTGTTAAAATTATAATTCATTTAAACCACCACATCTGAAGTCAAATATAATGTTATATATATATATATATATATATATATATATACACACACACACACACTTGACTTCAGATTTAAAGTGACATCTTACATTTTCGTCAAGAATTAGTTTTTATAAAGCTTTTATATTATCATATATAAGTATATATACACACACACACACACACACAGACATATTCAAATACATCATGCATAAGAAATGGGATCTAATATATTTATATTTATAAATAAGCAAACACAGGAAACAAGTGTCTTGTTGATTCAAATTGTATTTTATATTAAAACTATATAAATGTTTACAGATTGTGAGCCCTACAACCTACTGCCACGTGAATGCTGCTGTGCCAATCCTTCGGCCGGGGTGGAGGAGCGGACCGGGGTGGAGGTCAGCTCCATCTTCAAAGTACAGCCGAAGAATTGGCACAGCAGCCTCCCGACTTTCACGGCAGTCCATCCAGTCCCTGATTGCTGTAGTGAAAGCAGATTGCGACCATGGGTGGGAAAAGGACGTCGAGGTGCTGGTGTTCCTTTACTGGCTGGCCCATGCAGCATCATACCGGGTAGCATCACTCGTCAAAGACATCCCGTAGTCTGCTGTGCACGACATTATGCACAGAATGAGCAAGGCAGTCACCGGCACTTTGAGACAGGTTATCGCTTTCCCCAGTGCAGATGACCAGGAGGCAGTGGGAGCAGGTTTTACCCAGCTGGCAGGGTCTCCAGCTGTCAGTGTAGTAGCTGGTGCAATAGATGGCTGTCACATCCGCATCAAACCACTAGCAAGTGACGTCCAGTGCTACTTCAACCAGAAAGCTGTTTAATTATTTTCAGCTGCAGGCCATCACTGACCACAAGGGGAAGTTCCTCGACATTTTTGTTGGGTATCTTGGGTCGGTGCACGATGCCCGGGTGCTGAAGAACAGCCCTGTGTGCACTGGCCGCCTGTTTCCATCTGCAGGATAGTGCATCCTTGGAGATGGTGGGTATCCTTGCCTCGTCTTGTAAACATGCCTTGAAAAAAACAAAACATATTGAATAATTTTAGTGATGCCCTCCAAATGAGATTGCTATTATCAAAGTCCCTTTAGATCTTTTTAGAAACCTGTGAAAGTTACCTTACTAAAGCTGCTAGAGTTCATTGTCTTTCCTCATGGTGACACCATAATAAAAATGTTTTAATACTTTTCCTTTTGGTAGTGCTTTAAGCTCTATTATACTACTTTATGCCAAAGTTATGTGATTTTGTTTTAAGCTTTGTATTCTGCATCCATTTAAAAGATAATACACAAAAATAAAGCAAATAAATGTTAATGGTGTCTGAAGTGTGTGGCTATTTCTCTACAGTGCAGCATTCATAGTCACAGACAATATATTTTTCAGATATAACTGTAATTTGCTTGTAAAACATAATTTGTTAAATCATTGCATGACAGAATTCTCATTTTGGGGTGAACTATTAAAATAATAATAAAAAAAGAATGGTAACACTTTACTTGAAGGGGTGTGCATAAGACTGACATGACACATATCATTAATGTGAATGAGGGTTTATGACAACTGTCATTAATGTCATTCGCTCAATTGTTAATTTTTTTATGTAAAATTGCAAATATGACATTGTTTGAGTGAGACACACTTGACACTGACAGGTTATGATGTAGGCCTATTGGTTTATGTCAAGTTGTCATGACAAAGACATCTCAAACTGTCATATTCGCATTAAAAATACCATAATTGAGCAAATAACATTTAGTGACAGCTGTTATACATGCATAAAACCACCTTAATATTAATGACATGCGTCATGTCATGATTATAAAGGTGTCATTATGTCATGGTTATGAATATGAATCCTAAATATTCTTAATCTTATCATTTTGCCCCTCCAAAATCAACACAGGATTTAACATGTGATGAACTATGATCAGTCTATGTTACATTGACAAGTTGAGGTACACTTGTTAACAGTAGTTTGCTATGCAGGCAACAAATATTTCATAATAACAACACCGGTAAAGGAGAAATAAAATAAAATTTAATTTAATTCATTAATTTTTGAACAAGGGCAATGCAAAATATACATTAACCTTAAAAAGGAGAGATGCATTTGCAGGTTGTAGCACTTAAGTGCTAATTTCCACCTGATTTTCCTAATCGTTTTAAAATTAAAATAAATAAAAGTTGTGTAAGCATCTCATTCAACTGCGAAACAAAGAAAACAAAGTTATCTAACGTTAGCTGACATGCATTAGCTCGTTCAGTTCGGTAATAATGGCAAAGACAAAAGTGTCATTTTGCAGCCAAATCGGAAAATTGCACCCGCGATTTACATTATTTAAACGTTTAACAAGTCAATCGTTTACTTATATGATGTTAAACAAACACAATTTCACCACAAATAAACAAAAAGTGTTTAATATAGTACTTACACTTGAAAACTCCATATACAGTGGAAAACTCCCGCGTCTCCGGTTTCCGGCATTTTCAAATATAACGACAACTCCTCCTCTCCCGTGGCATCATGGGATAGTAAAGTGTCCATCGTATGCGCACTTCAGAATCTCGCCGGAAGTAGTAGGCCATCCGGGTACTTCTCGCCTACTGTTTTTCGAATTCTATGAATTCGGACATACTACTCTGCTCGCGTACTGTTTTTCGCATACTATATAGTATGGAAGTACGCGATTTCGGACGCAGCCTCTGTTTTTGTTTTGATCTGTGTGATCCCGCCCACTGGCAATTTAACCAATCGTATTTTGACACGTCAGGGTTGACAGTCGGCGGAATTGAAAACACAGCGTATTGCACCCATGGAATCATAAATCAACTCAAAAACGTACAATTTAAAGGAGTACTCACCCCAATGTCATCCAAGATGTCCATGTCTTTCTTTCTTAAATCGAAAAGAAATTAAGGTTTTTGATGAAAACATTCCAGGAATTCATTCGTTTTGTTCGTTGAATGAACCAAATGAATCGGAAAAAGATTCGTTCATTTTGTTGATTGAGTTCGAGAGTCACAAACGTGGGTCACAGACCTGAGCAAGGCGACCATTTGAGCTTATAAAACTTAAATTTTGTTCTTTTTTTTAAATGAGCGATCGTTTCGCTTGATAAGACCCTTATTCATCGTCTGGAATCGTTTAAAGGCCTTTGAACAGTTCATAGTTTGCACTGAAACTGTATTTTGGACCTTGAACCGTTTTATTCCCACTGAAGTCCATTATATGGAGAAAAATGCTGGAATTTTTTCATCAAAAACCTTAATTCTTTTCGACTGAAGAAAGAATGACATGGACATCTTGGATGACATGGGGGTGAGTAAATTATCAGCAAATGTTTTTTTCAAAAGTGAACTACTTTAAGCCTTCCATTGTCAATTGCGCTCGTTCCTGTCGCATGTCCTCAATCTGGCAACCCGTGTGAGCGTCGAGTCTGAGCAGAAGGGAGCGAACTGCAATATTTCGAATTTGGACTAAAGTACCCATGTCAACCACTAGCTGTCAATATTACATACTGCACCTTTAAAGTCCAGGTACAAGTCAATGCAAAGACTTTTTACTCTGTGGAGCTCTTAGTTTTCAACTCTTAAAGTGCACCCAACCGATGCATTTAACTTAAAAATATACAAACATTTCCCATCTAGAGGGACCAAGGTTCAACACTTAGTCTCACAAAATCCTGTGGGAAGCACTGCTTTGATATATGCCATAGAACTATATGATTGCCATAATGTTTCGAATATGCCATTTGAATATGGCATAACTTCAACGACCTTGGTGTTACTTTTGGTACATATATCTCCAAAAAAACACAATAACTGTCTGGAACATTTGGTGCTCCCATGTCCAAAAAATGAATATTATGTAGATTAAATCCCTAAAATGCTAAACATTGTTAGAGTTGCAATTTGTTTGACAAATGATATTTTTTAGTGCAGTGGTAGTTAAATTGATGATAAAGGTCGCATATGCAGAACATCACACCGGACAAACAGCTGTGAGCCGTAAAGCAAACACAGACAGTTACGGTGCCGGATAGGGATGTTGTTGTCTGGCAAACCCATCGGAAGATTTCAGTGTCTGAAGCCAGCTTTAAAATATGCTGCTTATATAATCGGGCAGAGGAGGCAGAGGGAGTCTGAGCTAACTTTTTAATGGGCTTTGCATGCATTTTTTGTTGCAAGCTATTGCAATCTTTCATTTAAGTAAGCGCTGACTCCACCTACCTCACCTAAACACTCTTATGCGCATCATGACTGATTCCTTTGAATATATCCACATTAACAAATTTACTGATGAAAATGTTTGATTGATGATGATTAGCGAAGACACAATGAAAAATATGAAATATCAATACTATGCTAATTTGCATGCAATGTCTGCCTTTTTAGCACCAAATTACTAAAAAAATTCTGCAAATGGAGTAACGTCGCAAAATCTGTACTTAAACAAAGTTTTTATGGTGCAGTTTCCCATCTTGCAGTGCTAGGTTTCATCAGCAATCTGACACACTCCAGAAGCACGATTTGATATGCCTGTAAATGCACATAGGCTTCTTTAAGCTGAAAATATCATATGTAAAAGTCGCACAACTGTTTAGTGAAACACTGTCGAAATGCATTATCTAACATTTAACAATAAGCTACGGTATTTTTAATATTTGTTAACGTTAGTTAATAAAAATATTTCATTGTTAGTTAAAGGGATAGTTCACTTTGAAATTAATTTTTGGTATGTTTTAGTTTACCTCAAGGGCATCCGAGATGTAGGTGTCTTTGTTTCCACAGTAGTTTCAATTTTGATATTTTTAGGTCAAACCGTTCGTGTCTATCAGTCATATAATGCAGGTCTATGGTCACCACCTCAAAGAGCATGCACAGAGAAGTCCAAATTAAACATTATTTAATGACTCGTAAATGTAAGAACACATTGATGGCCTAAGACACGAAACGAGCGGTTTGTGTGAGAAAACGAACAGTATTTATATCGTTTTTACCTCTTGTAACCACAGTAACATCCAAGTGATCTGAGGGCGCGTGCGTACATCTCTCGCGTGTGTACATCACTCATTGTTTACACAGAGATTTCAGAAGTGTTACCCTTCACTGTGAAGATCTAAACTTATTTAGATATACAGGAAATTGCAATGGAAGACCATTTCAATATCAACAGACAACGTTGATTTTTTCCGCAACCGCACAAGAGATAACTTCCGGCGTTTTTCTGCGCTTGCGCAGACCGAAGCGCCCAGACTCTCAGATCACTTGGACGTGGCTGTGGTTACAAGAGGTAAACGATATAAATACGGTTTGTTTTCTCACACAAACCGCTCGTTTCGTGTCTTAGGCCATCAATGTGTACTTACATTTACGAGTCATTGAATCATGTTTTATTTGGACTTCTCTGAGCATGCTCTTTGAAGTGGTGACCATAGACCTGCATTATATGACTGACAGACAAGAACGGTTTGACCTAAAAATATCAAAATTGAAAATATTGTGGAAACAAAGACACCTACATCTTGGATGCCCTTGAGGTAAAATAAAACATACCGAAAATGTATTTCAAAGTGAACTATCCCTTTAATGGTATAGTTCAGTTCCAATGTTAATTGGTTAATAATGTATAATTAATGTGAAATTAATAAATGCGAACAAACTTTACGGTTTCTTTGTTACAGTCTAATTATGCATTTAGATACTGTGTAATATTAACAACGTACTTTCTATAGGGTTTGGTTTAGTTAGCATGCAATTATACATAATTTACCGTTATTACGACAGTAACATGTAACGTGCAACAAAGACACTGTAAAATCAAGTGTTATCATGCTTTAGAAGTGTTTTTAATTGGTTGTTCATGTTAACAAATGTGCCCAGTAAATTTAGCCACTTACCAAAAAATGCATTGTCAGCACTCTAGTGGATGCGTGTCAGTTAAAGGATATTACATTATCATAATGTGAGTTCAGTGGTTGTGTTTTTTGGGTCACATAGCAACTGTGGTCATACACGACTGCCTGAGTGGATCTGAGTGGATCAAGACATCTTTCATTTTCAAAAAAGAAAACAAAAACAAAATGGTAAATTAACCAGTTTTAATGTAAGCCAAATGCTTTGGTCAAGTTGTTACTACGTACAAAATCATCGAACAACATGGATCTGTTAGGCTAATTAGAAGCAGACAATATTTTATTGGGCCGTCCAGTGATGCATGATATCTTCTATAAAGGGGTAATTTTTTTATGATATTCCCTGAGGTCTACTTATAATGTTATCAAGACTGTTATCAAAACATCCTAATTTAGAAGCTATTTTCTATCCTATTTCAATCACTCTCTTTTGATGGGCGTGTCTCGTTCAAGACTAAACGTCCACTGCTATGATTGGGTAACAGTTTTGCATATTAAATTCATTTTCAACGATGCGATTCCATTACAGCATCATTCTTTTATTTTCTCTCCTGCGTCGAACTTTGTGTTTAAAACGAATTTGCAGTAAAATGTCGCGAACAAATGAACAGTATTCTGATGTGATCTGTTCAATTCTTATGTCAGATGTTGTCTTGTGTCAAATTCTTGAATTAAAATGTAATCAAAAAATATTAAACAATGATCTAAGTTCAATTATAATAATACGACTGTTATCAGGCGGTTACCACTTATGAAATCAGTATTAAAATAATCCATCAAGTTGCACAAGTTGATGTATTGATTTAAACAGACTTTTCAATGCAGCTCAGAGGGAAAAAAATATATATATACATTTTTACTGCAATTACAATAGTAAAGTCCGCCAATCTCCTACTCTTTTGAATTCAGAAATACTTCTTTGGTCACATACTGTTTTTCACTTACTATTATATTAGGGATGAATGCAATTCCAGATGCAGCCACTGTGTTTATGAATGGCTCACTCCATTTGTTAAAAAAACGTAGATTCATTCAGTAACGAAATAGCTGTAAACCCTAATGCTCAAAATAATTAAATGGTTTGAGTTGAGCCAACTCAAATTAAATAAATCAGTTTAATCCAATTAACTTTTATGAGTACTTAGAACTTTTTTCTTTTGAGTTCACAAAAATGACACATTTTAAGTAATCTAAATTGTTTCCTTTTTTTAAGAACTTGTTTTTTAATTTTTTTATTTATTTAGACAATTTTAAATTGAACTGAAACTGGGCTGGGATTTTTATTTTCCGGCATGCTTTGATGACACTCAAAAGGGAGAGTAAATGCTAACATTAAGTGTTAATAATTACTGTTAACTTGGATATTAAACCCTAATGGTCAAAGTTTGAGTAGGACAAACTTAAATTCAACGAATTAGTTACGAATTAATTAGTTCAGTCAAATTAATTTTTATGAGTATTTAGCACTTTCTTTTTCTTTCAAGTTCACAGAACTGATATATTTTAAGTAAACTGAACTGTTTCATCGTTTTTAATTTTATGAAATAATTTATTTTAATTTAGACGAACTTAAATTTAACTGAAATGGCTGGGATATCTATTTCCCAGCATGCTTTGCCGATGGCACTCAAAAGAGAGTGTAAATGCTAAAATTAAGTGCAATATAATGGGGGTTTTTTGTGTAAGATTAATGTTAAGTGTGAGATTTAGTAGTGATTAATGTTTTGATGTGCTAATTTAGATGAATTTCTGTTAATGTTGGCTTTAGGATAGTTACCATC